CAACCCAAAACCAAGGGAGTGTTAGGACACCGGGAAGTCTGTTATTATGGTGGTGGAAGCCGAAGTACTCGGAGAGAACCACAGGGCTTCTCGGCGGAAACAAATAAACGGAAGATATCTATACAGATTGATTTCCAGGTCAAAGCCTTTAAGGATTATTCAAAACTGCCAGACGACTTATTATCTGCTTATAGGAGTTACTAAATTACCATTAATAAAAACGACAAATTTTTCTTCTTTTTTTTTCATATTTGCCTATTATCTCAAAAATTATGATATATAGACTTTGATTAGCAAAAATAATCAGCAAGACAAGATCTACAAATAAGTCACAGACGATCGAAATCGTCAGTCGACACCTTATTCAAGTTATTGCCCTTAAATGACGATTTCCCCACTCAGATTATTTTTTGGCATTTTTGCCTATTATCTTGAAAACTATAGTAGATAAAAAGAAACTTTAAATAGCAACAATGATCAGCAAGACAAGATCTACAAATTATAGCCATGATGACCGAAATCTTTAGTCAACTCGTTATTAGAATTACTGCTTTTTAACAGAGACATATCAAGTAAGTAATTTTATTGAAATATATATGTCTCTGTTTTTAATTATAATTTTTACCCGATATTTTTGCATTTTTTACCCATTATCTTGAAAACTGTAAAAGATAGATACAAAACTTTAAAAAGAGATATGATAAGCATTATAAGATCTACAAATACGTCAACATTACTGAAATTGTCGATTAATTCTTAATAGAGTTATTCCCGTTTAATGATGGTTAGCGACACACTCGGGCTCTTTAGAGCCTCTAGTTTCTATATCAACAATATATGTCTCCACCCCGATTTTTTTAAACAGTTTAGTAAAAGTTTATAGTTATCGCTTTAAGTTTTTAAATAACGCTGTATAGTTGTTATCAGGCTATCTGATTGCGAGCATCCTTCAATATTATACAATTATAGCTTGTGTATGAGGTCGATACGAGGTTATATCGACCTAAGAGGTCCGAGGTCGATATGCTTCAACCAAAACCTCAACCAAAGGCTACAATTGTTATATTATTAATCAACAACTATTGCACGAAAAACGTAAAATTGGGGATTTCTAGAATGTATTTTTAGTAACATGCCGCATGCCCTGTGCAATATATAAAAATAAGGAGGTGTGGTATGATTGCCAATTAGACAACTATCCACCAAAGTTCAAATAAAGTGGATGTAAGCATTTATACAACCGTACGGCCTTCAGTAACGAGAAAAACCCATACCGTATAGTCTGCTATAAAATGCCCCGACATGAAAAATATGAAACAATTCAACTGAGAAAACTAACGGCCTAATTTATAACAAAACAATTTACGAAAAACAAATATGACAGACATGAACCAACGACAACCACTGAACTACAGGAGTTGGTTTCACAAAAAACTTACGACTAAGATTGATCGTAAGTCATGAACAATTCAGTATAATTTCGATCAATCTGAGTCGTTATTTTTTTTGTGAAACCGACTCCAGGCTCCTGACTTGGGACAGGCACATAAAAAATGTGGCGGGGTTAAACATGTTTGTGAGCGCTCAACCCTCCCCTAACCTGGGACAGTGGTGTAACAGCACAACATAAGAACAAACTATAAAAATCAGTTGAAAAAGGCTTATATCATCAGATCGATACAAAGCAGAAACAACATCAAACAAAAACACAGACAGGACGTGGCAGGGTATTTATCCATCCCTCATCCCTAACAACAAAAAGACACTCACAGTTACTGGCAACTAGTTAAAAGCCAATAACAACTAATAAAAAAATCATGCACGTAAAGAACCCTTGCAACAACTCTTTGATGGGTCCGTAGGTGGCCTGTTGCAAGGCCAAATTTCTGACCCTATCGAATATACCCTCATCTTCCAGTGGCAGTCGATATATCCTCGATCTTATCCCGTCCATCCTCAATTACAAGAACTACCTATTGTATTAATTGTTAATTTGTTCTCATCCTGAACATGCATGAAATATTTGCCACTGGACGTTAAGCAACCAATAATCAATCAATCTGATTACAGTGTTGAATTGGTAACCTTTTAGAATAAGTTTATTTAAAGGATTGATAAGTTTGCCTGGATCGTATCAAAATTTCCGAGCTCTGCCAGTAAACAACATCACCGTAAAATTTAGGATGTGCTATTCCGTTTGAAATAAGTTTTTTACAGGTACAGCCAAACTTGCAAACAAAATCTTTGTATCTATAGAAGAAATTATTAAATAGATATAGGAAGATGTAGTGAGTGCCAATGAGACAACTCTCCATCCAAGTCAAAATTTATAAAAGTAAACCATTATAGGTCAAGGTACGGCCTTCAACACGGAGCATTGGCTCACACCGAACAGCAAGCTATAAAGGGCCCCAAAAAATTACTAGTGTAAAACCATTCAAACGGAAAAACCAACGGTCTAATCTATATAAAAACGAGAAACACGTATGAACTACATAAACAGACGACAACTACTGTAATCAGATTCCTGACTTAGGACAGGTGCAAACATTTGCAGCGGGATTAAACGTTTTAATGGTACCAAACCTTCTCCCTTTTCTGAAACAATAGTATAACATCACAACATAGAAAAACACACTATAAAATACCAATTGGAAGGCTTAACTCAATCAAAAAACGTAAATTAACACACAATGAACGATTAAATTTGACCTGTGACACCTGAATGCAAATACACAGTTAATAAAAAATTACAAGGGATAAATAATTAAAGTCAAAAGTAAATAAACAGGTTTAAACAAAGGTTTTAAGTAATTTGTGGTAACGAAATCCCTGACTTAATTATTTACCAGTAATACATAGATTACGCTCATTGAAATCCAAAACGTCACTACAGACACGGGCATAGCGAACGAGTTGGGATATATAAACATCGTAAGACGGTGCCAGAGGAATATCACCGTCCAAAAAAAAAGGAATATTAACAATAGGGACGGAAAAATCATCCCTTTTGTCGTAAATTTTTGTGTAGAGTTTCTGGTGTAAAATTGAAATGTCTGAATCTAGGAAAGGACACTTATTGCTGTTAATATTTTATTTATTTAAGATAAGTTCCTGTGGGTAAATTTTGGCAGTATATTTAGAGAATTCTTGATTATTTAACGAAAGATATCAAGATAACGGTAAGTGTTGTTGAATTTACCAGTTAAATGGAATTTAGATGGGTCTTTACTGAGTTTGGCTATCAACTGTGATTCATAACAGTACAAGAACAAGTCTGCTATTAAAGGGGCACAATTGATGCCCATAGGAATACCTAAAATCTGTCGATAAAATGTATTGCCAAAACGTACATAAATGTCGTCAAGGAGAAAATATATTACTTTAATCATCTGATCACACCTCCAGTAAGTATATCTTGCATATTTACCTTTCTCGTTTGAAAAAAGGCTTTATATGAGTTGCAGCAAATAAATTTGCAACCAGATTTATCTAACGACCATTTAATTAGATAGGAAAACTTTTGTTTGATAAGATTGCGTGGAAGTGTAGTGTAAAGAGTGGAAAGTCACAACTGTCAACCGAATCAAAAGGACCATCAAAAGCACGTAATTTATCTAAAACATCCAAAGAATTTTTCACACTCCAAAAATGGTTAATTCCACTATTTTCATATGTTTTATTACAAAAAATTGATGATCAGTTCTTTGGTAGTAGCTAAGAAACTCGTTAAAAGCACTGAAAGATTAGTTGTAGAAAACTTACTAGAGGCCGAGATGAAACGATGTTTCATGGGTTTTTTTTTTTGTGTGTAGTTTAGGTAACCAATACATAGTGGGGACCTTCAAATGTTCAGAGGAGGCCTTAAGCTGATCTGTGGTGGTGACATGATTATTTATTATATGACTCTCTGTAGAGCGTACGGCCTTGTAGTTGAATGTATCATTTCATTTTTAAGGACTTCCGTATAGTATTTACGTCATACCACCACCACATTGTTAGCAGCTTTATCGGCCAGTACGAAAACAAAACGCTTTGCGAGTACTTGAATTTTGTTTTTAATCCTAGAAATGGGCGTATTAACTTATTCTTTTATTTATTTCTAAATTATTTTCGAAATGTGATATGCGAGTATCAACAATATTCAGACATCTATTCAAATAGGAATCAAGTGACTTTTTGTCAGATTACTCCCGTTTACACCATTTTTTACAATAGGATGAAAGGGCATCTTTAATAACCTGACGATAATATGCTGTTTTTGATCAACGAAAAGCTCAACACAACAGTATTGGCGTGCAAACTGAGTAAATACAAATGTACATGTGATCAAGTTTTAACGAATCACAAATCCTTAAAAATATTCGATTAGTGATATCATAAAATATTGTTTATTGTTGACTTATATTGTTTGTACTTGGAGCTTTTTTTCTCGGTTATATTTTAGAGTAAAGTTCTTTTTCTGTATTTTTGTTTAGTGTACGCTCTTTTATATACTAGTATCTTGTGATAGTCAACCATTCAACATTAAAAAGGTAAGGTTGGGATCTCAAGCAACTAATTCAGCCTCGCCACATATTCATATGTCTGTCCCTAGTCAAGAATTACCTCGGAGTGGTTGTCCCTAGGACTAATACATATTGATCCTAGGTTCGTGTTAATGACAAATCTGATAGTTTCAGTTTAACTCACTAGGGAAACAAAATATTCTAGATGGCAACATGAAGAAGAAATATGAGGGTAGCCTTCTGAAAAAAACCAAGAAGTTTAACATTAAGAAGAGGTAATCATTTCCCACGTGAATCGTCACACTGAATCTTTAAATTGTATATGCTTTAACAAATTATTCAGCAGACTTGGAATAACAGTTCAAATTTTTCAGGATCGTCATGATAATGTAGTCAATTCAAATAGTTGCCACTTTCTGAACGTCAAGCAAGCAACCATTGCTCAACCAAATTTTCAAGAAATCGAAGATCAATTAAAAAATTATTACTTACTCTCTGGTGCAACTTTGTTGGTTTTTGACATTATTTCAATTTCTCCATGCAGTGTAGATAATTATTATACATCCATATCTATCTCTAGATGTTAGAAAATTCCAAGAATCATCTTGTCCTTATAAGATCAATACACTAAAATAATTTATTGTTTATAATATTTAGTAAATAAACTCCTCTGATGGATAAAAGAACAATAATGAATTTATTTCAAAAGAAACCGGATTCTACAGGTAAAGTCGAATCAGGATGTGATCAAATTATTGCTATGTTCAATGATTAAGGTTCATTTGGGATACAAAGAATTGACTATTCCATTAAACCAAAATCAATAGTCTATCTACCCGTATACATTTTGTCATTTATATCAATTTTATGTATTTGATTAATGTTTGAATCGATAAATACTAAGCTGACAAATAATTAAAGCATTGTTATATTGAAATCAATCTACCAATTTTCAGACTCTAATTGTCGATCGTTACTGGTGAAAATCAGTCTGGAATCCTGGCTCACTGTTCGACGCGAACCTGAGAGTGGGCCAGGATGTCAGGCTATGATGAACATCCGAAACCCAGATAAGCAACCTGTGTAAGAGAAAGGCAGTTCATTCTAGTGCACTGGCTACTTATACGAAAAAATCTAAAAGTCTGGGATCTGGTTATAGCAGAATTAGCAGAATCAGAAGTAGAGGATACATCTGAAAGCATTTCGAAATGCGTTGTTCTAAAAAAAAAAGTTTGGTTGTCTTGATGTTCATCAAGTTTGATTTTTTTCCAATCACGAAAAGTAAAAAAAAAAACGTCCATTTATAAATAGCTTATACAGAAATGCTAGAATATTTATTTCCATACTGTGTTATAAGACGACCCTCCATTGATCCTCATAAGGTGTAATAGTATGCTTCATAGATAAACAATTAAAGATTCTTTAATAAATGATTACATTGATTTAAAACGTGAATATAAAACAAAGAAATATTCAATGTTTAAGTCGGAAGCATGTATGTCTACTCTATTTATGGTCTACATGTCTATATATTTTAATTAGTAGGAGAACGTAACGGCCCAATAACCCTGTATTGCTCGTCTGGCAAATCTTCAGCCTTTAACAACTAGCAAACATCAAATTTAAAAGGCAAACTTGATGCATATAAAAATAAAGAGATGTGGTATGATTGCCATTGAGACTATCGATTTCTATCAAACCAACTTTAAAAATCATTTTCTAATATAATAAAATTGAGAATGGAAATGGGGAATATGTCAAAGAGACAACAACCCGACCAAAGAGCAGACAACAGCCGAAGGCCACCAATGGGTCTTCAACGCAGCGAGAAAATCCCTCACCCGGAGGTGGTCCTCAGCTGGCCCCTAAATGTATATTATCATTATTATGGAGATTATATGAATATTTAAAGCATTTACTAAATTGAAACCATTTGTTTGGTTGTTTTATGTCCAGTGCATGGTATGTGATGTCTTAATAGACTGAAAGAAAGGAGATAACGTTTTTATCAATTTAAACGGAGTTACAGGAAACAAAAAAAGTATGGGTGCTCTACTCTTAAAGACGGGACAAAATATGTTTTTGTCCACCCTTCCATGCACAATTCAGGTAAAAAAAATCTAGTTCTTCTTCTTCTTCTTGGTTTGTATATTCAAATAATCGTTGTCTAGATCGCCTTACGAAAGAAATTTGAATCTACAGCCAGCAAAGTGTCCATTTTCAGAACAAATCGACGGTAAAAATCTTTCTAGTTCATAGTATATTATTTTGTGAAACTTGAGTTGCTGGAACTCCCACTGAAACACTTATATTATTCACGGAAAGAAGAGAGTTTAGAAAATCAAAACCGGTCTTCTCTCCTTTGTTTTCAAAACACGACCAAAGAGCAGACAACAGCCGAAGGCCACCAATGGGTCTTCAACGCAGCGAGAAAATCCCTCACCCGGAGGTGGTCCTCAGCTGGCCCCTAAATGTATATTATCATCATTATGGAGATTATATGAATATTTAAAGCATTTACTAAATTGAAACCATTTGTTTGGTTGTTTTATGTCCAGTGCATGGTATGTGATGTCTTAATAGACTGAAAGAAAGGAGATAACGTTTTTATCAATTTAAACGGAGTTACAGGAAACAAAAAAAGTATGGGTGCTCTACTCTTAAAGACGGGACAAAATATGTTTTTGTCCACCCGTCCATGCACAATTCAGGTAAAAAAAATCTAGTTCTTCTTCTTCTTCTTGGTTTGTATATTCAAATAATCGTTGTCTAGATCGCCTTACGAAAGAAATTTGAATCTACAGCCAGCAAAGTGTCCATTTTCAGAACAAATCGACGGTAAAAATCTCTCTAGTTCATAGTATATTATTTTGTGAAAAGTTGCTGGAACTCCCACTGAAACACTCATATTATTCACGGAAAGAAGAGAGTTTAGAAAATCAAAACCGGTCTTCTCTCCTTTGTTTTCAAAACATATAAGAAGAACTACCAAAATCTTCCATCATCTTAATATTGGATACAAATTTCAGAAACAGTCATATAAAGAACGATATAAAGCAGTTATTCTAGATGTTTTACTAAACGTTTTTCTATAAAAAAAATCTTAAAGTTGTCATTCCATCTGCAATAACAGATGACCCCAAAAATGTTTTGTTTGTGTATACCCAATCAGAGATGTAAATCAGATGTGGGTCCTTAAAATTTTTAAAGATCTACCCCAAAATTCTCAATCACAAAAAAATGGCAACAATATCAAAACTTTTGATTTTCAACACTCTGCACAAATGTTTATCGTGCTCAATCTGAAAATAGACCAAATATTATCAACAGTGCATTTTTCTACAAAAAAGGGAAACGTTGATACACATTTCTTGTTTTATGTTACTAAAAATATACTTGTGAACAACTACACTGTTCCCAACAACAAATACACCAAATTTCAAGACGATTTCATCAAAATAGTGGACCTTTTGATCGAAAACATATTTTGTCGAGTTTGGTGAATTAGTATTTCAATCAGCAGTCAGTATTTAAATAGGTACTAATTGTGCACCGATACGATGTGTTTGTGTCTCAACTGGCGGTCTTGAATATTAAGACAGTCACACCAGAGAAGTCATCTGATCTGAAAATTTACACATTGTGTACTTTTCCTTTTGTGATATTATTGCGGTTCACGCATCTGACCTGCCTCTGATTGGAGTTGATGCGAATGATTTTTTTGCGATCAGACGCCTTCTACGCACTATCCATGATACGCCACTGCCATAGATGGTTTTCATTAACCGATGAAAATAAAAAGAGAAATTTCTGTTGTTTGAGATAGTCAAAACGGATTCATTTTGCCAACTGATAAAGCTTGTTTAGGTCCTTAAAAAATTGCTACTTGAGATGGATCAAACCGGACCCCTTTCCCCAATAAAATTGTGAGTCCACCAAGGAAAAACAAGTAAATTTCACACAAAATGTACAAAATACACTTAATATTTTTCCGGGCGAATTAAAGAAGGTGTGGATATACGTTATAAAAAAAAACACCCCATCACGCAATAAAACACATAATTTAATGGTCAGCCTACTGTCCTTAGTAGACAAATCTATATATCACATATCAAGCATTTAATCGCTCCAAGTTTACAGTAGAGTATTTGTAAATCTAATTAACAGATCTACCAATGATTTGCCACCAGCGCCGAAGTCTTTACTTAAAGGACATAAAAAGATCTTTGTAAACAGACAACCACTGAAAAGACAGACATATCGACATGAATAGGGGTTAAGGTAGTTATTTGTGTACTCATTCCTCTTTTTCAAGTTTTGTATACTTCAAGGGGTATACTTCGATGATATAGGAACCAAATTACGGGAAAAAACAAACAAAAAGGGATATAGTGATCAACATTCGGTGCTCAACGGTTACTATAATAGATGGGGGTATATACATTACGTTAAGTTTTCTAAGTTGTCACAAATCTTAAAACTTTCTGAATAAAATTAACAAAAGCTACCTCAGATCTGCCATCAAAACCAAATTCTCAAAATGGTAAACATGTATAAAAAAAAACCCAACACTGACGAAATTCCTAACATTGGACAAGCACATAAACATATGACAGGATTAAGCTAGTTTGTTAAGATCTCAACCCCTCCCTCTTGTTATCTCGACCAGTAAACTAACAAGAGGAACATAAAAAAAAAACACACACACAGGAAAAGAATACAGGAAAAACATTTACTTTATAATAGCTGTAAAAATGACAAGAAAACACAAGTTAAATCAAAATAATAATAACAATACCATGTCAAAGAATACTCGCAGTTACCCAAAGCAAACTCTAAGTACTTAACCAGCGAACACGAAATCATGGTCCTTCACTTTAATATCGGTGCGATTTCATGCAGCAACGTTATAAAACGAGTACTCGAAGACACGATCTTGTTCGATGATCGGAACAATCTAGTACAAAATTAAAAAAAAAAAAGCAAGCATGAGAAACATTTCTAACCAGGAATTAGCGAACGTCTATTCAACCTCAAAATGACCAAACACAATGATTGAACAACATCAACATCAACATCAACATTATAATAAACTTTTTCAATAAGTCTATTAAGCCGAAATGGAGGATTTAAAGGACAATTCCCTAACGCATTAGTTTTATAAACGATATCACGGTAAAAGGCGAGATGGGAAATACATTTTTTTAAAACTGATTCCTACTGATGAAATAATACTCTGACAAAAAATCTCTATACAAGTATAAACAAAATAGTTAAAAGAAAACCCAATTTATGACGTTTAAATCAGGCCGTTGTACCATTTTTGTAGTAATGAACATATGACGTTCAATGAAATATATATGAAACGTCGACCGGTGCAAACAAGCGCATATCGAACCAGATGAGAAATGCACACTTAATTCCAACGGAATATCATCACCAAGGAAAGGAAACTTAACAATAGGAAATGAAAGGTCTTCTCGTACATCATGCATGTTGGTATGTAAGTTACCATGAGAAATTCTTGTATCAAGGTCCACTGGACATTGTTACACTGCGCGCCCGTCAAGTAACAATTAATCCAAATATTCCCACCTTAATAATGATCTGCAATAGTCTGACTAGTCTGACTTGATTTGTTGATTCACTATCTTGTTGAAAATATCTGGTCAGTGGTTATGAGATCCAGACATGTCATTATTGTATTGTATTCGGAACAAAGCTGAATTTGAGTTCAAAAAAAGTTTTGCATCTCATTCCATAGTCTGGCTGTAGAATATCTGTAGGATTTCATTGATAGTGCGTCAAACCTAGCTTGTAGTTCAACTTCCTACTTCAGAATGTCAGCTATGTTTCTTTAATGTTTATTCAATTATATGTGGATATTGGATTTGTGGGCTTATTTACTGTCCTAAATACCTCTATTGCTATTTGCCTAGAGCACCTTTCTTTTAGAGATGCTATTTTTCAATACTAAAATTTCACTGATAGTAAATCATCCATTCACTGTCTGTGGCAGTAAATGAAACCTGGGACTATTATACTAACTTACTAGTATAATAGTCCCAGATGAAACGTGGTCAGCGGCTGTCCTTTTTTTGTATCAGAAATTTCAGGATAGTGATCAAAATGAAGTAAGAAATAATCAGAGTGGAATATTGTTATTTTTCCAGTTTGTATAAAAAAAGCTGCATCATTATTTGCCGCAAGTATCCTTTTTAAAAACATTAAGCTATTTACATTATTAAAGGATTAGAAGTATTTTCCTTCTCATGTTATAATTTTTGCTGATTAGTTCTGTTGTATATTATTTCATTTTGTTTTTGCTAGGTCGTGTATATCAGGTTTATAAAAAACTACAATTCCTAAATTGTAAGATATAGGCCATTGTCAGTTACAATTTGGAAAGTATCCAATGGGGTCATTAGACATATCCACAAATCTCGTCGAAATATCGCTTTATCTCGCTGATGATTTGCAGAAGAAAATAAGAAATGGCTGGAGGTTTGGAATGGTCACGCAGTGTACAGCCACTGCTGACCACCTCCCATTCAGTATTGGACAAAAATGACATCCCAGAGATAGTCAAGACAATCATTAAAAGGTGCAGCTGTCTGTGCTAAGTCACTGTATTTGTCAATGGAAAATACGCACATAAAATTATGTGGTTTCCCTTTCTGACTTTCATTTTTTTCTCCTGTCAACCCTCTCACATCATCTTCACCATTGAATGTTCACTGCAGGAAGCGTTATGATTCAAGCACTACCTAAATTTTAAGTTAAACTGAACAGTAAAATGCGTCACAATTCTAAATTTTTAACCAGGAAGATTAAAATGTACTCTATTTATAAACCTAAAATGAAAACAAAATTCAATGGGTGGGCAAATAATTACCGTATGTAATTATGACAGGACCTGTGGTTTGTTTATTTTATAATGCAATTGTGTTCATAAATGCACAGATGTAGCATTGCTTAAATCCAGAAAAGATTTTGCCCAAAAACTGCTTTTTTTTTGCTCTGTGTTGAAGGCCTCTCTGACTTTGAGATGAAGAACAGTAATGAAAGTGCTGTTCCTTTGCTTTTTGTGTGTTTTTTTTTTGCTGTGCATGTACTGATTTTGAATCCTGGATGGATACCCCATATCCTTCGTTTTTCTAATGCGGGTGTCTTTGAACTAGCAGCATTTAATGTTTGAGCTGTTCATCAATGTTGAAGGCCTCACTTTGACTTTTAGATGAAGAGCAATAATAAAATCACTGTTCCCTTGCTTTGGGATTTGTCAAGTTTGTGTAGGGATTTTGTCATGAATCGATATTCTTTGTCACTTTTCTTTCATTGAACTGTGTTTGTGCATTAATATTTAAAACAGGTAAAAGCAAACGATTTTCAGTATGAGTATTTGATGCTCATCTTCTTAGCTTTTCACATTAAAGAGAAAGAACAAAGATGAATGGAAAAGGATTTCCAGAAATATGTATGTTAAGGGTTAGGGTTTCATTTTAAAAAAGATGGTCAGTAGGACAGAATTTTTATATACTTTTGTGGTCAGTCAGGAAATCATGAACACATGGTCTTATAAAAGTCCTTCGACATATTCACAGCCGTTTTCATTTTCATGTGCGAACCCACTCCTCGAAGACAAACGTAATCCACCATTCCGCCATTGAAATTGTTTCTACTGGTTCCAAAGTTATGATTTCTGACCACAATAGCTAAATATTAAACAGGAATCCAGTGTCCCCTAAGCTTTTTGTTTGTACGAAACTGTCAGACAATGGGACCAGCTCCAACATGAAATAGGCAGACCTGATGAAATTTTGGCGGTCAGGGCCTACAGGTCCAAAAGTTTTTATACGCCCGTTTACGGGAAGTATTATGGTATACCGTTGTCCGTCCGTCGTCAACATGTCGGACATTAACTCAAAAATGCTTTAACCAATTTGCATAAAACTTTGGTGAATTGCTTATATCTATTGACGTGAGCTCCCTTTAGTTTTTTATAAATTTTAGAATTTACGTTTCCGAGTTATGGGGTTTTATTCAATAAAAAGGGGGGATTTTCCAGTTTTCGGACAATAACTCGAGAATGCTTTCACCAACTTGCAAGAAATTGTGGTGAAGTGTTTATATCTATTGACATGAGCTCCCTTTTGATTTTTATATATTTTAGATTTTACATTTCCGAGTTACAGGGTTTTATTCATAAAAAAAGGGGGATTTTCCAGTTTTCAGACAAAAAATCAAAAATGCTTTCAGCAGTTCTTATGAAACTTTGGTGAATTGTTTATATCTATTGATGTAAGCTCCGTTTAGCATTTTATAAATTTTACATTTTACATTTCTGAGTTATGGGGATTTATTCATTAAAAAAGGGGGGATTTTCCAGTTTTTGGACAATAACTCAAAAATGCTGTCAGAAATTCTCATGAAACTTTGGTGAATTATTTATATCTGTTGATGTAAGCTCCCTTTACATTTTCATAAATTTTTAATATGACATTGAGAATTAATTGAACTTTAATTGTTTATAGTCTGATAACAGATTTAATAAGTATTGCGCAACAGCACAGTGTATTGCACAACAGCAAGAAATCTTTAATTGAATATAAATTCAATTCATATAACCAATTTCAAGTTCTTTGACTACATTTATTCAGAAACCTATAATGTGTTTAATATTTAATACAATCCAAATTCAGACCTGTATCAAGCTGGAATATTGTGTCCATTTTTGTCCCAACTATTCAGGGTTGGACCTTTGCGGGCGTATCCAGCTGCACTCAGCGAAACAGTTTATTCAGTCTGGTTTACATGATTTTTATACGACCGCAAAAATTTTTGCGGTCGTATATTGGTATGACGTTGGTGTCGTCGTCGTCGTCGTCCGGCATCTTCCGAAGACACATTGGTTTTCGCACTCTAACTTTCGTTTAAGTGAATGGATCTCTATGAAATTTTACCATAAGGTTCAATACCACAAAAGGAAGGTTGGGATTGATTTTGGGGGTTATGGTACCAACAGTTAATGAATTAGGGGCCAAAAATAAGCATTTTTGTAACTTCCAGACATAACTTGTGTGTTAGTGTATGGATCTCTCTGACATTGTACCACAAGGTTCCATATCACAAAGGGAAAGCTGGAATTGAGTTTGGGGGTAATTGCCTCCAAATATTAGGAATTAGGGGCAAAAAAGGGGCAAAAAACAAGCATTTTTCTAGTTTCATGACAATAACTTGTGTGAAAGTGTATGGATCTTTCTGAAATTGTACTACAAGGTTCCATATCACAAAGGGAAAGCTGGAATTGAGTTTGGAGGTAATTGCCCGAAACGTTTAGGAATAAGGGGCCAAAAATAAGCATTTTTCTAGTTTCCAGACAATAACTTGTGTTCAAGTGTATGGATCTCTCTGAAATTGTACCACAAGGTTCCATATCACACAGGGAATGCTGGAATTGATTTTGGGGGTAATTGCCTCAAAATTTTAGGAATTAGGGGCCAAAAAAGGGGCAAAAACAAGCATTTTTCTAGTTTCATGACAATAACTTGTGTGTAAGTGTTTGGATATTTCTGAAATTGTACTACAAGGTTCCATATCACAAAGGGAAAGCTGGAATTGAGTTTGGGGGTAATTGCCCGAAACGTTTAGGAATTGGGGGTCAAAAAGGGGCCAAAAACACATTTTTCTAGTTTCCAGACAATAACTTGTGTTCAAGTGTATGGATCTCTCTGAAATTGTACTGCAAGGTACCATACCACAAAGGGAAGGCTGGGATTGAGTTTGGGGGTGATGAATCATAAGGGGGTTCAAAAAATTTGGGGGGGATTTTTTTTTTTTTTCCCATTTTTTTTTCTTTTAAAATTTTCCATTTTAAGTTGGTTATTTCTGATTTATATTTAAAAGCAAATAATAATGATATGGTAGGAGATACACACCAAACAGGATGTGTAAATTATTATATAATAAGTATTGTGCAATTGCAAGAAATTTTCAATTGCACAGTATTGCACAATAGCAAGAAATCTTCAATTGCACAGTATTGTGCAATAGCAAGAAATCTTCAATTGCACAGTATTGCGCAATAGCAAGAAATATCCAATAGCACAATATTGCGCAATAGCAAGAAATTGTCAATTGTGCAGTATTGCGCAATAGCAAGAAATATTCAATTGCACAGTATTGTGCAAAAGAAGATACTTCGTTTAAATTGATTATTTCTTGACCAATTTCAATGGGGTTTTATTCTTGAATTCTTGGGGTTCTTTAATATGCTGAATCTAACAGTGTATTAAGTTTTTGGATTTTGGGCCCCGTTTTTAGATTGGTCCACATTGGGGTCCAAAGGGTCCAAAATTAAACTTTGTTTGATTTCATCAAAAATTGAATTATTGGGGTTCTTTGATATGCCAAATCTAACCGTGTATTTAGATTCTTAATTTTTGGTTCCGTTTTCAAATTGGTCTACATTAAGGTCCAAAGGGTCCAAAATTAAACTTTGTTTGATTTCAACAAAAATTGAATATATGGGGTTCTTTGATATGCTGAATCTAACCATGTATTTAGATTTTTGTTTTTTGGGCCCCGTTATCAACTTTGTCCACATTGAGGTCAAAAGGGTCCAAAATTAAACTTTGTTTGATTTCATCAAAAATTGAATTCTTGGGGTTCTTTGATATGCTGAATCTAACCATGTATTTAGATTTTGGATATTGGACCATAATAGGTGAATGTCCAATTTAAAATTTTTAAGTTCTTAGACCACATTCATTCTGTGTCAGAAACCTATGCTGTGTCAAATATTTAATCACAATCCAAATTCAGAGCTGTATCAAGCTTGAATGTTGTGTCCATACTTGCCCCAACTGTCAAGGGTTCGACCTCTGCGGTCGTATCAAGCTGGGCCCTGCGGAGCATTTTATTTTAGATATGTTTAATAAATGTGGGGTGTATGTCAATGAGACAGCAACCCAAAGACAAAAATAACCTAAAGACAGAGGGCAACAGTCTTCAACAATAGACAAATGTCTAAAGCTATACAATGAGATAGATAAGATAAGATAAGATAAGATAAGATAAGATATATATTATTACCAACTAAGGGCCCACAATGTGCATATAGAGAATACATGTATAAGGAAAAAGAACATTGAATAGCATAGATACATAGAAATTAAATACACATTTACAATACAATTAGACTGTAAAAAAGCCCTTGGTTTAAAGTATATAATATATTTATATGAGAAATAAATACATCTAACTCATATTGACTTGAATAAATTTTCCAACAGCATTAAGTACCTGATTGTCTTCACAGCTCAATAAATATATGAATCTTTGCTGATTGTCCAGTAAAGTAAAGTATACAATATGTCAAGTTCTAAATTGTCCAAAAATTTTGTGAATGAATTTAACAGAAACAATCAAAGATCTGCCATCAACATGATCAACCTTGGACTGATACTTTGTGAACTAGCAGGCTCATAATCAGACACTTATTCTGTGAATGGGTCATGGTAAACCTTAGTGAAGTACTTACTGATTTATGTAACTTATTATACTGGTTATTTTAATAATGAGGTCAACATGTATTTGTCTGATTTTATCTCAATATTTGTACACGTCAGTGATTCCCAAGGCTTTGAGAAATTAACTGGACATTTGGTCCAGTAAAACATTCTCTTTAACTGGACCAAACACTTTTTTACCATGTTTACAGGACATTTACACATATGATTTGGACAAAATTAAAAAAAAATTACAGGTCACTTGGTCCAGTAATTCATAATACTTAACTGGACCAAACAAATGTTTACTGGACTTTGCCAAATGTCCGGCGACATTGGGAATGACTGAGTCATGTAGGAGCTTATTTTTTTTAAATTCCTTTTAAAAACAATCATATTTATTAACAATTATTTATTAAGTCAAGATTTAATACCGTTCATGGGAAATATCTATCTTTTTTTCTCCAATTTTAGTGAAACAGATATACTTGAGCATGAAGACCAGTATGAACAATTCTACTCGTCTTTTGTGGCTCTGGCTACACATTATCTTAGCCATAGCCTTACAGCAGGTAAGTACTAGAGATTAAGAGCACAGTGATTATGTTATGTGTCTGGTATTAAAAGCTGCAAGCCGTCAAGTATGTATACAATATGTACACATCAAATTGCCAGGGGAAAAAATTTTGTTTACAAGATTTAGAAACTTGTGGTAAAGCAAAGACCTGTCCAGTATTTAAATAGGTGTATGCCAGGATGCACTTTTAAAACCCTAACCAGATGCTGTGAAGTCTGCTTTTTCAATACATTCATTTTCAAACCAACAAGAAGTCTTGATCTTAAGTTCGTGCCTTTGTACTTCATACCACTAAATTAATAGCATGTTTTAATTGACACCCCACCCATACAATTACTTTGGGAATAGGCTAAATTAAAACACACCATTATTGGAACAAATTGGATAGTCCATTGAGTGTTTGAATTAATAGCAATTAATAATTGAAAAGTATAAAAATCAAAAGCATATATTCACATTGTCAAAGACCACATGCTGAGCCTTAGGCTTGTACCTCATCAAAATACTTGTTTCACACATAAATATTTTAGAATTAATCAATTGAATGCATCTTAACATAGGGAAAACTTGATTGGTATAGATTTTATTCAGAGCAGCTAAACTAAAAACTTGGTTTCCAAATAAAAGATTTTTTTTTATTGAATTACAAAGTAAAACTGCTGTTTTCCTGCTTATAAAAAACTGCATTAAATATAATGGAAAACTGACTATGTTTGAAGTGTGAATTAGAATTGATGTAGCATTATACATTTGTATATGATATATTTACAGTTCCCAAGACCAGCTGGAACAATTTATATGAAGCATGTAAGATATTGATGAAATATTTACTGGATAGGCTACAGAATTATAATGAAGGGTGTGCCATCACACAGGTAAAAAAAATAAGTAATACATTGCGAACTTACATGAGGGGTGGGAGGACCTTTTTTGGGACGTCAGGATTGTGCCTTTTATTTTTGGGGGAATTCAGGAATGGGCTTTCATTTTCGCAGGAATTCAGGATTTACACTTATCAGGACTTAATGATTATTTTTTCAGGATCCAGGAAGGAATCCTTTATTATTTTTTAGGGAATTTCGGGATGACACCCACTCCTACCTCTCCTTGTACATGTATGCTATATTATGTGAAAAAATCTTTTAGGTTTACTACTTTTCATATTCTATTCATCAGTGAGCTATTACTTACAAAATACATGTAGATGTAAAAAAAATTTAAATGATTTAGGAAAATGTAATAGGGTGTAAATTATCCTGTGACATAGTTGGAAAAACTTGTAAAATAATATTAGTACTTTAATTACTGTTCTTAATTATGATGATATCTAAAAGAACTTCAGTAAAGAAAAACACAGAAATGAAAATAAAGTCTCAAGTGTCACCTTGTATGTATCAATCATCAAATTCCCTTATAAACCTAAAATAGTTTTTTTTCTGAAATAATATAAGCTTTTCCAGTCATGTGGCTTCATACCCTGTCATATACAGATTTGTTAAATTAATATTTGCTGTGTCTGTGCTATTCAAACAACATTAAGGAGTAAGCACAAACCTTGGTTGGGTTGATGTCAAAAGAGTTGTTTCCAAAAAGGATTACATGTACATGTCCTGCAGATTTTTACCTTGTGAACTGGTAGGTTAGAATATGACTCACTTTACAAATATGGGTAAATTCATATAAGATTTACATGGTATAGGGCTCACGCTAGCAGGCGACTGGGATTGAAAAAGTCGCTTTCCCGTCCATCACTTCGCTTTGCCCGACCGTCAAAAGCAATATCTAGTCGCCCTGATGTTCACACTAGTCACTTGCAGTCGCTTTCGTCATTGGCAATTTCCCGTTCTTATAAAGTCATTGACACAGCATATTTTTCATTTAAAAGTAAAGAAATTCATAGGCATAAACGATTTATTTCTTTAGAAAGGATGTGAAAGTATTGACTTTACAGATTGATCGTATGTTATTTCAAAGAAACAACTTTTATGAAGAATTTTCTTTCACTTCCGGTACTTGTTACTGGAGATCGTATATCAAAACATTCTGATTTTCGGCAAAATAAGTTTGTTATTTCATTAGAAAGTGATCAAAATTGCCTTTAGTAAATGTTTAATCCATTGATTGCATAAAAAGCGTCATATTCCTTTCCGAATCGCTTGTCAAACTTTGTTTATTTTCGTAAATTTTCTTCGTCCGCCATTGAAATATTTGTACGAACACTGATCGGAGGCGGGATTCATCGGAAGTGGACCAGCTATGACTGAAATCCATAGTCTTACTATAATAACTACAGACGTCTGAATTGAACAGCTGACAAAAGAATAATGACCACAAAAGTGAAAATTACTCATTCCACACGCATTAATAGACTTTTGGTTAGATCTCCTTGCTAAATGTATATATTTCCATGTAAATGCATTGTTTCAATTTATTGATTAAAGTTGCTTAACTTTGTTAAATGTATATATCTTTTTAATGAGAAACATTGAATTTCATTACGATGATAAACATAATAGTTTTTATACGACCGCAAAAAAATTTTTGTGGTCGTATATTGGTATGACGTTGTCGTCGTCGTCGTCATCGTCGTCGTCGTCGTCCGGCGTCGTCGTCCGAATACACATTAGTTTTCGCACTCTAACTTTAGTTTAAGTGAATGGATCTCAATGAAATTTTACCATAAGGTTCAATACCACAAAAGGAAGGTGGGGATTGATTTTGGGGGTTATGGTACTAACAGTTAAGGAATTAGGGGCCAAAAGGGGCCAAAAATAAGCATTTTTGTAACTTCCAGACATAACTTGTGTGTAAGTATATGGATCTCTCTGACATTGTACCACAAGGTTCCATATCACAAAGGGAATGCTGGGATTGATTTTGGGGGTAATTGCCTCCAAATTTTAGGAATTAGGGGCCAAAAAGGGGCAAAAAACAAGCATTTTTCTAGTTTCATGACAATAACTTGTGTGTAAGTGTATGGATCTCTCTGACATTGTATCACAAGGTTCCGTATTACAAAGGGAATACTGGGATTGATTTTTGGGGGTAATTTCCTCCAAATTTTGGGAATTAGGGGCCAAAAAGGGGCAAAAAACAAGCATTTTTCTAGTTTCAGGACAATAACTTGTTTGTAAGTGTATGGATCTTTATGAAATTGTACTGCAAGGTTCCATATCACAAAGGGAAAGCTGGGTTGGAGTTTGGGGGTTATTGCCCTAAACGTTTAGGAATAAGGGGCCAAAAAGGGACAAAAAAACAAGCATTTTTCTAGTTTCCAGACAATAACTTGTGTTCAAGTGAATGGATCTCTCTAAAATTGTACTGCAAGGTACCATACCACAAAGGGAAAGCTGGGATTGAGTGTGGGGGCGATGAATCATAAGGGGGTTCAAAAAATTTGGGGGGGGGGATTTTTTTTTCCTTTTTTTTCTTTAAAATTTTCCATTTTAAATTGGTTATTTCTGATTTATATATAAAAGCAAATAATAATGATATGGTTTGAATAGCATACATGTGAACCTCCCGACAGGTGTACAATAATCCTGTTTTCAGGAGTCTCCTCCTGACCTCCGGTTGAAGAGGAAAATTATAATCCCGTGTATGAAATTTTTCATGAATGAAAAATTTCTGCCCAACATATCATCTCAGGCATCTGGTGTAACTCACATTACCTGAAGTTATATTTTACCTGTAAATCAATTAACATGCATAATTATATGGCTTCACTTGTCAGCTTGGGTGTCAAACATACTGGTAATCAATGATTTTTTACCTCAGGCTAACTGCCGTTGTGTAACAAAAACTGTGTATTTATTGGGTTACTTCCCTTGATTTATCCTGTTTTAAGTTACTTTCCTTTTAATAATGAAAATTTTTAAAAGAATATAAATAAAATATAAATTGAACAAATAATCATAAAAGGATGGTAAATAAATGATTTTAAATGTCTTAGGACAAATAAAAAAATAATAATTTGAAAATTATTTAAGGATTCTATACTTCCTTTCAAGGCTTAAATTGAAATTTATATAATAACTATGACCCTTGTATTACAGTTAGAATGATTTTCTGAGTATGCAAACAAAAGCTATTTGCAGATAGTTAAACAAATGTTCTGGTTGCAATAAATGTTTTATAGAATATGAAGTACAAAATTTAAAGAACATACTGAAAAAAAAAAATGTTAGATTGAACATGTAAAATATAAAGATGGAGAAACTTTATAAGTACAAGGGTACTATAAACATAATAAATTGGATGGAAAGTTGAAGAAAACACACTTTAAAAGACCATTTTTACAGCACACGGTTACATTTACGACAAAATTTATGTCGATTAAAAACCTCCTGATCTGAGTCCTAATCTCCTGACCAAAATTTCCCAATCTCCTGATCTGAGTTTCACAGTCCATCACATGTATGAATAGGTAAATTAAAAAATTATAAGTTCTTAGACCACTTTCATTCTGTGTCAGAAACCTATGCTGTGTCAAATATTTAATTACAATCCAAATTCAGTGCTGTATCAAGCTTGAATGTTGTGTCCATACTTGCCCCAACTGTTCAGGGTTTGACCTCTGCGGTCGTATCAAGCTGCGCCCCAGCGGAGCATTTTATTTAATTGGATTTTAATTGATATATGATACTTTCTTTTCCTTTTTGATATAAAAAAGTTCTTTTAAGTGCTAGATATTTAGTTGGTAGATTCTGACAAGAGGATCAATATAATTATGCAACTAGAAATGACTATTTAAGACATAAACTGAAACAACTGTTTCTTTAATTGACTCAGGTATGAATTGAACACCTATATATAAAAAAAGGATACATATGGACCTTTATATTATAGTAAAAACCAAACATTGTGGCGCCGCAAGCAAACGAATACTTCTCTTTCAAATCTCACCACTTCTCCCTACCAGTTTCAAAAAGAAAAGTCACTTCTCCCTATGATTTTGAAGTAGTGTGAGCCCTGCATGGTATCTCCTGAATATTCATGTAGTACAATGTTATGTTTTCAGCTCGGAATGCATTTGATATTTTCCGCTCAACCACCCATCCATTATTAAGACAAAAAAATTTGTTTTCTGGTAGGCTAAAACATCCATAATCCCAAGACAGAAATTGAATTTAAATTAACATTTTGACTGATGGTTGGATCTGTATTATAGTAACAAGAATTTTTATGATTGAATTTTCTATAGTATATACTGGGAGTAGATGTATTTGTTGTGAATAGGTTATGATATTGTTTATTTTCTCTTCAGAAAATGCAGATGTTCCTGTTGAAGAGCTTATGCACAGGGGCGACCAGTATGTCTAAAACAGATATATCAACATTTACAGCAATCCTCAAGTTTGCTAAAGTACCATCAATTGTTAGAACAGAAACAGACACAGGTATTTGTGTACAAGACTACAGATTAATTTTTATAATTATTGTTATTTTTGTAAAAATCAAAATAAAGTACTTGTTTGCCCCTAGTTTACACCATAAACACTGTCACATTCACAACCATATATGCAACTTCATATTTATTCAAAACAATAACTTTGAACCCCATTTTTTTTTTGTAAAATGTTTTGGAAAAATAATTTGTATACTGATTTTAGTGTCTATGTATTTTAAATTTTTGTTTAGCAGTTATCATTTTATGATGATACTTGATGTTACAATTTTAGAAACAACAGCTGTGCAGGTTAAAGAAACTCCAAATCGTTCAAGACTTGATATTGGTACAGATATCTTTGATCAGCTGACTTCAGCATTCAACGATCTGAGTCTGACGAAATCTCAGAAAAGTGATACAGGAGAAGACGAACATGTTGATGCTGAGATCAAGGATGAATTCAAAGAAGAAACAAAAATGACTTTTGGAAAAAGAAATTTGCACTCTTTACAACAGTTAGATGGAGGGAAGACATTAGTAGATGTTTGTAGTAGACTAACATTTCTAGGCAGGTACAAGGAAAGATACAGAGATGCTATTGGTGGAGGCTCATTCATACTCCCTAACACTCTGTCAGAAGCCCTTACCATGAGAAATAGGTAAGTCTAAGACATATTGAATTGGTTGATGTGGTATGGTTTCAGAATGGACTCACTAATAATAGTTTGGTTTCCAAAACTCATCTAGGCCTGTAAAGATTTGTACATTTCCATTCAACATGTGGAAAATTCCTTTGATGTTTTGGGTTACCATTTGACCTTGTAACGTCTCAATATATAACAGTCCTTTATTGGTCTGTTTTACAAAGCAACATATCTTTTTTTTTAATAAATGAGGGACTATTAATTTTGTTTTGTTTTCAGTTAGTGAATGTGTCATCTGTTAAAAACAAACCGTACTCAATGTTCTCCATGCAATTTTAAGTAATACAATGAGATTTGCAATAATAATGTTTTCCTAAAATGATGGTGGTCTGGTGGTAGTGTGTTCGCTTCAAGTGCGGGAGGTTGTGGTTTTAAACCCCGGCTGGTTCAAACCAAAGACTTTGAAATTGGTATTTGCTGCTTCTCCGCTAAGCACTCGGCATTAAGAAGTAAGAGCAAAGACTGGTCGGCTCAGAGTCAGAATAATGTGTCTGGGTAAGGTGACACGTCTTCCTGTGGACTGTTACCTTGTGAAGTAGCATTTTAGAAGTCCGCCACAGCGTATCTGTCTAGTACAAAGCAGGGTTAATATTCACAATACAGTAACATGTTCTCGTCCTGAATATGTATATTAATTTGCTGCTGGATGCCTAGCAGCCATCCATCATCATCATCATCTAAAATGATATCACCAGATTTATGACACATTCTAATCAGATGGTGCAATAAGGCCTTGGGGAGAACACTGAATTTCATATTAATTTTGATAAAATCTGTTTTGTAATTTTACACATGTAGTGCAGAAGAAACAGCAAGGAAAACGTACCAATTTTAAATTATTCTGAAGGAGTCATCATTTATATTACCCCTTAAAACAATTAAAAAGGTCATACACAGTAAAAATATTATGTGCTTCTGTTTTCAGCTTTCTGCCATTGCTGAATGAAATTTCTATAGTATGGAGAGCTTTTTCTCTACCAATCCTGGAACCACTGACACCCAAAAGAATGGAGAATATTGTGACCGTAATGATGAGTTGTTTATATGCCTCTTTAAGTGTGGCTGTTACTAACACTGTCATAGCTATGACCAGTACTGCCCCTGTAAAACCAGTAACAGGGAAGGAAGAAGAAAATGAAAACTATGGATGTAGTATCATACAGAAAAGTGTAAGTAAATTATGATACAACTTCATTACACACCTGTCCGATGGCAAACACAATGTTCTCCCAAAAACTACAAAGATATCCTGAGGTCAACATGCAGCCTTCAACAATACACAGTACACCTTATCGCTATTTGTTCGCCATTACTGGACATCACAGAGGTTCCCTAAAATTTTGATGTCATAATAGAAAATATCTGACGCCACAATGGAAAAGTGATTGTTGTATGACGTCAATAGTTCAAGAGGCGCAGATTATCTGACATGCAGCGCAGATTTCCAAATAGCGATAAGGTCTATTGTCTATACATTATGTCAAGCTCTAAATCGCCTCAAGTCTAGAAAAGTTGTTAATGTATTAAAGAGACTTTCAAAGAAATGATGTCAACACCAAATTCTCTAAATGAGGGAGAACATAAAGCTATAAATAGATCCACTGAAAATTTTCCTTCCCTCAAGAACCAGTGACTGAAAACAATGTTGTGGCCTGCTGCAATTGGAAGAAAAAGTAAAATAACAAAAACACTGAACTCCAAGGAAAATTCAAAACAGAAAGTCCCTTATCAAATTGCAAAATCAAAAGCTCAAACACATCAAACGAATGGAAAACAAATGTCATATTCTTATGGTTAGGCAAGAAAAGAGTGTGGTTAAATGGACTGAGAAAGTACATAAAGAAACTAATTTCGCATTATGAAATGCTATAAATTGTTCTAAAAAAGATGTTATCTAATGCTTTAGAGTTATATTAGGCATAATTATTCATTGTCATACCTTTTAAGGTGGTTTTGGGTATGTTTTCATATTCAAAGATTCTTGAGCTGTTATATGAATGTTCTAAGGGACCTTAAATTTCAAGGATGTCGGCAGAACTGAAGAGTTGTTTGCTCAAATCTTGTGTAATTTTCTTATGATTTGCATAATTTTTGTGCCAATTTTACAGGACCTTTATAAATTTCAGGTCTCACTTCTACAAATTTATTCAAACACTGTTGAATCTACTATATTGTATTTTTGAAGATTTTAGAATTAATTCATACATCTTCTTGCAGTTGGAGATTTTTGGTATTGTAACCAGTGCTGTGAAAAGTTCATCTAGAGCTGGTGGTAATGTAAGTTTTTTGTTGTTATTTTTCTCAATCTCCTGGGCTAACTAGAAAAGTGGGGAGACACTAAGCCTGACCTCTATATCTTTTCACTAGAAATCTTGTCCAGGTGTTCACCATTTTTTTTAGCCAAGTCTAGTCCAACAAAAAGAAGAAAATGCCTTACTTTATTATTTAAGTCTTCAAGACAAAATAAAAAAATCAAATTAAAATTAGATTAATTTAAATCTTTCCTTTTACTTTTCTTATGAAATTATTAATTATTTTGTTTTGAAGTTAAAAAATAAAAGGGTATGAATACTGTTTCAAGAGGTAGCCTTCTTTTTCTTTTTGTATCTTCCTCCTGTGGTTAGGAGCACTTCAATTTCTTAATTTTAGTTCATATTGATTTTATTGTTCATCTAGCAAACAATCAAACCTTCATTTATTATTCTTTGTACACACTGAAGTTTTTTCTCTTTAGGTGGCACAAAATGTGAATCTGATGGCTGCTTGGTTATTACTGAAAGGTCTACAGAACATTATATCACTCACACCAGCTGTAATACTGGAGAGAAAAGATTCAAAGCAAAAAACTGACACTAAATCCAAAGACTGTCGTCCTAATTCTGCCAAAAGGTAAGTTATTTTTATCCAAAGTTAATTGAATCTGATTTATATAAATTTGAATAGAATGCATACCATATGATGCTCTGACAATGTGTCAATTTGAAAAACTATTTGGAAACTTTTGTGAATTGCTTAACTTATAACAGAAGTTGAAGTAAGCTGAAAAAATAGGTCATAAGATAATTTACAAAACAAATAATTTATTTCCTCAGAATCTTTAAAGTGGTTACTTGCAGATTCAAATAAAAAAAAACTGCTGTAAACCAACCAATGTTTTGAGTGATGAATTTACGTTCCTTATATGAGTAGAAAAATAAAGCAAATCTAAATGTATTAGTCTCTCGGTATGTTAAACTTGGATCTTTTCATATATGAATACTTCAACAAAGTTAACAAATTGTGAAAATAATAATTAGTTGGTATACAGTATTGTGACATGGTTGTAAATTACGTAAATTGTATTACTTGTTAAAAATAAATTTAACATACAAACCAAGTACTATAATAGCATTTTTATTGCGTACTGGTTGCATCAGATAACTTAAACAATGCAAATAATTTGGGAATATGTTTATTTTTCAGTTCCTTCCAAGGTTTTGGAGCTGTATCAGTAGCCCTGGCTATCAAGGCATTACGTTTAGTTGAGGAACTAATGAATGACTTACAATTAGAAGGATTTTATCAAGATATGGTAAACCGAAAAAAAAAATAAAAAAAAAATTCAGGATTCCAATATTTATGGGTTATGGAAATGTTATTGTTTCTTGGATTCATGAATATGTTTTTACAAACTTGAGTTGTTTTATAGAATAAATTGTATTTTAATTGTTTTGCAGTTTTGCTTTAAGTTGACTTCAAAGTGCATAGCACTGATTTAGTATATATAACTTTTTCATCATGATCTGTTTAAACGCAAAATTCATTATAATTACCAACTATTTTTTATAATTTATGTCATTAGTATTGTAAGTAGGTCTATTTGTCTTAATTGTAACAATATCTTATTTGTAAACAATATTTTATTATGAAATTGAATACATCTTATAGACTATAAATTCACATGGTGGCAAATAGGATTCAGAAAGAAGCAACAAATGCTTATGTTAATCTGTCTCACTGAATTTACTGAAGTATTTGTTTAACCTAGAATTTACTAATGCATATGTATGACCTAGAATAAAGAAGTGGGAAAATGAATCCCACTGATTAAATAGTGTAAAAGTTTACTTGCAATAAACATTGTAAATATATTATTGATCTTTACTATCCTCAGGGTGTGTCATCCTCAGGCAGTGGTTTAGATTTTCCTATCATGCAGTCACAAACAGCTTGGCGGAGAGTACAAAAGTTATTAAGCAATATTCCACTGGTAGACTTGTTATTGAGTTTGGTTACAACTTCTTTTAAAAAGGTAAGCACCCAACCCCCATTTCTGAAAACAGAAAGAAAGAAAAGTTTAAACTGTAAGGTTCCATCAATAACTGATACAAATTCATTTAACAGACTTTATAATATATTGAATATAAAAAAAGTGTATCTAATAACAATATTTTCATACCAATTAACCCTTTTTTATGCATTCTTAATTAGTCCTTATATTAAATTATTTTTATGAATGCAATGAACCCCAAGTCACAAGAAATGAGTGATAATGCTTCTATAGAGTTTTTGATGTTATTGTGTTTAAGGGTGGTCTACATCTCATGCATCTACATTTGAATCTCAGTAGATCCTATAGTGAACATAGGAGAATGTCCAGTAATTGCCTTAGTGTGGTGTATGCATTATTTTTTCTGAAATGAATGTAACAAAAATGTGAATTCCAGATTTTACAGTGGAAAATAGCTTTGTTTCTTGTTAAAAAATGTACTGGGCATGCTGTTTAATTTATCACAAAAGGTCTGTTAAAAGATTTAAGAAAGTTCCAAATAAATTACATGTAGAAGTAGAACATAATCATGTGTTCATGATTTGTTTACATTTTACATTTTGTTTTCAGGCATGTCTATTGAGAAGGCTTAAACTAGGATCAGAGACATCAGAGGCAAGTTCTAGCAGTGCCTCAGATTCAATCACATTCTACGAGGATGATTTTAGTAGCTCAGAAGATAGCAGTGAAGAGGAAGAAGGTATGATATACACTTGGCAAAGTCTCATTGGTGTAATATCCTTAGATGAATTCTAGAGCAGTATATAATCTAGAATTGAAAAATCTATGGAATTCTTGCAGGGTTTGTTGCTCGTTATATGTGGATGCTGTAAAATGTGTCCCTGTGCTTGTGGTGTATGTCCTTATATTGGACAGTTATTGGTGTTTTGCTTAACTCTGGTGGATAGGTGTCTCATTTGCACTCATACTGCATCTCTTTATTCTTATGAACATTTTTAATGTAGTGAAAATGAATCTTACCAATCCTAAATTCTTATTGAAATGAACTATCAGATTATTTACATGATAAATAGCTTGAGCAACTTAAAATATGTATATTTTGACAGTTTTTATTTCTACTGAATATATTGCCAATAATTACATATCTGGAGCCATTTTTCCACCTGTTTTTTGACTCGCCTTGACGGAGTCAAAAAACGAGATATAGGTATGCTGTTTCCGGCTGCTGCGGCGGCAGCGGCGTCAACAATGTATTAGTTTGTGATTAGGTCTAATTCATGGTGGTAGGTTAATGATATTTGGTATGCAGTTGTATAAGCATTGGCATATCTCATTTCCATGGAGATTATTTGGCCCCGCCCCCTCAGTCATGGTCTATTGACTTTAAAACTTTTGCTTAGTTTACATGTATTAGTTTGTGATTAGGTCAGTTTAAGGGGAACCGTTAGTGGTAGGTCAATGATAATTGGTATGCAGTTGTAGAAGCATTAGCACATCTTATTTCCATGGAGAATATTTGGTCCTTACTTCTCATTCATGGTCTATTGACTTTGAAACTTTTACTTTGTTTACATGTATTAGTTTGTGATTAGGTCAGTTTAAGATGAACCACTAATGTTAAGTCAATGATATTCGGTATGCAAATGTATTGGCATTTGCAAGTTTCATTTCCATAGAGATTATATAACCCCACCCCCTAATTATGGTTCATTGACTTTGAAACTTTTACATAGTTTACAAGTTAATGTTTGTGTTTAGGTTTGTTTAAAGGGAAGACTTATGAAAAGTCAATGGTATTTGGTTTGCAGTTGTATTAGTATTGGCACATCTCATTTCCATGGAGACTGTTTAGCCCTGTACATTCAGTCATGGTTCATTGACTTTGAATATTTGCATAACTTACATGTTAAAGTATTGTAATTTTAATTTTAACATTTGCATTATCAAAATAACAAATAGGCGAGACATATCTCTGTGTTAACAAATTATTACTTTCCTTTTGAAATTTATTGTAAAATCTGTCACATCTGGTATCATCAGCTCAGTAGTCAGTACTTCTTTATAACACATTTTTCTAAAAAATTCCCCATTGATAAATTAATAAATTACTAGGAAACTAAGGTTCAAACTCCCTCAGGTAGAATTTACCTGAGATTAATTTGACTATACTTCTAAGGTTCCTTTTGGTCTTATATAACTTCTCTTGTTTTTAGGTATTTATAAAATAAAATTGAGAATGGAAATGGGGAATGTGTCAAAGAGACAACAACCCGACCACAGAACAGACAACAGCAGAAGGTCACCAACAGGTCTTCAATGCAGCGAGAAATTCCCGCACCCGGAGGCGTCCTTCAGCTGGCCCCTAAACAAATATATATACTAGTTCAGTGATAATGAACGCCATACTAAACTCCAAATTGTACACAAGAAACTAAAATTTAAAATAATACAAGACTGACAAAGGCTAGAGGCTCCTGACTTGGGACAGGCGCAAAAATGCGGCGGGGTTAAACATGTTTATGAGATCTCAACCCTCCCCCTATACCTCTAGCCAATGTAGAAAAGTAAACGCATAACACTACGCACATTAAAATTCAGTTCAAGAGAAGTCTGAGTCTGATGTCAGAAGATGTAACCAAAGAAAATAAACAAAATGACAATAATACATAAATAACAACAGACTACTAGCAGTTAACTGACATGCCAGCTCCAGACTTCAATTAAACTGATTGAAAGATTATGTCTTCATCATATGAATATCAGGCACAATCCTTCCCGTTAGGGGTTTAGTATCATACCATCATAACATATATGAGAAGAACATAACCCGTGTCATGCCAACAACTGGTTTTTAAATAAATGTGTTTAGTGCCGATGCAAAGACCCTATAAGTGAATCAATATTAACACCAAAATATGCAATCTTTAATGACCTGACAACAGTATCGTAACTATATCCCTTCTTAATAAGTCTATTTAAAGGTTTTGTTAGCTTCAGAGGTGAATACTGACATTTTTGTGCTTTATAAAGAATATTTCCATAAAAAATTGGATGTGAAATACCTGAACGTATAAGAAGTCTGCATGTTGAGCTATATTTATGAATGATGTCCTTATACCGATGATAAAATTTAGTAAATGTTTTGACTAGTTTGTGATTTCGAAAACCCTGGTGTAATAATTTTTCAGTAATACATAAATTTCTCTCGTTAAAATCTAAGACATTGTTACATACACGAGCGAATCGTACAAGTTGAGATATATAAACACCGTAAGATGGTGACAAGGGAACGTCACCATCTAAAAATGGATAATTAACGATAGGAAATGAAAAATCATCTCTTTTATCATACATTTTAGTATTAAGCTTTCCGTTAATGATATAGATATCAAGATCGAGGAAAGGGCAGTGGTCATTGTTAGTATTAGCTTTATTTAAAGTAAGTTCAACAGGATAAATTTCTTTAGTATACATACTGAAGTCGTCATTATTGAGAGCCAAAATATCATCCAAATATCTAAAAGTATTATTAAATTTGTGTATCAGATGTTGTTTCGATGGGTCTTTGCTGATTTTTGTCATAAATTGTAACTCATAGCAATACAAAAAAAGGTCCGCAATAAGTGGTGCACAGTTAGTCCTCATTGGAATTATGATAACCTGACGATATACGGAATCTCCAAAGCGAAAAAAATGTTATCTAGTAAAAATTCAAGGGCATATATAGTATCAAAGCATGTCCAATTGACACATTTTTTTTGTTTATTGCTACTAAAAAATGACCTAAAAGAGTTTGAACATATATGTTCACATTCTGACTTTTTAAATGCCCATTTAATTAGGTGTGTGAATTTTTTCTTAATGAGAATGTGAAGCAATGTGGTATATAGGGTAGAAAAATCAAAACTTTGAACAGATTCAAAATCACCAATATATGCATGCAAGTTATCAAGTCATCCTTCACTTTCAAATACTTTAGTTTGAGCATTCCTGATGAAGATAAATCCAGAAAGCACTTGGGATGCACAAAATTTATAAAATGTTATTTCCTTGACAGAAGATGCAGCAGAGTCTATACTTGGACATTGGATGGAGGAGACAATGTGTCCCTCAGAGACCACAGACTCGCAGGCCCCACCCCCTGTACCTGCAAGAGTAGATGTACCAACTGAAGGAAAGAGATCCAGAAAGATAAGCTCAGGGGACAGCCCTGTGTTTATACCTGACAAAAGGGAACCAGCAGGAGTAAGTATTGAAACCTTTTTACAACACTCTTCTCCCTAATTTTTCTTGGATAAAATTATTTTTTAATAAACTTTAATTGAATTATCTTGTATATATTAGTATACAATGTACATATCAATGTGACCTTATCAAAAGAATTCAAAGTTTAAGGTTTTTTGGGAACAGAATTTATGCTTTTGTTTATACATTTTGTTGAAATATATTGAATATTTTATTGCTAGTATAAATTGTAATGTATGAAAAACATGAAAGTACTTTAGACTCTTTTGAAGTCTTTAATCAAATTAACAATCTTCTGAAGTAAGCAAGACAAATTACAAATGTGTCATATGCTCACAATGAGCTTTTGGATTGACATACAGGCACATAGATATAATAAATATAACATTAAAATGAAAGCTAAAACATACAGACAGGACATATAAAAGTACATATAACAAACAAAAAAATAAAAATAAAAATGCACTACAGGCAGCACATTAAACACTTAGAAGGAGCAAGAAAAGCATGATGATATAAATAAGACATGAATTATGACTAAAACAAAACAAATTACTGAAACGATCTATTCTCTATTCTGCTAGTTTAGATATAAAAAAGAACACTCTTTTCTTTTCTTATTAGAAATAAGTTTTGAATTTTATTTCATGATAGCAATTTTTTTTTTCAGTTTGTTAACCTTGCTGCTGATTTCTTGAACTTCATCAATGTGTATTTTGTAACTACAACTGACTCAGAACTACAGAAAACACTGAAGTGAGTATGATGGAAAGGAATTAAAGGGGATATGGGTAAATGTTAATAAAACATCAACTTTACAATATCAGAAAAATACTGAGGTTCAACAAACGACAGGTGTCAATACCATGTGTCAATTTCTGAATCACTTCAAGTCAACCCATGTTGCGGATAAATTCAACAAAGACCATCATATATCTGAAATAACATTAAATTCTGTACAGACATAAAACTTAAGATATTAAAAGAAAATCTTTAATTTTATCCAAATCTTCAGAAACAGACTGCTATTGAATTATTGTCTTACCGTACTCTTAATTCACGGACAGCTTTCCCTAAGCAGTGACCTTTACCATGACACCACTTGTTAGCAATTCGGCAACCTCACAACACAAGTGTGAAGGGAAAAAAACATGATAAAAGAAAAAGTAAAAATTTATTAAAGGAAGCATTTCATAGATATATTTATATCCTGTAGGAATTGTTTGAATGAAGACCATATGAGCAACTTATCAACTGTTATTAAAGAACTGGATAAAGAGACCATGAAAGTTGGAGCTGGTATGTTTTCTGGGCTGGCAGTTATCTAAAAAATAAATTATCCCAAAGAATAACTTGGTTGCTTTAGTCATTAAAAAAGATCAGACATATATATATGCATAAAACAAAATTTTTATGTCTTTAAATATAATAAAAAAAATGCCAATCCATAGGAGAGTTACCTCTAGGATTGCTTTAAAAGATTGCATATCACGGATTCTTGGGTACCAATTTTTGTATATTGAGAAAAAAATTGTATTTTTATAGGCGTCTGATTTAATGGATTTGCTAAATACACAAAATCCACTAAAATTTTTGGCCCTATGAAGGATAATAAATCCACAATATGGTATAATGGACCGGAAACAGACTTGTATTTGATCCTGCTAATTACTCAAAAATGTTTTGACTGATACAGAGTTCAGAATAAAAGATGAGCCAATCTGCATTATAGATATCTGGGAACATGTTTGATTTGCACTTTCTAAAGTGGTAGAATATGATGAAACTTCTTCAAAAGAAAGATAACAAAACTGTTTTCCTATTTTATAAATACCTTCCAGGCTTCCTTTAAAAATTTCATTACTTTAAATTGAGCAGTTCTTTTGTTCATATACTGTAAATTCAGAATTTTTGGCAATTATTGAACAATAGACAAACTAAGATTTTAAGAAATACTGCATTAAAATAAAGATATACAAATTTGAAAGGCTAGTTTTATTTTTTGTATTCCCGTCTTAGACGGACGTATTATGGTATAACGTTGTCCATCGTCAACACTTCGGATTATTTCTTCCTGTCGCAATTTTCACAGTAATAAAAGCATTCCAAAATTTCTGTATTAAGTGTAGTTGTAGCACTTTGAGTGTTTTATTTCTATTTACACACTCTTGAATAATTAAAAAAAATATGTATGTTTGTCATGCAAAAAAAAAGGTGTTTTATATTTTGTACCTATCATTTCAGATAAGACTTTTGAGAATTTATCTGTTTCATTAGCCAGACTGAACCACAGTCTCATAGCCACTGGGTGTCTTAGTGAGAGATTGCAGGTAAGGAGGGATTTTAGTAAACATTATGTTGTTTACTTAATTAATTTAATTGAATTAAGTACATTTACCATTTTACTCTTTGTTTCTCAGAATTTGATTTCAACAGTGTACATTTATTGTTCTAGAATTATGCTGTGGGCATGTATCTGCGATCACTTCATCACAAAATTCTAGTTTTAATTAATTTAATGAAATAAGCATTTCTAGAATTTTATTCCAATTTATTCTGTAGATTGCTACATCTTCAATTGTAATATCATAGGTGGACAATATAAAGTACAAAAGTAAAAGCAAATAGAATGTAAGCTTTTTATTTTGCTAATTTTATTGGAGGAGGAAGGGGGGATATTTTTTTTTCCATTTTAGTATACCCCATTAAATTTTGTATTTGTTTATATAGCTAGTTGTTATCTGTAAAATAATTATATATAATATAGATATTTAGGTCTGCTCAGTTGTGATTCATTATCTACATTCATTTGCATGATTTGAAGTATTAAGAATTTATCAGATCTGAACTTAAATGATGTCTTGTTTTGTAGGATGTCCTATTAGAACAATTGAATGTTAGTCCCAGTGCAGTAGACCCTTGGCCATTAACAGTTCATCCAAGAACACTTAGTGTCTTAGCAGAGGTCATACTCTTAAAACAACAAAAAGAAAGAGAATCTAAGACATTGAAAAGTCAAAGTGAGGCTGCTGTTATCACTATTTGGGTCAGGTTCATGACAACATTGAAGAGTGCCATCATTAATTTTGATAATGTCACAGAGACCTGTGAAGGTAATTGATATAGTTAGTCATTAAAAAAATAAGAAGATGTGGTACAATAGTCGTGTCAATATTAGCTTGTGAAATTTGTTTACTGCTGGTCGATAATTCTTTTTGAAAATATAAAGCAGCCAAATGAAATAATGTTGAATCTCATATTCTCAATTCAGTTAGTCAAGTTGGAATGGAATCAAGAATAAGATTTCAGTATTGCTCATTCAGATTTTAAAATATAGGAAATTAAAAGAAACAAACGTGAAATCCTTATAATTCAAGATGTACTAATTTTTGTGGATGAATTCAAATGTTTATTTCCTGTAGGCTTGAATGCAGAATTTTCAAAAATCACAAAATCAATGAAAATACAAAATTTTATTGAAACCATAAAAATTTGGTTCAAGGAAAATAAATTAATACACAGTATTTAATTTATATTGTCACAGTTTTTGATTGATATTGTAGATGTAAATGTGGAGCACATACAGCTACTGATCTTCCTGTTCCACAGCCTGCCATTGATGCAGAAGAAATCTCTGTTGTTACAACTGGCACAGAATATCATAGCTATCTCTGAACTGGAATCCAGGTCTGTATCTTAACCCAGAACATATCATCAGGCCATTGTATAAAACTTCCTTAATTGTTTTCTTGTAGGAAAATTTTTAATTAATAGACCAATTAAAAAATGGAGTTGCTTTAAACATTTAGGTCTTTCACTGTTATGACAATCTGATTGGTCCAACATTATTTGTGAGAATGCTGTAATTGTGCAATATAATTTACAAGGTGGGATGTTGAATTTCTGAATTTTGCTTGAAACTGATTAGTTCAGCTTGAATGCTATGAAAAGTTTGAAGTATTTGAAGATAACAAGCATTTAAGGAAGCTCTGTTTTTATGTGTTTCCAAAAAAGAAATTTAAATGATTGTTTTACATCTTCACATATTTTAACATATTACCAGAAAACAAGAAATTTAAATAAAAAAACGTAAAATAGCAAAAATACCAAACTACAAGGAAAATTCAAAACAGAAAGTCCTTTATCAAATGACAAAATCAAAAGATCAAACACATCAAACAAATGGAAAACAACTGTCATATTCCAAATATTCAAATGTTTGTCAACAAAACAACTAAACAACACAAAGAAAGAAAGAAATTTAGAGGCCAGAATATTTACGTTTTATGAGTTTTAAAGAATTACGTTCCTGATAATTTTTATGCATCTATAAAATTTGAAAATTACTTTTTAAGTAAAGCTGTTCGAATACCTTATATGCTGCTGTTGATCTATGAGGTTTCACTTTGACATTGTCAATTTTAGAAAACTGGAGAAGATGGTACCATTGCTTCTGTCCAGACTGGTGTTGATATTTGAGTATTTACTTCATTACTTCTACGACCCACCAGATGAACTTATGGAACAGGTAATTATAATGGAAAATAGGTGACTGGCAATTTTATGAAAAAGAAAGCCTGTAGAAATAAAAATGAATTTCTGTAAATCTTCTATAAAATTTGTAAATTACAATAAAGGAATGAAAACAGAATATTAGGTTTTTAGAATGAATTAAGGTGGTACCAAACACCTTGACTAAAATTAATTTGGCTTGTTTAATTTGCATAAAGGTTTCACAAAATATTTACTTTGAACCTTTGACAAAAATATAAAAATTTCAAAAAACTTCAACCACACACTTTATAAGAAAAATTTCATTGGATATATAGCAGTTTGAAAGATGCTAATTTTGATCATTGAGAATCTTGATAATGCCTTAACAATTGAACGTGATTAAAACGTTAAGCTGATTTTTACAGAGTTACGCCCTGTAGTGTTATGTACCACCTTAATAACTTTTTGGAATATTAATTTTTACTTTGCATTTATAGGATTGATAAATTGATTTCAAATTTCAAATTTCACGCTCCATAATTAATCAGTTTAATTTGTTAAATCTGTTTGTTTTAAGTAAAAAAGAATTAAACATGATTTATGTTTTCCCATCTTGAATAAATGCCTATAATACATAGGAAGAGTTCTCCTTCGATATTTTTATAAAGTTTTTAATTATTTAACAGTGTAATTCAAAATAATTTAAATGCTTTTGTATGAAGTTTTTGTGTTTGTGTTAATTCCAACCTGCATGGGTATTATTTTAACAGGTCAGGTGGAACTTATTTACAGTTCATACAATGAAACAGGAAGGTGATAAGCCACTGGCATCTCTTTACTTTGCCTGGGATGATATAGAAAAAAGATACCGTAAAAATCTTACTGCACAGGAAGCAAACGAAGGTAAGAATTTTTAAAGGTCATGTTAATTGATTAGAGAATGTTAAAAGTTGAATATGATACACAAAGAAATGATGAGAAATCAGGGATGATAAACTGTTTTTGATACTGTATAACCCTAACTTTAATGTACACACAAAATGAAGTTTGTCTTTAAATTCAAATTTGGGTGAAAAAAGGCCAAATATGGCCCATTTTAAATGTAGCACTCTGTCCTCTTGTATGTAGTGGTCTGTGTTACTATTTTTGTTTTACTTTTAGTTCTGAAGCCAAGATTTTATAACATAGGACCAATAGAAATAAGAAGTCAAGATGCACCCAAAGTAGATGGATTGGTATGTTATTTAGTTTTATTTCTCTTGAGCCCCAGTATTATTTTTAAGTAACAAGCTTTGAATTAGTGACTGAAATTTACATGCTGAAAAATACTAATTATATGATAAAATTGAGAATGGAAATGGGGAATATGTCAAAGAGACAACAACCCGACCAAAGAGCACACAACAGCCGAAGGCCACCAATGGGTCAACGCAGCAAGAAAATATCGCACCGGAGGTGGTCCTCAACTGGCCCCTAAATAAAATTGTGTACTAGAATGAAATAGTAAATTAAATTTTGCAAGTAATGGTGATGCATTTTATTTTATTTCATTTCTTGCAATGAGATAGAATGATATCCCAGTTGTTTCACATCTTAAAAAATCCGAAAATTTCATTCCTCTGAAGTCATACAACAAAAGGTGTTGTCTTGACGTTGTAGGGACATTGCATCACAAAGATGTGAGATTGTGTAGAAAAATATATAATTCCTTGCACTTTATACTTCATTGACCATCAAAAGTCAATGTAATGAAAAGAATAAATATTCCAAGAATTCAAATATCATCAACTCATGATGGAACAACCCTTATAATCCCCATAAATACCGTAGATTCATTATTATTCGTAGAATACCAATTTTCATGGATTTCCTGGATAAAAGTTAACCACGTATTTAAATGTTCAATGAAGTACAAATTTTCTATAGGTTAACTTTGGCAAAACCATAAAAAGACCAGTTTTCCTCAATCCGGGAAAATTGGTACCCACGAAAAATAAATGAATTCACAGTATGGCAATAATACATTATGATATATCTACAATATTTTATTAATCATCTTTTATGATTTCAGGCATGTAGTTTCCTGTTGGCGACATCTGACTGCATGAGTTACAACTTACTATATGATGCCTGCATCTCTCTTTTAATGGTTGGCAGCAAAGTGGACAAGACCAAGACAAAGTTGACACTACTGGTCAGTTAATATTATTTATTGAATTTGGTGCAGCTTAAATTATTCAGTATTTCTCTGTTTCGGCGAAGGGAGGTATTATGTAATTGGTTTCAAAGTATTAAGAAACTTAAGATTTTTGAATTAAAAAAATATAGATCAACAGGAGAAAGTTTGCTTCATCATTTACAATTGAATTAAATTGGTGAAGTAATATTCTTTAATACAAAAGTTAATTGTTGAATAAAATTTATATTTGTTTGATTTTCAGGACTCTGTGTCGAGACATAGTCATTTTCTGATTACCTGGAGACTGCTTTCCTGTTTGCCTCCTTCTATACAGTATCTAAGACTACTAGAAACTGGTACTTTACAAATGAGCAATGGACATGTCTTACATACACTCAGATGGACACCTAGATGTGGACAGAAAGTTTTTATAAGCTGGATAAAGGTATGTCTGTTTATGTAACTGGATATGGGTAATTTATTTAAAAAGTTAAGTCATGCACCATTCTTTTATTTTTGGATCAGATTTATTTCTAGGATTTTATGAAGCAAAACATTGAATTTGCCATTTCCACATGAGAAACTTTTCAGTGAAAAATCTCTCACAGTTTGAACAAGAATGAGACAAAACTTATAAAATTTATTTTGGGGTGTTTTCCATACCTATAGATTTTACCTTTCAAGCAAATAGGTAAGTTTGTCAATAAATTTTATAAAAAAAACCAAAAGACTAGAACAAAGAATTGCATCTTGCAGCCATTTTTTTGCCTATGAAACATAGTGGAAACTTTTATCATCAAAGATCATGAAAGAACATGTTCTTTACTTGATGTGCTAAAATAGGCACTACACACATGTAAACAAATTGTTTGAATGTTTTCAGGATTGTCTTGTTAAACAAGGACTAACAACACAACAGTCTGATGCACTGTTAACAGCTGTAAACAAACTGGCTAATACGGTCAACTTCGATATCCGTCTGGCCATGAACTTTATACAAGACCAGGTAAGGTTTGACTATTATAAATTATGTCCATGAACTAATGATATATTTTCATGTACTGATATAATCTATTTCTGTAATTAAAAATTATATTAAACTGGAGTGATGAATTTCATCATAAACAAGTAAAGCAAAAACTTTTTATATTAAAATACTGTTTACACATTCTTTTTCTGATTGCATTTATATGTTTTGTTGTCTGACATATAGGAGAATGTATTGCATACAGCAGCAGTAAATTTTATAAAAAAAAGGGTTTATTAATTTAGTAGCTTTGAACTTAGAAGATGAAGATGTTTTGTAACAATGATTTTTATCAAAGATAATACCAGTTTGGTAGAGAAATATTTTTAATTTTTACATCCTGTATCATAAAAATGATCTTACCTCCTAAACACTTCTAGGAATATAATTGGTTGAAAGCCAATATGTGGGAACCGTGTATATATAATATTAGGTCAGTGGGCATATTTTATCTTAAATACATGGTAAGTAGTAGAGTTACGTTCCTTTTACTGTAAAAAAAATGAACTGTTGTTCTAAAATTATCATGCATTGTAAACATACATAATTATGATTTTGTTCATGCTTTTAGACAAAAATTTGTCTTAGAGATGCTGAGACTGTATTATAAAATATCAGCACAAATAATTCAATGTTGTAATATCATTGTCTTGAGGCTATAAGTTTTATGTCTTGTTCCAGATTGCAGTATTACCATTTGTAGAAAACACTGAGGTCTTACCATTGTCAGAATTACCCAGTTTATTTTCTTGCCTCATGTTAGACTGTGTTATAGCTAAAATACAGGTCTCATTGGATGAAACATTCGCAAAAGCAATGGTAAGTTTTGTTTCATAGCTAATTACCTAAAGGTGTTTCCAGAAGAACTTTCCCCAAAACAGTGAATGGTTTTCATACAATGTCGATTAGTATCCTTAAAAATTTTCACTCTTAAAGAAAACCATCAACATCATTATCAAACAGTTTGTAAACTGTTTGAATTTCTTTGTTGAATTGTATAAATTTACATATACTGTAATATGTGGGTTTTTTTGGCACCAAGTATGTTTTTGCGATTTCAAAGCCCAATCTTTATTTTCACATTTTTCCTTGCCCCTGACTAATCTCCATTAAGACAAAATGTATGCAATGTTTCATTTTTGTCGAGCCTGCGACTTTTGTCGCAGAAAGCTCGACATAGGGATAGCGATCCGGCGGCGGCGGCGGCGGCGGCGGCGTTAGCTAACTTCTTAAAAGCTTTATATTTTAGAAGATGGAAGACCTGGATGCTTCATACTTTGTATATGGATGCCTCATGTTACGAAGTTTCCGTCAGTCACATGTCCAATGTCCTTGACCTCATTTTCATGGTTCAGTGACTACTTGAAAAAAAAGTTCAGATTTTTTGTAATGTTAAATTCTCTCTTATTATAAGTAATAGGATAACTATATTTGGTATGTGCGTACCTTGCAAGGTCCTCATGCCCGACAGACAGTTTTCACTTGACCTCGACCTCATTTCATGGATCAGTGAACAAGGTTAAGTTTTCGTGGTCAAGTCCATATCTCAGATACTATAAGCAATAGGTCTAGTATATTTGGTGTATGGAAGGACTGTAAGGTGTACATGTCCAACTGGCAGGTGTCATCTGACCTTGACCTCATTTTCATGGTTCAGTGGTTATAGTTAAGTTTTTGTGTTTTGGTCTGTTTTTCTTATACTGTATGCAATAGGTCTACTATATTTGGTGTATGGAATGATTGTAAGGTGTACATGTCTAGCTGGCAGGTGTCATCTTACCTTGACCTCATTTTCATGGTTCAGTGGTCAAAGTTAAGTTTTTGAGTTTTGGTCTTTTTTTCTAATACTGCATGCAATAGGTCAGCTATATTTGGTGTATGGAATGATTGTAAGGTGTACATGTCTAGCTGGCAGGTGTCATCTTACCTTGACCTCATTTTCATGGTTCAGTGGTCAAAGTTAAGTTTTTGAGTTTTGGTCTGTTTTTCTAATACTATATGCAATAGTTCAACTATATTTGGTGTATGGAAATATTTTATGATCTATATGTCAGTCACGCAGGTTTTATTTGACCTTGACCTCATTTTCAAGGTTCATTGCTCAGTGTTAAGTTTTTGTGTTTTCGTCTGTTTTTCTTAAACTATAAGCAATAGGTCAACTATATTTGTTGTATGGAAGAATTGTTAGCTGTACATGCCTGCCTAGCATGGTTCATCTGACCTTGACCTCATTTTCATGGTTCATTGGTCAATGTTTAGTTTACTTGGTTAATGTTAAGTTTATGTGACAGTTGTAATAAAGCTTTATATTTAGGACTATCAACATAATATCAATGATTAGTAAAGAAGGCGAGACATTTCAGCGTGTGCACTCTTGTTATAATTTAATCTTAGTAAAAAAAAATGCAAAAATAAGCCTCTCACAAAAATTAGTTTTTTTACAGTAAAGCTGACTAACTTTTATACGCCCGTTTACTGGACGTATTATGGTATACCATTGTCCGTCTGTCCGTCCGTCCGTCCGTCCGTCCGTCCCTCTGTCCGTCGTCAACATGTCGGACATCAACTCAAAAATGCTTTAACCAATTTGCATAAAACTTTGGTGAATTGTTTATATCTATTGACGTGAGCTCCCTTTTGTTTTTTATAAAATTTATATTTTACGTTTCCGAGTTATGGGGTTTTGTTCATTAAAAAAAGGGTGATTTTCCAGTTTTTGGACAATAAGTCAAGAATGCTTTCACCAACTTGCAAGAAATTGTGGTGAATTGTTTATATCTATTGACATGAAGTCCCTTTCGATTTTTATAAATTTTAGATTTTACGTTTCCGAGTTACAGGGTTTTATTCATAAAAAAAGGGGGAATTTTCCAGTTTTTCTGACAAAAACTCAAAAATGCTTTCAGCAATTCTTATGAAATTTGGTGAATTGTTTGTATGTATTGATGTAAGCTCCCTTTTGAATTTTATAAATTTTACATTTTACATTTCTGAGTTATGGGGTTTTATTCATTAAAAAAAGGGGTGATTTTCCAGTTTTCTGACAATAACTCAAAAATGCTGTCACCAATTCTCATGAAACTTTGGTGGATTGTTTATATCTATTGATGTAAGCTCCCTTTTTATTTTCATAAATTTCTAATATGACATTGAGAATTAATTGAACTTTATTTGTGTATAGTCTGACAACAGATTTACTAAGTATTGCACAACAGCAAGAAATCTTTAATTGAATATAAATTCAATCATACAACCAATTTCAAGATCTTTGACTACATTTATTCAGAAACCTATAATATGTCAAATATTTAATTACAATCCAAACTCAGACCTGAATCAAGCTTGAATATTGTGTCCATTTTTGCCCAAACTGTTCAAGGTTGGACCTCTGCGGGCGTATCTAGCTGCGCTCAGCGAAGCAGTTTATTTCAATTTTTATACTTTTGAACTAATTCTTAACACTACATTTAACAAACAATTAATAAATTTATGTGCATTTAAATTTCAGGACGATATCGATCCAAATAAAACTATGGAAATTGCCCAGGATTTAATACCAGCTACATTACTACTTCTTGAGGCTTATGGTGTCTTTGCAAGGTATATCTATCATATTTTAAAGTTAATATGTTATAACTTGCATGATATATGAATTAATTGATATTTATTGAGCACCAAAGGTGTATTTTTGGTCAAAGAGTAGGATTGCTGTGGCCTTCTCATTTTAGAGCAGAAACCGCATACATTTCTCGATAAGTCAAAGCCGAAAGTCCTTACATAAATATTTGACTTGCCTAACAATTAACCTGAGTGCCACCAAAGCAGTTATGGTCTAAAATAGTTGTTTCTTAATTACTTGTAAGAAAAATTGTTTAACTCAGGAATGGTTTTTGTATGTAATAATCTATGTACTAAATGATCATGATTTCGCTCTTGAAAAAGTTTAGTTTTCTGTCAATTAGCTATGTGATGTACATGCTGTAAATTTGGAACCTCATATTAAGAAAATTTCAGATGAATTACCCTTTTCAGAATCTGAATCATAGTGTGTGTACCCCAAAATGAAAATAATGTTGAATTCTAATTGTTAAGGATGTGTTTAACGAATCACAAAGATTCAGTGTACGCTTTATGGAATATTTCTCATAATTCATTAGTTTCTGAAACTTGGAATTTATAAGAATTTAATTTTTACAATGTCATTCAATTGTTTTACACCAGATCCTGTATTTTGGGTAAACTGCACTGTGAAGAGGATGGAGAACTTCAAGTAACAAATAAACAACAGAAGGCCTATGGTATAGTGATGAGTATTGGATCAACAAATCATTCCACAACAATGTTACTGGCTAGGGAAATAATGGCTACTTTACCCAGGAAACTATCACAGGCCATTGATAAATGGACAACATCTACAAAAGTTGTCTTCCCTGGAAATGCATCATGGGTAAATAAATGCGTATAATTTAGTAAAATTTACTTTAAACCTTGTGAAGCCTTATATTGTAATATGAATTTTGAACTTTTCTTTGTTATATGGGAAAAGAAAAATGTGAAAGTCGATACTGAATTAAATGATGATTAACAGAAAATTTTGTAGTCCCAAATTTGCATCATAAGTCATGAAAATGTAAATTGATGTTGAGTAAAAAAGTAATTTATTTCTGCCGAATGTTTTTATACATGTAGGTCAAATATATCTTCTGAATGTTTTTATACGTGTAGGTCGAATATTTCTTCTGAATGTATGTATACATGTAGGTCAAATATTTCATCTAAATGTATGTATACATGTAGGTCAAATATTTATTCTAAATGTATTTATACTTGTAGAACAATTATTTCTTCTAAATGTATGTATACTTGTAGAACAATTATTTCTTCTGAATGTATCTATACATGTAGGTCAAATAATTCTTAATCTTTAATATTGCTATTTATAGAAGGGAGATTACAGTAATGATTTGATACCAGCTGAGAGCTACATAGAAGCCATTCTGAGTTCACACATAGAGACTATGTCAGTAGAAGCTACCTTCAGTGTGGACATGTCAATCAGACATATGCTGTCATCACTCGTCAAGTTTGCATCGGATTTAACTACGTAAGTAAACACGTCCAAGGTTAAAAAAAAAAAAGTGGATATAATTCATCAAATTTTTATGCATTGTGGAATTATATAGAAATGCCTTGCCTTCTATTGTGATAATGACATTTAAAAACTGCAAATTTATATTGAAAATGAAAAAAAATCCAAAATATGAGGCCTCATAGTGACCTTATCATCACTAATTCTTGTAGGTTGCACTTCTGTCAATACAGACTATGCAATTTCCAATAGGAACTCCCTTTACGGGTAAAACTGTGAAACTGTGAAACTTTTACTATGAAGTTTCATAAAAAATCATATCCTAGAATGGAAAGTTTATATGCACTACTATTTTTTGCAAAGGTCAAAACATAGGGTTGTGTGTCATATTCTCAATATTTATATGCCTTGAACTTTTAAGGGTTTAAACTTATACTTAAATTCTTTACTACCCCTCCCTTTACTTGGAGTCCTCCTGAGAATTAAATTTGTCTGTAATCTAACAGTTTTATACTGGTAAAATTCCTAAGTTGTGTCTCTGAGATGAAACATGGAGATCATATCTGGGAACCAGTAGGTAAACACAACAAATTACCTATGATATTATATATCTTCCCAAAAGAGGCGTGGTTTGTGAACCAGCTGTATTTACAAGGGGCAACCTGTATGTATTTGTCCTGTTACATTTAATAATAAACATTTATTATAATAAAAAAGAGTGAAAATAACAACACAATATGCTGTGTGCTTTTGACTACTGTTAAAAGGCTTGTATAGTCCGCGGTTTTATTCTCCAAAATTGACCCTGACAGCAGGGGTGCGGACTATAGAGTACAATAAGCAAGAAATAAGAGAGAAAATTTCAATTTCGCGATGTGGTTTGTTTACGTTCCGCCATGTTTGTTATTGACATTGTAGAGGGCGCTCTTATCATTTTTCAAACCAATAATTTTACTCAATCCATATTAATAAGTTATTTTTATTCAATATCAAATTAATACTGATAAAGGAGTAGGTCCGGTAAGGGCCGATTTTGGCCTCAAATTTCAGTTTCATCTGATGAAAGATTTTGGACACTTTTTAAACACTTAAGTGTCTACTTCAGTCGATTCAATTAGTTTATGTGAAAGATTTGAAATGATTTAGTCTTTAAAAACGCCCAAATTCAAGCTTAAATATGGAAAATCTATCAAATATGCCAAAATATGTCACTTTTCAGATGGTTTTTCTCAAAAATGAAAGTGGCCGCATCCGTGTTCACTCTCAACCTTTATATATGTTATGTATTATCATCAAATACAACTTACATTTAAATATTAAGAATGAACACAAATGCAGCCACTTCCATTTAAGACGGAAACCGTCTAAAATTTAACTCAAATGCTAAAATTTTTAAGATTTCAGTAATTTAGCATGACTAAATGATGCTAGTACCTGATATATGTTGATTGTATTGTCAAAAACAGCTCGTATTTAGGTAACAGAAATATTCTTCTTTACAATAAATAACTTAAAGTTTACATTTTAACAATTTTGTAAAACTGCTATATTTTGGGGCCAAAAAGGGGTCTTACTGGACCAACTCCTTTAAAAATGAGTTGCTTCATTACTAAATTCTCGTTTCTTTTCAATGCATTGCTAAATATAAACTGGTATCTGCTTGAATGAAATCGTACAAAAAAAGTAAAAAAAGACAACCGTAAACCAGCTTACGATGTGTAAACTACAAAACGTAATCGGTTATTATTCGTTCCGTTTTGGTGTTTCCTATTGACAAATATGTTTTGTATTAGCTTAAGACCCTTCAAACATTAATGTGATAGATATATTAAACACTGTTTTACATAAGGAGGGAACTGTTTTACTTTCAAAGTCGTATTATAGTGATATCTATTATGTACGGATTTCGACTCTCACCGGGTTTTTTTTTCATCTTTTACACATGCTTTTCAAACTTACAAGTTTCAAAATTGTTTTATGTGTGATTTAGACTTATTTAAACCAGCGTGAAGTGTTTTAGAACCATTTATAAGCAGTTTTAGCTTCTGTTTGGTGATGGAAAATAGGTTTTTCCAAGAAAATACCGCAAACGACCACACACGATTTAAAATTACGGGAGTTTCATTAGACCTTTTCTAACAGTTACAAAAAGTTTTTTTACCTGAAATTTCATGGGGAGAAGGGGGTGCGGACTATGTACCAGTGCAAACTATACAAGCCCGATTACGGTACATATTTTAAAAAAGCATATTCATGATTTGAAAAAAAAAAGGAAATAATTATTTCTTTTTCTGTTGTAGATGGTGTCCAGACACAAACAGTAGTAAAGAAATGGTCAGAGTTATGTTTCCATTGACTGTAGAGGCTGCTGCTGTCTCCATGGATGAAATGGTAAGACAAGGATTTTATTAAATGATATAGATACTCGTGAGTTAAGGTTAAAAAAAACTTTTAGTCAAATAAAAATTTGACCTGGCTAGAAATGCAGTTGATTATCTCTCAATGGCACTGGTGAAAAAATTGTAATGAGCAAGAATGACTACTGTAAACAACTGATAATCCCTGCAGAACAATGTGAAAATCTTTGTAGAACCAAAGATAAATTCACAAATTTGATCTTGTAAAACCAAAAATGAATACACAAATTTAACCTTGTAGAACCAAAGAAAATCCACAAACTTAACGTAGAAAAAAAAAAACCACACAAATTTGACCTTGTAAAACCAAAGTTAGATATACAAAATTAACTTGTATACCAAAGATGAATATGCAAATTTAACTTTGTAGAACCAAAGATAAATACACAAATTTTACCTTGTAAAACAAAAGTTAAATACACAAATTTAACCTTGTATAACCAAAGAAAAATTCACAGATTTAACCTTGGAAAACCAAAGATAAATACACAAATTCAATCTTGTTGAACAAAAGATAAATACACAATTTTAACCTTGTAGAACCAAAGTTAAAGACACAATTTCAACCATGTGGAATCAAAGATGAATGCACAAAATTAACCTTGTAGAACCAAAGATAAAAAAAAAAAAACATTTGATTTTGTTGAACCAAAAATAATCCTCAAATTTAACCATGTAGAACCGAAAATAAATACTAAAATTTAACCATGTAGAACCAAAGATATATACACAAATTTCACCTTATAGAACCGAAGATGAATACACAAATTAAACCATGTAAAAAAAAAAGATAATATAAATTTCACATTCCGATTCTTTTAAATAATTGAGCTTTGCACTAATTGACATAATAACATCAAAATATTTTAATCTTAGAGTACAATATTTTCTCCTGTGATAGGAATAAAATATGAAAATTGTTTTATTTCCTATTTTGGCAAACCTATTTAAAATTTATGTATTGTTTTTATACATGAAATTTAAGGATTGAGAAGAGATGTAGCTTACATAAAAAGATATTAAAGTCTTTTTTAATCATTCATATTTTGAACAAAATTTTTAAATCAACGTTAAAATCTTGAACTTTATACATGTTTGTTGTAGGTTTGGATGTCTTTGGAACGTTTCTTAGGACCAGCTGACGGTGAAGAATACTTAGAAAAGACTTTTTACTATTGTATATCTGTTTGTAACAATTTGATTGTGAATTATTCTGACACAGAATTTGGACTAGAAGAAAAGGTTTTCATAGAATGCCTGAAATTTATGGAGAATCACCTGGAATCTAAGGCAGAAAGAAAGGCTTTTGAAAAATTCTTCACCGAAAAAGGAGGTAGGGTTAAAAAATTGAGAGATGTATATACATCTTTTTATCTCAAGTTTCTTTATATAGTCTGTTAAAGCATATGTTCATATGTAGTTAGTCAAATTTTTGATGTTTGTCTAGAAGGGTTTTAAAAATTCTTTTTTATAATACTGTTCATGCATAAGTTTTTGTTAGGGTTTTTGTTGGGGTTTCAAATGTTTTTTTTGATGGATAAACATTTTTCCTGAATTTAAAAACCTAAGGGAAAAAAAATCGAAGAAGATGATTACCTTAATTGAATGAATATCCCCAATTACTGTTAAGAAGTAAATAATCTTTTATTTTAAATTACAGATTTAACCACACTGCTGCTAGGAGCCTCCAGGAAGAATTTATCTTCACAATTTTCAACATATATTTTGAAGTTTTTGAACAGATTGTTGACCTTAGGTAAGTTTTATCACAAGCATGCTGTTTTCTATCCTTGGGTATTTACCTTATAATTTATTGCTTGTTGAAAATGAAAATTCATAACAGAGATGTGGTAGGATGTGTATTTTCTTTCCAGAATTCATACATATAATTAATTCCTAATGCTGGAAAAACCTGAATTCCTTGCGTTTGGGTTTTGTTCGTGTTTTGTGATTTAGAAGGGCAGTTGATTCTTTACTGTAGTTATTATTTGCATTTCATGGCCGTGTACAATGAATTCAAATGAAGAGTGAAATAATCATGGTAAAGTTTCTGATGCTTAAATAGCGAAAATTCAACACACACACACAATTTTCATCATTATATGGTAATAAAATAGCTTGTAAAAGGTCCTGCTACTTAGAATAACTTTATATCTTCTTCTAGTTGAAATATATCTTGGAGTTTGTTTTATAACGTCATTTTAAGTAGGCAGCATGGTGAAGATTGAAATGTTTCTAAAACAAATGATAAAAGTTTAACATATTGCTTATGTACAATAGCTTCACATGCAATCAATTATGTTCAGTGTGACCTTTTTGGTGAAAGTTGATGTCCTAATTTTATCATGAAATTGCATAGCTGCCATTGTTTATACATAGAAAGTAGTAAATAGCTTAGATTTGATAAATGTTTCAGCTGAGAAGAATTCCACTGATACAAGCTATGAAGTTCTGTGTGGAACCCTATCTAAGCTGACAGAAGTAGACAATTTAACGCTACAGAAATGGCTGTCAAAAATGATTGTTTCTTCCCAGGTATGTTTTCAGGTGGGATTAGATTATACTTATTAATTTTGTAAAGAAAGATCAGTATGTGTTTATTTACTTTTGTCTATGTTTTTAGCACTGGTGTAGTTTATATATATATAATTAGATTGAATAAGACTTTTTATTAAAGGTTTTTGGGGAAATTGTTGACACCAATTATAACTTTTGAAGGCTTATATATACAAAAATATATGGAAATATGATGAAAGCACTGTTATGTTCAAGAATAAGAAGAATGCCTGTAAGAATTACCTGAGTTACAGTGTTTCAAAAGCAATTTTAGTTTAACAGCTATCAATTTTAGCAGTAGCTTTTATTGAAATAAGAATACATTTGACCAGTGACAAATTATTTGTATAAAGTTGGAGTTGTTCCACTTGTATATTAATTGATTTGCCAATTTCTTTTCTCAGTACACAGACAAGTGTCTTATCTAATTGAAAATTTTGTAATGCATTATGCATTCAAATATTAAAATGATACTTTTCTTACTCAATGTTGTAGGCATAGCAAAAACCGTAAGAAAATAGTTCATGTATGCTGAAATGATTTTTTGTTAAACATCCCAAAATAAATAAATGTGTCTTTGTAGAAGGAAGACGAAGAAGAAAAGACTCTAAGAGAAAACAGAATGTTATTGAGAAATATCACTATCCATATTGTCAAGGAAAAAAGGTTTGTTTAATTCTATAAATAAATTTGACACAAGTTAAAAGATTATACAGCAGTTTTCATGAAACTTTTTGAAACAAATTTAAATTTATGTATAGGTTGTAAGCTCTGTGGCATCTCCATCTTTCATTCAGTTATTTTAAAACTTAAACCTTTTTAGCTCACCTGGCCCAAAGGGCCAAGTGAGCTTTTCTCATCACTTGGTGTTTGTCGTCCGTTGTCGTCATTAACTTTTACAAAAATCTTCTCCTCTGAAACTACTTGGCCAAATTAAATCAAACTTGGCCACAATCATCATTGGGGTATCTAGTTTAAAAAATGTGTCTGGTGACCCGGCCAACCAACCAAGATGGCCGCCATGGCTAAAAATAGAACATAGGGGTAAAATGTAGATTTTGGCTTATATCTCTGAAACCAAAGCATTTAGAGCAAATCTGATATGGGGTAAAATTGTTTATCAGGTCAAGATCTATCTGCCCTGAAATTTTCAGATGAATCTGACAACCCGTTGTTGGGTTGCTGCCCCTGAATTGGTAATTTTAAGGAAATTTTGCCGTTTTTTGGTTATTATCTTGAATATTATTATAGATAGAGATAAACTGTAAACAGCAATAATGTTCAGCAAAGTAAGATCTACAAATAAGTTAACTTGACCAAAATGGTCAGTTGACCTCTTAAGGAGTTATTGCCCTTTATAGTCAATTTTTAATCATTTTTCGTAAATTTTTGTAATCTTTTGCAAAAATCTTCTCCTCTGAAACTACTAAGACAAATTTAACCAAACTTGTCCACAATCATCATTAGGGTATCTAGTTTAAAAAATGTGTCCGGTGACCCCGCCCACTAAACAAGATGGCCGACATGGCTAAAAAATAGTACATAGGGAAAAAGGCAGTTTTTGGCTCATATATCTGAAACCAAAGCCTTTAGAGCAAATCTGACAAGGATAAAATTGTTCATTAGGTCAAGATCTATCTGCCCTGAAATTTTCAGACCAATCAGGCAACACGTTGTTGGGTTGCTGCCCCTGAATTGGTAATTTTAAGAAAATTTTGCAGCTTTTGGTTATTATCTTGAATATTATTATAGATAGAGATAAACTGTAAACAGCAATAATGTACAGCAAAGTAAGATCTACAAATAAGTCAAACATGACCAAAATTATCAATTGACCCCTTAAGGAGTTATTGCCCTTTATAGTCAATTTTTTACAATTTTCATAAATTTTGTAAATGTTTGTAAATTTTTACAAAATATTTTCCACTGTAACTACTGGGCCAAGTTCATTATAGACAGAGATAATTGTAAGCAGCAAGAATGTTCAGTAAAGTAAGATCTACAAACACATCACCATCACCAAAACACAATTTTGTCATGAATCCATCTGTGTCCTTTGTTTAATATGCACATAGACCAAGGTGAGCGACACAGGCTCTTTAGAGCCTCTAGTTTTATTAGGAGCCTCTCATTTTGTTCATGAAAGTGAGTATTGTTTATTGTATTTATCAAGGGAATATTTCATCTTGCATATATTCAAATGGTTTACCAATTCATACTTCCAAATTGAAAAGGTGAATCTTGTGTGCTGTAATGAATTCAAGCATGATTTCGTCCTCCATCTCCTTTTCAGTTCAGTGAGTGAGAAGGTTGCTCTGGCTATATTGTCAGCTATGATACCCATGGGAGAAGTGATACTAAGTAAAGAGAAGGACACGTCAGCTTTCCCTGAACTGATGAGTGTGATGCAGACGCTAGCAGGGGCAGGACACGGTGTAGGACATAAATCTCTTTTCCCAGCAGCCACAGGATGGCTAGAAATATGGTAAGCATTTGAAAGTTGGATATTTTGCTTTTATTATTTCGTGCCAGGAAAAAATTTACATGTACACAAAGATGGCACCAGTATGTCAAGATATTACAGAAAATGATAAACTATTGTTTTACTAACTAGTGTCAAGTTCTCTGTGCACAAAAATTTAATATTAATGATAATTTGATTATTGCAAATACTAATTAGAAGTAATATACATATATCATCAGTTACCTTTCAAAGTTTTGTGTAATTATTTTTTTAATTTTGAAAATTTGTTTCTGGTTTTTTAAATCATATCTTTTATCTTATTTTATTTTGGGAAGTTTTGATGAATAGGTTTGATAATAATTTTTTATTAATTATTTTAAAGTAATCAACAATTATCAGAGAAGGAAGTCTTGGACAGTTTGACAGACAGTGGCAACAAAAGGAAGGTCAGTAGAATTGTCTATTTGTCAATGTAAGTTTCCTAATGGTTAATTTTAATCTGTCTAATTAAAATTTGTACTTTATACATTAGCTTTGAAGTTTTTAAAATCTTGACTTAAGCTGGAATTGTGTATTATGTATAATTTCCTTTCTCAGTGGAGTCGAGTGATATGAAAATTATCGCTAGAAACTAAGGGGGCACGTGGCGTTGCTAATGAAATTGACATTAAATTGACAAACGTCGTCATAGGTAAAATAGCGATAAACAGATTATCATTGGTCATCTCAACTCAATTGCTTTTCTCTCTTTCGCCGGCTCAAGCAAGAAAACCAATCTCGTTGAGATGATCAACGATAATTTATAAATACACTACAGAACTAACAATTAAGATTTTTTGTAGGCGATATTGGACACCATTTGCTGTTTGCTGTCATACATAGGAGATATTCTTAGTGCACTGAAAAGAAACTCGGAAAAGTAAGTTTTGTCATGTTCAACTAATACGAAATAACTCAGAATATAATGTCAAACTTTATGCATACAAAAATGATTTCCAAAATGTGCTGAATTTAGTATGACTAGATTGGAAATGATGTTTTTGCAGGATGATCCTCCCATTTCAGTTTATTCTGATCTGACCAGAATAATATTTGTATTTATTGGTGATTAGTGCAGAAATAATGTGAAAAGATAAAATGTTTGAACAACATTTTTTTTGCATTTTGACAACCTCGAAATTTTAGTTAAATTGTGAAGTTATGTGTGCTACAGTCTTAACTGAATTGTGCATATAAAAATAAGGAGATGTGGTATTATTGCCAATGAGACTACTCTCCACCACAGTTATGTTTCCTGGAATATTTACACATTTTTCAGATGAAGTGAGTCATATATACTTGACAACAAATATTTTTAATGCTAAAGCTTATATGTATATTGGTCCCAAGGTCATCTTTACTTTTATATTTTTAGGAGTGGACTTGTACCATCAGACGATGCTGATACTACTGCTGTAGTGGTAAGGATTTAATCATTTACCAAATTTGATTGAATAACAGACAATTTCTTACTGCTTTTCATTAAAGTTCACCATGGGAGATTTGTTATCAATAAACAAATACTGATGTTAAATAGATAAAATGAAGAGCCCAAAGATCATTTTATTAATGATTTACTGAAATAGACTTGTTTATCAATAACTTAACTGTTGACATGTAAAAGGTTTCTTTGTTGCATGAACCTAAAAGTGAAACTTGACTGAAAACAGGAAATATACAAACTCTTTCCTATTATATCCAGTGTTTATTTTTTAAATTTTAAACTGAATCCTGAATATCTAATAATTAAGCATCCATTCCCGAGTCCCCATAAGTGTAAATCCTGAATTATCTCCAAAATGAACGCCTAAGCTTGTCATCCTGAAAAAGGTCCTTCCGCCCCTCCGGACAGCATCTTATTCATCTACTCTTAAGCATTTACTGATGCATGTCTTGTGTTCTCATTTTATGGTATGAGTTGTCTTCTCTTGTTAATTTTAGGAAGCTGATAGTGATTGGGCAGAAGATATAGCACAAGAAGATGAAGATTCAGCAGCAGAAGATTCTGTATGTATTTACCGTGAACAAGATCTGTCATGGTTGAATTAAATCATTGCTGCTTGCTTAATGTCTAGTGTCATGATTGGTTATGGTTTTTTACAAATAAGATATGTAGTTGTGGGCAAGGTAGAATCAAATAAAGTATAGAGAATGATAGTAAATCAATGGAACAAAACAGTTATAAGGGCTCTGATTTTGTAATTTTCTTAATGTTCTAGCATTACCTTGATTTATTTTCATTTTACACCTTGCAGCATAAACCAATCAGATTTGGAGAAATCTTCTGGCAAGTGTTGAATTTTATTATATGCTCTTTGGAAAAAGGTTAGAATATGAAACTTGAATTGCTCAGGTGTAACCCAGGTAAATCTAAAGATAAGGTACAGGAATTGAGTAGTTTCATCTGAGCAAAACGATAAAAGTGTAATTGAATTTTTACCAATTTTATGAACATTTGGTGGTGTATGCTGCAAAGAATGTGAAATAAAAAAGGGAAATTTTTATGATTATAATTTTTTTTCTTTTTTTGTAGGATGAGGAATCACTGAACAATAAGTTATGTACTTTTACAGTAACACAGAAAGAGTTCATGAATCAACATTGGTATGTATTTAGAGGGCATAATTAAGGTTAACAGTCACGAAGCAATAGAGCATTTTGTTGAAAAAGTAATCACAGAGTCAAATCCAGTTTCTACTGATCCCTTGAGGGTCAGAAAGAATTCCTGTCCAGCTTTTGCAAGGGAAACATTGGTTTATTTGGGGAACTGCAATGCATCTTCTTGACTTCAGTAATTTAATGTCTTTATGAATATAATTCGTAGTTGAAATTTTAAAATTATCATTCCCAAGGCATAAACTATAGAAAGAAAATTTGTCAATCACAGATAATAAAGATTTTGTACACACGGTGAAATTGCTTAACGTTATCCTAAAATGTTAACTAGAAATAATAAAATTTACAAATGTATAAATCAGATTGAACAAGAAAAGAAAAATGTTTTATTCTTGTTATGGCTATAATCTGATATTTTTAGGTATCATTGTCATGATTGTAAGATGGTAGAAGGAGTTGGAGTTTGTACAGTTTGTGCCAAGGTATGCCACAAAGGTCATGACCTCACTTATGCTAAATTTGGATCATTCTTCTGTGATTGTGGAGCCAAGGATGACAGCACCTGTAAGGTAAGTACCAGTATTGAATACTGTATTGTTTAGTGTTTCTACCGTACACTGAAAACAGGAAAAAGTTTGGAACTTATTTGAGGATGTTCAAAACCTTTAGAAATGTGAGATATGGAGAAATACATAGAAAAGTTGTGATTTATAATGCATATCTACAATACAGACGTAATGTTGCCAACTTGTTACCCAAGATGAAACAAAATGGAACTATTATATGTTATGGAGACCTTGATTTGGCATAATTAAATCTCATTCAAATAATTGTTTTTACCTGTAAGTATTTTTTTTGTGGATTTCAGGTGAACCACAAATTTAAATGTGCAATGTAATTAAAATTAGATATAGGCTTGTATGCCGATTTTGCCCAAACCACAAAAATACAATTTTTTCTCAGTCTATCATAATTGGTACTCACAAAAATAAATGATTCCACAGTACACAAACTAATCTATTAATTGTAAACATAATCTGCATTACAGGCACTAGTGAAAAGATCATCACAAGTTGGAATGGATACTAATGACAATATGAATTCACAGTCCCCATTCTCCATGGACAATATTTTGCCTAGTAGTCTTCGACGTCGTATGTCAGCCACAGGAATGACAGAAAAACCTACCAGTATCAACAAAGTGGCAGAGCAGGTCAATAAAGCTAGAGAGGCTCTCTGTAAACAAGTGGAAGGTTGTAAAGAATTGTTACTTAATCAGTTGGTAAGAAGTTCTTAGTTAACCAATTTTTTTCAAGAGAAGGCATTAGTTAAGGAGGGGCCTCAGTGTCCGAGTGGTCTAAGTAGGTAATCTACCGTATCAATAGCCTGTCAACACTCAAGTTATGAGTTTGAACCCAGCAGGTGGCAGGTGTGTTTGACTCCAATCTTTATTGACTTGGATTGTCAGTTTTCCTGCGGAAGGTCAGTGGTTCTCACGGTGCACCCCAGCTTCCTCCACCAATGAAAACTGATAGCCACAATATAGCCAATTGTGCTGACAGTGGCGTTAAACACTGACAATTGATCAATCAATCATAGATTTAGGAGCAATTTGTCCTACTGTCAGCTGATGAAAGAAATGGAAATGAAAAAAATCCCCACACACTTACATAATTTTAGATGTTTAAAAATGTAAGAAAGGAAAAGTCACAGAGAAAAAAAAAACAATTGTCTTGCAGATGAAAATTTATTGTCTATTAGAAGATAGAATTGGGTTATTGAAGTCATATATTAGCATCAACAGGATTTAAGCCCTGTGTTGTTGTTTTAGAATTAGTATGAATATAGCTTTGCAATGTTTTGTATACAAGCCAATTATGAAAATGACTTTTTATTATTGTATATTTTTAATTACCGAAAAAAACTTATATAAAACCATTTTGCTAGACAACCTATTATAGTATAATTTTACTTTTTTTACAGGAACAGTCACAGACAGTGAAAACAGTATTAACCATGTTGGAGACTATTCTGCCAACATTGACAGAGAATTACCAGAAGGTATCACCAATGGGTAGTACAAAGAGGGCACAGAAAGCATTACATGATCTACATAACTTACCAAAAACTACAGAAAATACAGAAAATCTTATGGTAAGGATACACCAACTCAATGATGTCAATATGGTTGTTTTTTTAATAACTTTTAGATTGTATGTTATAACAGAAATCAAACTAAATTGCAAAATATGTTTCACGATTATACATTTTTTTTAGATATCTATGATTTCTGTTTTAAAAGTATTACTGTAAATTCTGAAATTTTTGCAAGGTTCTTATTAATGCGAAAAATGCAACTGGGTGAGTATTGCAATAATAAGAACTCACATTCTGATGTCTGATGCATATATTGGTATACAGCTTTTCTTTAAATAGCAATAATTAATCTCACATTTTTTCCAGAAGATGCAATAATAAATGCACAATAATTTCTGAATTTGCTGTAATTGAAATTAATAAAAGAAATTTACTTAATTTTTCTTTTTTTTCATTTCAGACTGTTACCCTTGGATCCCAGGAAGGTGCGTTTGAAAATGTACGGATGAATTATAGTGGAGATCAAGGACAGACAATTAGACAATTGATCACTGCTCACATGATTAGAAGAGTTGCCATGTGTGTATTGGCATCCACCCAAGGAAAGAGACAACATCTAGCTGTCAGTCATGAGAAAGGAAAAATAACAATCCTGCAGTTGTCAGCTTTATTAAAGCAGGCTGATTCTAGTAAAAAGAAATTAACCCTGACAGTAAGCACGCTGTTTGGCATTAAGTTGTTACATGCAAAATTGTTTTGTAGATTCTATATATGAAAAGATTTGAAAATTATTTAATTTTGGATTCTATTTAATCTTATTTATTTATATATATTTTAGAATAAGAAGGATGAGATATTTTGCAGATTAAAAGAACATTAATGAAAAATTTTGAAATGTGTTTTTCTTATATACAGTTGACCCTTTCTGTCTTGTTCTTTATGTCAAATATTAAAAAAAGAATAACTGCAAAGGTTTAGTTTAAGCTGTATGTAATTTTGATAATATAGTGTCTTCTTTTTTCTGTTGTCCTAGGGTAACAAATTTCTCAAGCTTGTTAAAATACATCTATAGTAGAGAAATACATATATAGCACAGTGAAATGAATGCTTTGTGTACATTATCTTCCGAATTGTAAACAATGGAAAGAAATTCTAAAAGGCCAATAAAGCTGAAGTGTTTGTAGATATGCTATTCATACAAGAAACATTGAAATATATGTGTTGATTTGACTTTTTTTCAGAGATTGGCATCAGCACCAATTCCATTCACAGTGCTGTCTATAACTGGTAATCCATGTAATGAAGATTTCCTGGCTGTGTGTGGATTAAAGGTAAACATCAAATCACACAATGTTGATTGTTTCACACATCTGAAATCTATCAATGCAATTTGGTAATGTAAGGAAAACTGTCCAAATCAAAATATAATGTATCATGATTAGAAGAATTTTATAACTGAAATGCCAAGTTGTGAGTGTTTCAGAATAGGTGATGATTTATTGCATACATTTTAAAAACTCAATTGATAAAATTAGTAACTTTCAAATATCATGGTGATGTTTAGGTAGAAAAAAAAGCTTGTTGAATACAGCTATTGATTATATTTGATTTTGATAATAGAACAGCATATTAACCTTTTTAGCTCACCTGGCCTAAAAATAGAGATTTTAGTCATGAAGTCTATTCCTTTCTACAATGTTGGAGAGTGTCCTTTGTTTGATATGCACGTAGACCAAGGTGAGCGAAACAGTCTCTTTAGGGCCTCTAGTTTGAAAAATAGTTTTAAAATGTTCTTCTGCAAATGTACATTAGTACAAATTATATAGCATTCTGTGTTTTAGTAATATTCATTGGTAATATTGACAATGTATTGTTTCAGGATTGCCATGTATTGACATTTACCAGTGCTGGATCTGTAGCTGATCACTTGGTTCTCCATCCTACACTTACTACAGGAAACTTTATCATCAAGGTATGTATGCTTAAAAGATAAAATTTATATTCACATCTTTTGATTTAGAAATCGGAAATATTTTTTTAAATTGAAATTATGTTTTTGTGTTGAGTGTTTTGTTACTGAGGTTCTTGAAAAAGATATTTTTCACACTCTTTTTGTGTATGATTTATAAAAGGTAGTATATAAGTTATTGCAGAGTTAGAAGTCCTAATTGGATGATACATATGAAAATAAGAAGTTGTGGTATGATTGCCAATGAGACAACTTTCCACCAGAGATGTAGACAGCTCTCTTACAAGCAAAAAAACCCTAACTGTAAAATATAAGGGCATACACCATAGACACAGGGACATATTCTACAGCATTCCCACAGCACCAGCAACAAACACTGCAGTAAATATATAAATAAGAAGATGTGGTATTATTGCCAATGAGACAACTCTCTACCCTAGATATGTATGGAAGAAATTAATCAATGTGTGTCATTTCTTGATACATACTTTGAATTTATTACCAATCCGTTTTAAAACTGATGAATGTTTTGTTCATATTACATTCAAATTTAGCTCTTGCTTATGATATCAGCCTTTGAGCCTGTTTGTTTTTATAATGAACCTGATATGAAAATAATGCTTTGCAATAATATGTTCCTTCTTGCAGCTATTTAATAATCATACAAGTATTTAAAAATGTAAGCTGAAATACAGTTTAAAAGTTGAGTATAAATGTGAAAGAATATGTACAATTGTATAATAATGATAGTAAAAATGAGTATTTGTATAATTTTACAGGCGATCTGGCTACCAGGAACACAAACAGAACTAGCTATTGTTACCGCAGATTTTGTCAAGGTAGGCATCTCTAAGAACATTAGCTTTAAACTTTGGTTATTATTTACTTTCTTATTTACTTCAGTAGAAGGAATTCATTTACTTATTTACTTCAGTAGAAGGAATACATTTACTTATTTACTTTAGTAGAAGGAATACATTTACCATTTGTCTGAAAGTGATCACATGTAAATTAGTCATTAGTTTTGATATGATATTAAAATTGCAACTAATCGATCATCAATACTTTCTATTCGATGTCGTGTGTTTTTAGTAATCATTGGGTACCAAGTTTTGTGGATTTTATGGGTTATGGTTATCTGTGATTTAAATGTTCAATAACATACACTGTCATTAAGGTTTATATACAGTGATTAAAATCATGAAATAGTTGTCCTTGACACTACAATTTTTCCTCTTCTAATAAAAAATTGGTACCCAGTAAAGTAAATGAATTTTAAGTATAGAATATAGATATAAAAAGATGTGGTATGAGTGCCAATGAGACAACTCTCCATCCAAGTAAAAATTTATAAAAGTAAACCATTATAGGTCACAGTACGGTCTTCAACACGGAGCCTTGGCTCACACCGAACAGTAAGCTATAAAGGGCCCCAAAAAATTACTAGTGTAAAACCATTCAAACGGGAAAACCAACGGTCTAATCTATATAAAAAACGAGAAACGAGAAACACTTATGAACCACACCAACAAACGACAACTACTGAACATCAGATTCCTGACTTAGGACAGGTGCAAACAAATGCAGCGGGTTTAAAAGTTTTAATGGTACCAAACCTTCACCCTTTTTCTGAAACAATAGTGTAACATCACAACATAGAAAGACACACTATAAAATATCAACTGAAATAGCTTAACTCAATCAAAGGACATATTAACACCATTGAACATACACTGAACAAATAAATTTGACCTATGACACAATGTAAATACAAAATAAATAAACTAAGGGAAGAATAATAAAAGTAACATGTTATATCGGTAAGAAATGTTAAACAATTAAAGAAAAGTATTTTTACAATTTTGTTAATGCTTTTCTGTTACAGATATACAATCTTGGATCAGATGCACTGAGTCCACAATATTTCTTTTTGCTGCCAAGTGGTAAGATCAGAGATGCAACCTTTGTCACCACAGAAGATGGATGTCACATGGTTCTAATGGCTTCTACAGGATACATCTACACCCAGGTCCTAGAGGAGACCAGTAGTGCTAAACATGGACCATTCTATATCACTAATGTGTTAGAAATTAACCATGATGATTTAAAGGTTTGTAGTATTACCTGAATGTTTTAAACAAAGCTAATTATTGATTATTTTATTGATCTTAATGGCTCATTTGTTTTTTATTTATTTGGCTAAGTGGATTTTATCTTCAGAAGGGTGTTAAAAGTTTTCTAGGGGTTTTCTTTACAAGTGACTTTTCACAAGTTTTTATTATTCATTCACCAGTCCAAAGTTTTAATTCAAATCAGAATGTTCTAATTCAGACAGAGTTCTTTAATGGAGTTAATAAAAAAAGTCCTGAATATTATTTTCTTTTTGTTATTTCAAAAGACTTCTTGAATATGCAAGAGTTGTCTCTGTTTATAAATACTAATACAGCAATGGGAATTTATATTTTCATGTGGTTCTTCCACTATTTAAAAATGAAAAAAGGGAGTATTGTATTACTATTACTTTTTAAAATTTAACTAGCTTAAATGGCTACATAACTAGGAGATATTCTATTTAATAAAAGATATAGTTTTTGAATTACGACTGAGAAGTGGTAAGAAACATTTTAAAATACATGACATACTGTACGTTCTAACTCTGTTATTGAAATAAAAATGGGATAAGTAATCAATATCATTTTGTATCTTTTCTTGAATATGGAATACCTCATTTACATGATAAACTAAAAATCATCTTATCAGGGGAGATTATTAGCCTAAAAATATATTATAATGTATAATTCAGTTGAATGTTTTCCACCATAAAGATGTTGTAGGCTTTGTTGATGTATATGTAATTTTAGGAGACTAACAATACAGGTTATTTCATAAAAATGAGTATGTGAGGGTACAAAGATAAGTTTAATTTGTTTACATAGGTTTTGGGTCATTTATGATTGTATGAACTTTGGATGTTTGCAAAATTACAAGAAAAAAGTTTGTGAGTTGTTGCAGTATTTTTGAAATACCTTCCCACCCTTCCACATCAGTTTCAATGGAATATTCCTTTTTTTTTTAAATACCTTCCTACCCTTCTACAATCATTGGGAGTTTTTTTTAATGATTTTTGATGATTTATGTGTACTTTCAGGAGACTAATGGTAACGTAGCAGGTGGAGGCGTGTCTGTATACTATTCCCATGCATTACAACTACTGTTTTTCAGTTATGCTCAAGGTAAATTAGTATGCCTTTAGTTGAGATTCATACCTTAGACTTGATTTGAGAAGTTTTAAGAAATAATCATATTGAAGACTGTATTTTAATACATTCAGAATTATTATCATATATGTATATCATACTGGAAGTACAGTCTTTTGTAAATTGAACAATATGATCCTTCTAAGACACATATAAGATTATTGCTGAACATCAGAGTAATTGGTGCTGAAAGTTGTGAGCTTATTAAAGTCCTTCTTAGAAGGTTTTACATCATGGGTCTGTTGACTCATAAACTTGCATTCTGTATCTCTGTGTGCCTTAGATACCACTGCGGGTGCACTATCTGTCCCAGAGGGTATCATCAGCTCGGTAGTCAGTACTTCGGTACTGACATCCTTTATAACAAACCTTTCTTGAATTGTCAGTTTATAAATAAAAAAAACCAAAAAAACTAAGGTTTCCTTAGGCAAAGTAGACCTTAGATTGATTTGGTTATTTTTAAGGTCCTTTTTGGTCATATAGATCTTCAGCTGTCATGTATCCTTGACTTTTAAATATATGGCTTTGAGCGTTCCTGATGAAGGATAATCCAGAAAAGAGCTTCAGACACATGAAAATTAAGTGCTGTTTTCATTTTTTTAATGAACAGTTTAGGGATGATTTATTGTATTATACACTTTGTCTACGGATTTCTAATGCATTTTCTTAACAGTAGTTTTACACACTCATTAAGGTAATTTCCTAGTGCCTCCTCTGTAAGTTAAAATTTGAAGTGTACATCTGTTACTGTAAGTATTAATCCTTTCAGGGTATGATTTAACTTTTATATGGTCTTAAATTCTTTGAATTCTTTTCAGGAAAAAGTTTTGCTGCCACAGTGACAAAAGACTTGTCAGTAACTTCTCTCTTGTTCCAGATTAGTCTTAAAAGGTAGGTAGTTTGTAAAAAAATTTAACATGTAAAATGTGTGCTTCAGCAAAGACCTCTCATCATTATATACATTCTTGTTTAATATTTGGTCAATATTAGTCTGAATAGTAAAATTCATGTACGATGCATAGAAAAAGTAGAAATGTGAGGCAGGATGAGCATTAGTTATTCCCTTTATACATCAAAGCTCAAAACCAAATATTTTGGGTAAAAATTGTGAATATTGTGGACAAGAAGCAGATGTAAAAAAAATCTGCCAGCCTGTATTTCTGTCTTATGTCAGAAATAAGTTCTTTGAAAACAATGTTCTACTAACAATCAAGACTTTTTATGCTAAGTGACGTTATACCACAAATGTTTTTGAATGCTCAAATGGTATGGTTGAAGTATAAACATGTATGCATTTTGTAAGTTTGATTATTATTTCAGTAATGGCACCAGCAAGGGTAGTAACAGCAGTCAGCCTTTGGTCCAATGGTCTGAGGTTCCAGGTCATGTTGGACTAATGTACTGTATGACACAGAGCACCAACAATCCTGTGGTCCTTATGATCAAACCAGATGCTATTTTGGTCCAGGAAATTAAAGTTGTTCCTGCAAAAGCCAAGGTGATTTAAAGATATATTGTCCTTGAATAGTTGAGATTTTTTTTTGGGCTCTTACACTGGCTAATATATTTAATAATAATAATATGTTTTTATGTTGTGATATAATTAGACTTGTTTTAAAATGAAACATATAGTTTGACCTTGATCTCAAATACTTTACATTATTTAGTCGTTATCAATTACACAGTCAACACATTCCTACATTTCTGCTATGGTTCTTTGTGTAGATAAGATAAAGTGAAACCTTTTAAGGGAAACATCAACCCTATAAGTGTTTTTAATAATAGATGTTTACCTTCAAACAAAATCAAACATGTAACTTGAAATAAATGTTTGTTGGGTTGTTTTTTTTCCAAATGAACACCACATAGGTTGTTAGATATTTGTAGGTCATTGTGAAGTTAATATTAACAGTTTTAGTGGTTATATTTTGCAGATTCAAGATGTTGTAGCTATCAGACATACTGCATCTAATTCAGATCAGGTAAGGATTTGAGTCAGTATTTGATAATATTTTATAACTAAGCGGATGTTCTTAAATAAGTCAAGTAATGATAACTGATTTCTGGGCTCTCAGTCATAGAATGTTACTCAGTACTCAAGAGTAAAAAATTTGTGCTAGAAACACCAAATCCAGTATCTTGATTGGTTGATTTCTGAGTCTTGAGTACAATAATCATGTTTAAAATTTTATGACCACAAGGCCTGGTCATCTGGACTGATTTACTTTTTAACTTTCATACTGGTTCAAAATGTGTCTTATTAAGTATATCTGAAAAGAAGAATAGGCTGTTTACCAATCAATGCTTTGAGAATTTTGTTTGACCAAGACAATATTATGCTTTTATTTGCAATCACATGATCAATTGATGAGGTGGAATGATAAAATACTGTGGATTCATTATTATTTGTGGGATACACATTTTTGTGGATTTTGTAGGTATGGGTAAACCATGAATTTAAATGTTCAACAAATTATAAATATTCAATAGATTTGTAAGCAAACGTTTGAAAAACCAGCAAATCAAATATCCACAAAAATACAATTGTTCCTAAATCCATGAAAATAAATGAATCCACAGTAGGATTGAAACAATGATATATTATTCAGCTTTTGTAGAGTAGAACTGGAAGTTTAAAGCGTTTTAATGAATAAATACATACTTCAGGCTAACAGATGCCTGTTGTAAATGCATTTACTTTCACCGTGATTTCAAGGAGCAAAATAATTTCTATCATCTCAAGTACCTTGCTTACTAAATACTTATTTTGAACAGCAAAGAACCACTATGATTCTGTTATGTGAAGATGGAAGTTTAAGAATATACATGGCCAACACAGAGAACACTTGTTACTGGCTCTCTCCCTATCTTCAACCACAAAGTCCAATTGCTGTCCTTAAGCCAGCCAAAAAGAAGAAGGTTACCAGATCAGGACATACTACAGGATCTGTGTCGTTCCCTGTAGATTTCTTTGAACATTGTTATCAGACAAATGACATTGAGTTTGGAGGAAATGATTTATTACAGTTGTATAATACACAACAGATTAAACATAGACTGACAGCCATTGGGATGTATGTGGCAAGCACAAAGGTAAGGTTGTATGATAGAAAAATGAAGATATCATTAAGTGTCGTAGAGACTATTACAGTTTAAATTGTCATAGTAAACTAGTAAAAAGCTTTTGAATAATTTTGGATAGTGTCAAAGCCTAACCATAAACTAAAACTTATCCTTACAAACCCAGAGCTTGATAGAGCAAACAAGGCACTAGGTATACAATATAAACCATAGCATGAGGGATATATTAGGTCTATGTCACATTTTCTATACTAAAATTCATGTATATTTTCTAAACCAATGTCTGATATGAACAAATAAATCATTTTTAAAGCCCTGTTGATACTTTCAAAGTTTTACAGTGAATTGAACAAATTTTTGTCCAATTGGGGTAAAATAGCAAAAGACATTTATTAGTGTTTAAGGGATATGGATAACAGCAAAATAAAAGGTAAGAGACGCCCAAATTAAGGTAGCACTACAGTCTAACAATGATTTTTTGAAGATATTTTTTTTATCACATAATTTTGAATTAAGTATTATTCTGCACAGTTTGTAAAAATCCCAAAGTCATTATCATATCACAACAGGGAGTAAATTGATAATGAACTTATGTAAATAAAAGCACATGGTAATTAATCTAAATATATAGGCATTTGGGAGGGGCTAATATGTCAATCATCTGTTGATACCAGTGTCCAGCTGTTAATCCCTGACCACAAGATAAATAGTGTGGTCTTATCTCATTGTATTGCAACAAAAGTAATTTATATAACATGTTTATAAACAGAGAAAAAGAAAAAGATATGAAAAGGAAAAAATCTAAAGGGAAGAAATCTACAAAAAATTTTAAAAAAATGTGGAAAAGAGTGTGAAAGTATCTCTGAAAGCCTCTGACTGCCTGTATAAATTTCTTCTATTTGGTCTTCTACATTTAAATACAGTTTTAGGCATTATAACCAATTTTAAGTTTATGTGAAATTTTTCAATTCCATAAAACTCAAAAATCCTGTGGGAGTGTCTTTTTTTTAAAGAATTGGATGGTCTTGGATCTTTTTATGAACATATCTTTTGATGCACAATTTTAATGTTCTAGCTAATTTCAGTAATAGTATATTTATTTTTAAAATACAAATGAAAATTATTCTTTATAGTGAGAATAATGATGTTAAATATTGATTATATGCAGCTGGTCAATCCTGTTATTCTCTTATCTTAGACTGTCTGGACAGAGGCAGAGCTTTGTCTATATATAATAACTACATCACAGATATTGGTCAAATCTGTGACGTCAAACTCCCGCCAAATGCCAAGTTAGTGTTGCACAGTGCCACACATAATGCAAAATTTACAGCATTAGAGCATCAAAGAGACAAAGTGTGTGGTTCTATTGATAAAGTATTGGTGTCAGAACACTCCTGGGGTGTTCCCAGTAGAATTTTTGTATTTATGTTGTATTTATAGGGGTTCTAAGGGGGAAATTCCGTTTTTAGGTCATTTCTCAGAACAATTTTTCATGAGATTTGTTAGGAAAAAATGAAAATATAAACTTTATGGCTTGACTTTGATATATGTGATTAAAGGGAGTATTTTCTACAATACCGTGTCCCAGTTTTTGGATAATTTGTTTCTAAATGAATTTATAGGTCTCCAAAGATGAAAGGTGAAATGAGGTTTGGAACCCAGCAGTTAAATCAATATATCTTCTTACTGGAGGCATATATCAAAAATCTGAGACATGGTTTTGCAGCTTGTATATGGTTGATTAAAGGAATGAAAACAAATTTTTACTACCATTTGACCTGAATGTGCTATTTCCATCCAAGTTGGAAGACCACTTTTTTGGCAATTAATGAGCTATATTTTGAGATTTATCATACCAAAAATAAATTTATCTATGGACTTAGAAAGAGTAATATTTCGGCTTTAAAATGAGTTAAAGATTTTAAAAATCCATTGAGTAGTTTTGGAGAAATTAATCTTTAAAGACTGTTGGTTGGAGTCAGAAAATTCTGAATGTAGTGCTACCTTAAAAGAGAAAATGGCAGCTTGTATGTTAAAAATGGCCACACCATATTTATAGAAATATAATAATATATATGCAAAAATGCACGCTTAAAATTTAAAGATAAATTATAAAGAATCCTTAGGCTTAAACAATAAAAAATCTTGATATATACACCCGACCAAAATGTATAAAAGTAAAAAATAGTATAAATCATATTGTTAAAAAAAATAAGAATTTCTAAAAGAAAATATTTAAAGTCTTTAAAAAGAAGAAATAAGGAAAATTTTATGAATGTTATTATTTCGATTTTACAGCCAGCTGGATTTACTATAGAGATCAACAATACAAATGCTACAAATGTCATGGTTGGATTACGTGTACAGATTGGGACACAGAGTATCGAGAGAGTACCCTCTTATCTGGAGATCTTCAGTAGATCTGTCCCAGTAAGTACTATAGAAAAAATTTACTTGCAATTTTGAACCTAAATTTGTATAAGTAGTCATTTTGTGCAAATATTCCTGAAAATGAAAATTTTCTTTTCAGTTTATACATGATATATAAATTGCGTGAAAGAACATCAAATTTGCTTATTAGTCCATTTGTCAGTGTGGCAAATCAGTTTTCCACACTTTTTTTTTGTGCTTGAAGATTTTGATTTGATAATTGGTATATAGTTTTATCATGACAAGTTACAGATCAAGTTCGAATTTTGTTCCAGTCTGATGATTTTGTGCAGAGTTATGGTCCTTGGAATTAGAAAATTCACTCAAATAATCAGTTTTCCACACTTTTTTTCGTCATGCTTGAAGATATTGATTTTATAATTGGTATATAGTTTTATCATGACAAGTTACAAATCAAGTCTGAATTTTGTTCCGGTCTGATGATTTTGTGCAGAGTTATGGTCCTTGGACTTAGAAAATTCACTCAAATAATCATTTTTACTCACTTTTTATACGACCGCAAAAAAATTTTGCGGTCGTATATTGGTATGAAGTTGGTGTCGTCATCCGAAGACACATTGGTTTTCGCACTCTAACTTTAGTTTAAGTGAATGGATCTCTATGAAATTTTACCATAAGGTTCAATACCACAAAAGGAAGGTGGGGATTGATTTTGGGGGTTATGGTACCAACAGTTAAGGAATAAGGGACCAAAAAGGGGCCAAAAAAGCATTTTTCTAGTTTCATGACAATAACTTGTGTGTAAGTGTATGGATCTCTCTGACATTGTACCACAAGGTTCCATATCACAAAGGGATGCTGGGATTGATTTTGGGGGTAATTGCCTCCAAATTTTAGGAATAAGGGGCCAAAAAGGGGCAAAAAACAAGCATTTTTCTAGTTTCATGACAATAACTTGTGTGTAAGTGTATGGATCTTTATGAAATTGTACTACAAGGTTCCATATCACAAAGGGAAAGCTTGAATTGAGTTTGGGGGTAATTGCCCGAAACGTTTAGGAATTGGGGTCCAAAAAACACATTTTTCTAGTTTCCAGACAATAACTTGTGTTCAAGTGTATGGATCTCTCTGAAATTGTACTGCAAGGTACCATACCACAAAGGGAAGGCTGGAATTGAGTTTGATGGTAATTGCCCAAAACGTTTAGGAATAAGGGGCCAAAAAGAGGCCAAAAATAAGCATTTTTCTAGTTTCCAGACAATAACTTGTGTGTAAGTGAATGGATCTTTATGAAATTGTACTACAAGGTTCCATATCACAAAGGGAAAGCTGGAATTGAGTTTGGGGGTAATTGCCGAAACGTTTAGGAATAAGGGGCCAAAAAGAGGCCAAAAATAAGCATTTTTCTAGTTTCCAGACAATAACTTGTGTTCAAGTGTATGGATCTCTCTGAAATTGTACTGCAAGGTACCATACCACAAAGGGAAAGCTGGAATTGAGTTTGATGGTAATTGCCCAAATCGTTTAGGAATAAGGGGCCAAAAAGAGGCCAAAAATACGCATTTTTCTAGTTTCCAGACAATAACTTGTGTGTAAGTGAATGGATCTTTATGAAATTGTACTACAAGGTTCCATATCACAAAGGGAAAGCTGGAATTGAGTTTGGGGGTAATTGCCGAAACGTTTAGGAATTGGGGGCCAAAAAGGGGCCAAAAATAAGCATTTTTCTAGTTTCCAGACAATAACTTGTGTTCAAGTGTATGGATCTCTCTGAAATTGTACTGCAAGGTACGATACCACAAAGGGAAGGCTGGGATTGATTTTGGGGGTAATTCCCTCAAAATTTTAGGAATTAGGGGCTATAAAGGGGCAAAAAAACATGCATTTTTCTAGTTTCAGGACACTAACTTGTGTGTAAATGTATGGATCTTTTTGAAATTGTACTGCAAGGTACGATACCACAAAGGGAAAGCTGGGTTTGAGTTTGGGGGTAATTGCCCTAAACATTTAGGAATTTGGGGGCCAAAAAGGGGCCAAAAAATAAGCATTTTTCTAGTTTCCAGACAATAACTTGTGTTCAAGTGTATGGATCTCTCTGAAATTGTACTGCAAGGTACCATACCTCAAAGGGAAGGCTAGGATTGAGTTTGGGGGTGATGAATCATAAGGGGGTTCAAAAAATTTGGGGGGGGGGATTTTTTTTCCTTTTTTGTCTTTAAAATTTTCCATTTTAAATTGGTTACTTCTGATTTATATATAAAAGCAAATAATATTGATATGGTTTGAATTGTTCAATTAAAAAATTTTTAGTTCTTAGACCTCAAGCTTGAATGTTGTGTCCATACTTGCCCCAGCTGTTCAGGGTTCGACCTCTGCGGTCGTATCAAGCTGCGCCCCAGCGGAGCATTTTATTATCGTCATGCTTGAAGATGTTGACTAGATATTTGTTTACACCATAACAAGTTATAGATCAAGTTAGCATTTTGTTCCAGAACAATGAATTTTTAACCAGTAGGGGACTATGTATTGCCATGCAATACTCTCAGAATGCTTGTTTTGATTAACATAAGATCATATGACAATAACCTAGAATTTTTGAAAATAATGACTTTCCAGATTGCAGTATTAGACCATTTGAGTCTTAGCATCGAGTGGCAAATATTTCATGGATATATGCTTTTCTAAGTTGAATATCTATTCCTTGGAGTAGTTATACTTTTGCATGGTTAAGTTTCCAACCCTTTGGTATAATCCTGTGGCAGTCAAATTTGTCTGTCTCTTTTTCTACATCACCTGCTTTCCATACTCTTCCAATTTATATATTGTGCACATGACCTCATCCTTGATGAAAAATTCAACAATATTTGCCACAATCAATCTATCAATTAATCCAATTAAAAATGTACAATGATGTGTTTTAGGTAACATTAACTAAAGCTAGATGGTATGACTTACCCTTCACCAGAGAAGAATCATTGACTGCAGATAAAAAAGTGACTCTGTTTGGTTTGTATTACTCATCTTTATTGTCGTCGGCTATACTTTTTGTCCTTTTTTGTTTTATCATCTCTTCAAGTTTTGAATATGTTTTCGATTTTCAAATTTTTGGCCTTGAACATCACTGAAGAGACTTTAATTGTCGAAACGTGTTATTATGTATTATTGATATAGCTAACTGTGTTTAAAGGCATTATAATGACAGGAAATAAATGTCAAGTGAAATAAGAAGTGTACAGGGTGAAATGTTTAAAATAAGGATCCTAGAAAGTTATTGTGCTTAAATGTATTTAGAAAATAGTAGTTGAAAGCTGAAGAGCTACTATTTATATGCTCTTAATGAAAGAAAGGTCTGCTCAATCCAAACAAAATAAGAAAAAAATCCTAATTTGATCACTATGGTTTTTAGCTGCATGATTAATTTTTTTTAGGAGGGGTTTGTTTTTGCTTTTAACCATCTGATTACAAAGTAAGCTAAAGACCAATTTTTAAATGGTATAAATTTTGTTTTCTCTTGTTGCTAATAGTTGGAGCCAGTGCTGACTCAGGTGGAGTAACAATGGTGGACTCCATCAAAGTTTATGTAAAAACAAAGGAATCATTTGGATGGCCTGAGGAAACAGATGAATTCCCAGAATCCTCTGTTTCAAAAGTTTTACAACAACAAGGTGTTGTTACAGTGACTGAGAGTGAAACAGTTTCATTTGCTCCACTACCATTGACATGTGCTGACAGGTTTGTATTTACTCTTAATTTTCAACAAAATCTAAAACATGTTATTTTAAGGTTGAAACTACTGTTTTTTTACAAAACAAGAAAAAATATACAATTATGCAATACAATCTTTTAATAGGCTAATATTGTATCCATTTTTTACAAAGATGTATTTTTATTTTACAGATTATTAGGAAGTGCATTAGAAGTTTTAGATGGAGCATTTGTTAATACATCAGCCAGTGACAAGGTATTTAATGACTTGTTGAGAACATGCTAAACATATTTGACGTCAGTATTTGATCAAATTACAGATTACAGAACGTGATGCATATATTTTCTGATTGATTTGTGTTAAATATTTCCTGAAACCACTTCTGAAGTTTAAAGGAGTTTTGACGACAATTTATTGTTTTAATACCATCAAGATTGTATCTGCTCGGCTAAGTTATCTTAATTTAATGGCAAAAGTTCAAAAATTAATTTTACTTTGATTTTATTTCCTTATTCTTTTTTGTCATGAAGGCCAAGACAATAAATTAAGGCATTTCTATGTATTTTCTTCACACTTTTAGACTTGACAGGGACAAAAATAGTGAGTTCCTGGACTTGCCTATTAAAAATCTTTAATAGCGAGAACTCTATATAAAATCATTTTACTTACTTTATTATAGGACCCTACAAGAGAGACAGCTCTGACTATAGCTACAAAGTTATTGACTTTGCCAACACCACCAAGTGTACAACAGCATACCAAGTCACTGATGGCTTCATTGTTTCCTAACATGGCTTCTTACTACAATCACAAGGTATTATCACAACACACTGGCGTTATTAAAGTGTTTATTTTTAGCTCACCTGACCTGAAAGGTCAAGTGAGCTTTTCTCATCACTTTGCGTCCGTCGTCCGTCGTCCGTAAACTTTTACAAAAATCTTCTCCTCTGAAACTACTGGGCCAAATGCACCCAAACTTAAACACAATCATCATTAGGGTATCTAGTTTAAAAAATGTGTCCAATGACCGCGCCAACCAACCAAGATGGCCGCCATGGCTAAAAATAGAACATAGGGGTAAAATGTAGATTTTGGCTTATATCTCTGAAACCAAAGCATTTAGAGGAAATCTGACAGGGGGTAAAACTGATTATCAGGTCAAGATCTATCTGCCCTGAAATTTTCAGACAAATCTGACAACCTGTTGTTGGGTTGCTGCCCCTGAATTGGTAATTTTAAGGAAATTTTGCAGTTTTTGGTTATTATCTTGAATATTATTATAGATAGAGATAAACTGTAAACAGCAATAATGTTCAGCAAAGTAAGATCTACAAATAAGTTTATATGACCAAAATTGTCAGTCTACTCCTTTAGGAGTTATTGCCCTTAATAATCAATTTTTAACAATTTTTCGTAAATTTTTGTAATCTTTTACAAAAATCTTCTTCTCTGAAACTACTGATACAAATTTAACCATACTTGGCCATAATCATTATTAGGGTATCTAGTTTAAAAAATTTGTCCGATAACCCCACCAACCAACCAAGATGGCCACCATGGCTAAAAATAGAACATAGGGGTAAAATGCAGTTTTTGGTTTATAACTCTGAAACTAAAGCATTTAGAGCAAATCTGACAAGGTGGCAAAAATGTTCATCAGATTTAGATTTATCTGCCCTGAAATTTTCAGACAAATCCGATGACCCGTTGTTGGGTTGCTGACCCTGAGTTAGTAATTTTACAAAAATTTTGCAGTTTTTTGTTATTATCTTAGATATCTAATATCTAATACTATTAATTATGATTTTAACCTTATTTTACATGATTTCCAAAGCATCAGTAAATACAGGTGAGCGACACAGGCTCTTGAGAGCCTCTAGTTTTATTTTCTTTTGATCAATTTACATAGTTTTAAGAGGGACCTCTTAATGCTTACATATGCTAATTCCCTTTTGAACTACATTGTATGAGAGTCTGAATGGGGTTTACAATATAGAGAATAATGTGCCAGCAAAAATTAAAAAAAAGAGAATAATGGGGTTTACAATATAGAGAATAATGTGCCAGCAAAAATTTAAAAAAAGAGAATAATGGGGTTTACAATATAGAGAATAATGTGCCAGCAAAAATTTAAAAAAAAGAGAATAATGGGGTTTACAATATAGAGAATAATGTGCCAGCAAAAATTTAAAAAAAGAGAATAATGGGGTTTACAATATAGAGAATAATGTGCCAGCAAAAATTAAAAAAAAGAGAATAATGGGGTTTACAATATAGAGAAGAATGTGCCAGCAAAAATTAGAAAAAAGAGAATAATGGGGTTTACAATATAGAGAATAATGTGCCAGCAAAAATTTAAAAAAAAGAGAATAATGGGGTTTACAATATAGAGAATAATGTGCCAGCAAAAATTAAAAAAAAAGAGAATAATGGGGTTTACAATATAGAGAATAATGTGCCAGCAAAAATTTAAAAAAAAGAGAATAATGGGGTTTACAATATAGAGAATAATGTGCCAGCAAAAATTAAAAAAAAGAGAATAATGGGGTTTACAATATAGAGAATAATGTGCCAGCAAAAATAAAAAAAAAGAGAATAATGGGGTTTACAATATAGAGAATAATGTGCCAGCAAAAATAAAAAAAAGAGAATAATGGGGTTTACAATATAGAGAATAATGCATAAAAAATAAAGAAAAATGGCCTGAAAATTAAAGAATACAGAAGACCAGATTTCATGTATAACTGCATATACATGTAGTACCACATACACCTAAAATCATAATAATACAGCTAGTCAACTGAAAATCATTTCTGATAACTGAAACATTCTGATTTAAAGAAAATGTCAAGAGTAGCAATTCTTTTATCATGTACATATATCCAAGCAGCAGGTCACACAAATCTTATTTCTTTTAAAGTAGGTGTTGAAATAAAACTGGCCTTTACAATATAGCAATAATCAGGTGACTTTTTAGGTAAAGGTAACATGAGTTTCATTTGTAGGATTTTATTTCACCAATATGTCAATTTTTTTGTAGTGTGCATAAAGTTAAATAGTATAGGCTCTGATAAAAGAAAAGTTTTAGATACAAAATAACTGAGTATATTTTCAGGATCAGGCACAGTTAGTTCATGTAATGGACAGTTTATCAAAAGAAGAGCTGGATTTGGATGTGGAAGCTTATCAGAGACTACTGGTTACAGCCAGATCTGTAGCAGTTGCTAGAGCAAGTAATCTTGTCAAGTTTGCTGAAACAGGAACCAGTGCAAAGGAGGAAAGTTAGTACTTGTTTTATTCTAATGATATATCTGTTGTTAGCTCAATATGAATAAATATTTCAACTTTGATTACTCAAGACCAATGATTTTTACCATATGAAAGAAATATCTAGGCAATGATATTTCTCACTATTCCAAGAATAATACATAGTAGAACTATATTTTATGTAAGAATCAGAGTAGTGAGAATTTGATTATTTCCCTCCATTCTAGGATTTCATAGTCTCAAATTTTGGAAATTTTACTTTTATAACATTTTTCCTGCACACTTATATATGATAGTCAAATAGTAGATTTATGTAGGAAAGGATTTGTATAACAAATTTGTTTTTGCATTAGAAAAAAAAAAATCTTCTGGAGAGGAGGATCATCTTATTCTTTTATCAACAGTGTTATGTTTACATATCTTGGAAAAGATTGGAATTGAACATCCCTAGATTTGAAATTAAAATATTCCGTTTGTATTTGTATATAACCTGAAATATTTTCAGTTTTGGAAGTGACAGACTTAGAGGAAGAGAAAGAAGTGACAGCTAGCTGGTCTGTATCAGATTCTAAAGATAGTCGTCACTTTGTCACCATGTTGACTGAAGCATTCTGGAAGTTACACAGTGCTAAACCTGCTAATTCTATGCTAGCACCTGTCTGTTTACCTGGTAATAGATTTGTTGTTTTCACAAAGTTTTAGAAAATATTAGTTTGTATAACTTCTCATATCTACATCTCTATTGAAATAAACAATAGTTATTTTCTCTATTTTCTTAAAGGTTATTTTGATAAACAGGTGTATTTACATGATTTTGCATATCTTTTAAGTGGTGTTGTTTTCATTAGTGGCTAAGGTCTACACCGAAAATTAGGTCACCTTGACCTTCATTTACACATGAAAGGCTTTGGTTAAGTTTGTCATTGAGGTTCAGATCTAAGGTACTAAAAAGTTATAGAGGAACAATCTGTTATCAGTAGATGATAAATCTATCATATTTAATAACAAAGGTCGACACTGAAATTAGGTCACCTTGATCTTCATTTTACACATGAAAGGCTTTGGTTAAGTTTGTCATTGAGGTTCAGATCTAAGGTACTAAAAAGTTATAGAGGAACAATCTGTTATCAGTAGATGATAAATCTATCATATTTAATAACAAAGGTCGACACTGAAATTAGGTCACCTTGATCTTCATTTTACACATGAAAGGCTTTGGTTAAGTTTGTCATTGAGGTTCAGATCTAAGGTACTAAAAAGTTATAGAGGAACAATCTGTTATCAGTAGATGATAAATCTATCATATTTAATAACAAAGGTCGACACTGAAATTAGGTCACCTTGATCTTCATTTTACACATGAAAGGCTGTGGTTAAGTTTTGCATTGAGGTTCAGATCTACGGTACTTAAAATTATAGAGCAACGATCTTTTGTTATTTTGATCGATAATATATAGCGATGTGGGTCCATAGAAAAATTAGGTTTAATTGACCTTCATTGGTTTAAATAAAAAGAACAAAAAATGGAAAGTAAAAAAATTATAATGAAATAGATAACAGGGTATGGGAAAAGTTTCATTAATAATTGTTCAGAATGATTTTTGCAGTAATTGAATTTATTTTATTTTCAGGACTTTCCCATGTAGATGCCACAGTTAGTGCCCTTGTAGAGATAATCAATGCATTTACTTTATGTGACCTGGATACAGCTAACCTCGCCACCAAGTTGTATGTTAGATTCTTAATGAGTCCTGTAAGTATAATTTAAAGGAGATGGGGCAGTAAGGCCCTTATTTGGCCTGAATATTAGTGCAAATTGAAAAGTTACCATACATATTCTTAAATTTGTACAAGCTACACTAAGGTACAAGTTGTTCAGAAAATAAATACATTTTTTACATATTACTAGTTACCGTGACAACAAAGCATGATAAAATTTGTATATTTTGTAGAATTCTCTTAAGTTTTCATGAAAACAGTGTATATCATGATGTAACTGTGACATCATAACATCAATAAATAATTGTAATTCATTTATATTTCTTGATTGTATGCATTTCCAAACATTATGTGCAAATTTTAAATAACTCTCAAAAACTTTATTTTCTTGGGCCATAACTAGGTCTTAATGCCCCTACTCCTTTTTACAGAACATGAATTACTTTGCAAAATTAGATATTGATTATTCAAAATAACATTGAGCTGTTATAATATGTAAAGACTTTCATTTCTGTGATAATGTATTTTTTTATTTTTAAACAAAACAATGAATTTTAATTTGCTATGTAATGCATATCTCCCATTGATTGATATGTTAAATGTAGATGATGAGGAAATAAAAAGATAAATGTACATTATCAGGAAATGATAGTTGATAACAGCCATTTTGATATTATTATTAGGTACAGACAGTGAGTTTTGCCTGTAAACAAGCCATCATTAGATCTCTGAGACCAAGACACAGAAGGAGGCGTGTCTTTATACCATCACCACCTAGATGTAGTTCTCCAGGTAAATGTACTGCTTTTATTGGTTCTATTTGGTATATCTCATTAGATCCCTTATGCTGTAAAGTTCCAGGAGCTCAAGAGTAATCTGTCTGTCATTATTGTGCTCACTGCCTTTTGAATTTGGCACAAAATCATGAAAACAAGAGGAAGGATTCTATTGATTTCAGGAACAAAAGAATAAGGGTAGTGAAAACTTATTTGAGCAAAATGTTAAGGTTGAATAAAATGCAATCTGAACCCAACTGCATATATACTTGTCTGTTATTATTTAAGCCCTATAATGTTAGATCTGCATATTAGTAGTAGCAAGCTTTTGTCCTTTCCTCATATAGATGGGCGATACTGCCAAGATAAGAAAAAAAATTATAAAAGTAAAAATGTGCTCAACGATGCTAATGTAAGATGATATATATATAAGAGTCTATAGAAAACAAGCAACCGCAAAAGAAAACAATATCAAATGTGATAAGTACTGGATTGTGAACATGTTTACATTGGTTGGGTTGTTGTCTCTTTGACACATTCCCCGTTTCCATTCTCAGTTTTGTATGTTAATATTTATCATTATATATGACAGGTGGAGGTGATGATGATGATGGAGATAATGATGACAATGACAATCAAGGTGGTACACCTGTAGTACGTGTACCTGCCCCAACTCCACCCACAGAACAAGAAGGAGATGAAGCTTTTGAAGTTGTTGTAAGTAAAATGCAATAGATGAATAGGGTAGCTTTAAATGTTTTAGGTACTGACAAAACAGATCATTGGTTGAGGAACAAAAATCTTTTGTAACAGACTGTTGATGTGAGGTAGGATGGTTTTTGGTTTCTACAGCTCTTATTCTTATTCAATAAATTTGTTTGGGTACATTGAAGTACAGTAAAGCTCTAAGATACATACTGAGGGATACCGATTTTTGTAGAATTCGTGTGTATAGGTTAACTAAGAATTTAAATGTTCAACAGACTTTAGCAAATTCACGAAATCAAATAGCTACTAAGATTTAGGGTTTCCTCATTCAACGAAAATTGGTATCCACGAAAATAAATGAATCCACAGTATGCAAAAGAAGCTGCTAAAAAATGACAAAATAACCATTCAAAAATTGTATGAATATTTTAAATAGGAACAGCATGAGCCAATGGAAATAGAGCAGTCAATGCCAGGAAGACCTATTGGTTTAGAGGAGTTGTTATCAGGAGGTGTTAACTTCCCTCCAATGGTAGATATACCTCCTGACGCTGATGATGAGACAATGGTAGAACTAGCTATTGCTCTTAGTTTACAAGAACAGGTGGGTATTATATGTATATATGTTTCCTTAATTCTCTATGCATTTTATTTACTGTAGATATCATTTTAGGCATAAATTGCAAAGTTTGATTCAAACTTAATTGTTTGAGGTGTTTTTTTTTTTTAAGAAATGAATATATATATTTTTTTACTTTATTTAAATCAAATTTTTACCATGAATCATCATATAAGTAAGTGGTGATTGAGATGCAGAAATGTTGAGGGGGATTATTATATTTCATTTTTAACAATGATAAGAAGTTATAGATTATGATATGAATATTATAAATGAAATCATAATTGATGATTGGGATTTTTTTTCCAGCCTGGAAGTGGATCTCTTGGTTTGCAGGGTTTGAGATTGGCTGCAGCACAACAGATTGTAAGCTTACCTGAAATACAGTTCTTTGAACTATTTACATGTAGAGCTTTGTCCTGAATATTCCTGCAATATTTGCCACTGGACACTCAGTACCGTAGATACTCGCCTAATAGTCGATCCTACTATAAGTCGGGGGCCCTTTTCAGCTCCAAATTCTAAGGATTTAGTCTTGACCCTCGTATAAGTCGGACAAAATTTGGGCATTTTTTTTTCAGCTGACAGTAACTGAACGCCGGTAAAACCAATGCAAATCCAGGAATAATATTCATTTCTGCATTAATGTTTGTTTGGTTTGAATTTAGTTGATGCTCATCATGATAATTTATATTGCTGTTAATAATAAAGATGTATTCATTTCTCTTGTTTTGTTCACTGTTCAAATGTTAGATTAGCCATGTGTTGTTTACATAATGCATCAATGATTTTGTAGGGTATGACTAATAACCTATTGTTTGAGAAAAGCGAATATAAACCAATATGAACCTGAAAAATTTAAAGTCAATCAACACTTGATGAAAATATTTTTCACAGCATACATAACTTGGTGTTAAATGAGCATGTACACTTCATAATTCTTATTATATTGTGATGATTAAAGGATTAAAAAAATTAAGTGAAGCTAATCAATATATTAAAATAACTAACTCCAACTCATTAGTGTCATCTGTTTACCTATCACTGATAGTTTTCACACCTTTAGTAAATACAACTCTTTGTCTCTTAATTGGGGTTATCAATGGATTATATTGGCTTGTCAATCAATTTTGTAATTTTTGTTTACCTGATACACTTTAATGAATAATATTTTGATTTTGGGAATGAATCTTAAAATTATTTTTTGATTATTATATGATTTATAAGCATTGAATTGATATCATGATATCACAATAATGACACAATAACTCCGCTGAAAACATCCTTTCACATATTTGGTACATTGTTATCTCCTTTTCATTTTTGGTTCTTGGCTCTTCTTTTGGGTTTATAGGAAAACCATGTGACCATGAAAATCAATACACAAACCGGAAACAGTAGAATTTCAACACGAATTTGCAGAAAATGTTTACCAAAGAACAAATAAAACACAAAGACAGTATTGTAGTCATTTATTTTCAACAAACACTTTTTATTTATTGATTTATGTAGGTTTGGCAATCAAAAACGTAGTTTTGACCAGGAAATTCACTCCTGACCACTTTTCTCAAGCTTGGATTTTTCCTCTGGTCGCTAGATCTCGTCTATTAGTCGGTCCCCCTCTCTGGATTATGAATTTTACTCCCAATTTTCCGACTAATAAGCGAGTAGGAACGGTACATTCAGAGTTTGTTTTTAGTTTTAGAAATTAAGATTATATTAAATCCATTTTTTAAAATGTCAAATGGAGGCATATGTTATCTTTATAAATATTTTTTTTTAACTTTGATGCATAACTTGTTTCCAATTTCAAAGTTTCTGAATATTGATAAATTACTTTTCCACAGGATGATGATGAGTTGGAACAAGGACCTCTGTCAGATACAACAGCCTCAGCCCCTGGCAGTGATGATGAGAATGGTAGTAATGCTGCTACAGATGGGTCTACGTTACGTACCTCACCAGCTGAACAGGCAGGAAGTGGTGGATCAGAGAGTGGCGGCAGTGCTCCAGAATCTATATCTGGTGATCAAAATGGTAAATATAGTCCATTATTAAGCAGAAGTATTTAGTGATCAAAATTCTGCTTTACTTAAGGTTATACATTTGTAAATATTTTTCAGACTAAGTAGTATAGGGGTTATGACTAAATGTAAATCGTATTGACTTAATAGTAATATTGATCTTAGTAGTAAATATAATTAATTGGTCAGTTTCTATGATAAAGAGTTAATATCTGGTCCAAAAGTACCAAATCTCTAGGTATATTTAGAATTTAGGTCTCCCTGACTGTATATATAAATCATTAAAGATAAAACAATTACATTAATTTGATCTTCATTCAGTAAGTGGAAGAAGTAGTGTTTATGGAGACAAGGATAGAGAGACAGGAGGCAGAAGTGAAACTAGTAGTCTAGGGTTACCCAGTACATCACTACAACAAGATACAGATGCTGATTATGATGCTACTCAAAGGTAGGTAACGTGTAGACATAATCAATTAGCAATGACATAGATACTTAATTTATCTCAAATCTTATTTCCACATTAAAATTTTCTCTTCCCATGGACATAGTACTTTTGAAGCACATTAAAGGTTTTTGTGTGTTTTTATGGGAAAAAGTAAGGTTGTACTACTTTTGATTATCAAAATTTTGAATTTAGAAATAACAAGTAAACTACAGTAAATATTGTCATTTTCATAATGTTTATTATCGTAGCGGTGGGGGCATTAAGTTTTACCCTTGTCCGTCTGTACGTACATCCGTCTATACGTCCCAAAATTGGTTTCCCTTCCCTAACTTGAGTTTGCCTGAACCAAATGTTATGAAACTTGTACACAATGCTTATTATCACAAAACACAGATCAAGTTTGAATTTTGGTGGTGTCACTTTAACCGTTCTATAGTTATGCCCCTTTATAAATGGAAAAAAATTGCAAAATTTTTAGTATCTGTTCTCTAACTTAAGTTTGCCTCAACCAAATGTTATGAAACTTATACACAATGCTTATAACCACAAAACACAGATCAAATTTGAATTTTGGTGGCGTCACTTTAACCGTTCTAGAGTTATGCCCCTTTATAAATAGAAAAATTGCAAAAAAAATTATTTTCTTCTAAATATCAAGTAATTTTTAAAATTGGAGTTATCTTCCTTTGTCCATGATTATAGTTGAATCAACTACAGTCAATGCTTTATACAATGCAATGTTTTATTTTGACTTCCACTGATAAAACACTGATCAAGTTGAATTTGGGTAGTGTCACTTTAACCATTATTGAGTTATGACCCTTTATAAATAGAAAGATTGCAAAATTTTTAGTTTCCATTCTGTAACTTAAGTTTGCCCCAACCTAACATTATGAAACCTATACACAATATTCATTACCTCAAAACTAAGATCAAGTAAAAACTTTTTTTTCTGTTTTCTTACTTTAGTTTGCCTCAACCAAATGTTATGGAACTTATACACGATGCTTATTACTACATAATACAGATTAGGTACGAAATTTGGTGGCAACACTTTTACCATTCTTGTGTTATGTCCCTTTATAAACATAAAAATTGCTGAATTTTTCGTTTCCATTCTCTTACTTTAGTTTGTCTCAACCAAATGTTATAAAACTTATACACAACCGTTCTAGAGTTATGCTTGTTTACAAATAGAAAAATTGCTGAATTTTTTGTTTCTGTTCTCTACTTAAGTTAGCCTCAACCAAATGTTAAGAGACTTACACACAATGCTTATTACCACAAAACTCAGGTCAAGTTCAAATTTGGGTAGCGTCACTTCTACTGTTCTTCAGTTATGTCCCTTTATAACTATATGATATGCAAGTGGGGGCATCATCTGTGTCCACATGTGGACACTATCCACATTTATTTTATCCTTTATATACTGTATAAATTAATAAAAAAATTCATTGTCATAATACATTAAAAGGATGTCAGGAATTGCCAAAAAATATATCAAGACCATACAAATCTACAACATCTGACTTCTCTGAAAAAATGTGCAAACAAAGAATAACAATAATATACACTACATGGTCAAGATAGCTGGACTTGGCACTGGCACAAAAAGTGTTGAAATTAAATGCTTGCATATATTTGTACATAAATATTTTACAGTAATTTTATGTCTTTTTAAGGTTACACAGCTTGAGACTGATACTGCTAGAAAGGTTGCTTCATTACTTACCAGAAATTAGAGAAGTTGGAGGTGTCAGGGCTATTCCATATATGCAGGTTAGTGCTTGGTCTCACTTCAATCTAAAGGAATTTGTAGTTCTTCCAGAACTATTTTTATACGACCTCAAATCGTATATTGGTATCACGTCGTCGACGGAAGACAGTTGGTTTCCGGACATTAACTTTATACTGTATAATTGAATAGAAATCTATGAAATTTAAACACAAGGTTTATGACCACAAAAGGAAGGTTGGGTTATGGTCCTAACAGTTTAGGAATTAGGGGCCCAAATAAGCATTTTTCTAGTTTCCAGACAATAACTTGTGGAACGGTGTATGAATCTCTCTGAAATTATACCACAAGTTTCCATACCACAAAGGGATGGTTAGGATTTGCTTTGTGGGGGTTATGGCTCAAACCATTTAGGAATTAGGGGCAAAAAAGGGGGGAAAACACGGGTTTCCTGGTTAATGGACAATTAACTTGAGACAATTTGAAAGCAGTGTAAGGGAGGTAATCCAAACACAATGTTTTGATTACCTCCCTTACACTGTTTTTAAATTATGTATAAAGAAATGTTGTATTGTCTTGAGATGATTAGCTGTCAATTTATTTTTATACGACCGCAAACAAATTTTGTGGTCGTATATTGGTATGACGTCGTCGTCGTCGTCCGAAGACACATTGGTTTTCGCACTCTAACTTAAGTTTAAGTGAATGGATCTCTATGCAATTTTACCATAAGGTTCAATACCACAAAAGGAAGGTTGGGATTGATTTTGGGGGTTATAGTACCAACAGTTAAGGAATAAGGGGCCAAAAGTAAGCATTTTTGTAACTTCCAGACATAACTTGTGTGTTAGTGTATGGATCTCTCTGACATTGTACCACAAGGTTCCATATCACAAAGGGAATGCTTGGATTGATTTTGGGGATAATTGCCTCAAAATTTTAGGAATTAGGGGCCAAAAAAGGGGCAAAAAAACAAGCATTTTTCTAGTTTCATGACAATAACTTGTGTGTAAGTGTATGGATCTTTCTGAAATTGTACTACAAGGTTCCATATCACAAAGGGAAAGCTGGAATTGAGTTTGGGGGTAAATGCCCAAAACATTTAGGAATAAGGGGCCAAAAAGGGACCAAAAATAAGCATTTTTCTAGTTTCCAGACAATAACTTGTGTTCAAGTCTATGGATCTCTCTGAAACTGTACTGCAAGGTTCCATATCACAAAGGGAATGCTTGGATTGATTTTGGGGGTTATTGCTTCAAAATTTTAGGAATTAGGGGCCAAAAAAGGGGCAAAAAACAAGTATTTTTCTAGTTTCATGACAATAACTTGTGTGTAAGTGTATGGATCTTTCTGAAATTGTACTACAAGGTTCCATATCACAAAGGGAAAGCTGGAATTGAGTTTGGGGGTAATTGCCCAAAACGTTTAGGAATAAGGGGCCAAAAAGGGGCCAAAAATAAGCATTTTTCTAATTTCCAGACAATAACTTGTGTTCAAGTGTATGGATCTCTCTGAAATTGTACTGTAAAGTACCATACCATAAAGGGACGGCTGGGATTGATTTTGGGGGTAACTGCCTCAAAATTTTAGGAATTGGGGGCCAAAAGGGGGCAAAAAACAAGCATTTTTCTAGTTTCAGGACAATAACTTGTGTGTAAGTGTATGGATCTTTATGAAATTGTACTACAAGGTTCCATATCACAAAGGGAAAGCTTGGTTTGAGTTTGGGGGTAATTGCCCTAAATGTTTAGGAATTTGGGGCCAAAAAGGGGCCAAAAAACAAGCATATTTCTAGTTTCCAGACAATAACTTGTGTTCAAGTGTATGGATCTCTCTGAAATTGTACTGCAAGGTATCATACCACAAAGGGAAGGCTGTGATTGAGTTTGGGGGTGATGAATCATAAGGGGGTTCAAAAAATTTGGGGGGGGGGGGATTTTTTTTTCCTTTTTTTTTCTTTAAAATTTTCCATTTTAAATTGGTTATTTCTGATTTATATATAAAAGCAAATAATAATGATATGGTTTGAATAGGTAAATTAAAATTTTTTAAGTTCTTAGACCACATTCATTTTGCATCAGAAACCTATGCTGTGTCAAATATTTAATCACAATCCAAATTCAGTGCTGTATCAAGCTTGAATGTTGTGTCCATACTTGCCCCAACTGTTCAGGGTTCGACCTCTGCTGTCGTATCAAGCTGCGCCCAGCAGAGCATTTTATTAGATGTTACTATTAAGGAATATTAATTTTAGCCATTATTATGTATGTCATTTTCAATTTTAAGACTTTTATGATGTATTTAAATGGGTAGTTATGGTTGCAAACTCCATTTGAAATTTGAATCGAGATTATCTTGACGTAAAGAATTTTTTTTGGGGAAAAAAGGGTGGGGGAGGTAGGTGAAAAATTTTTTTTTTTGGGGGGGGGGGGGGGTAAAAAGAAATTATGGGGGTCAATTTTTCTCATTGCAGATTTCAGAAATCAAAAAGAAAAATTCTTCAAATATTTTTTTTTTGCAAAAAAAAAGTGGGGAAAGGGGAAGGGGGGGGGGGGGGGGGGGTCAATATGCAACAGCATAGTGTATTGCACAAAAGCCAAAAAAAAGTTTGTTTTTTTTGTAGGGGGAGGGGGGGTCAATTCGCAACAGCAAAGTGTATTGCACAAAAGCAAAAAATTGAATATAAATTCAAATCATATAACCAATTGTAAGTTCTTTTGACTACAGTTATTCTGTGTCAGAAACCTATTATGTGTCAAATATTTAATTACAATCCAAATTCAGACCAGTATCAAGCGTGAATATTGTGACCATTTTTGTCTCAACTGTTCAGGGTTGGACCTCTGCAGTCCTATCCAGCTGCGCTCGGCGAAGCAATTTATTGGCATATAAGACGGTTTCCTTGGTTCCACCATATCAGATTTTATTTGAACAGCTGTCTTATTTTTCAAATAGTTCTTGAAGTATTTCGTAACTTGTAAGTAAAGAAAAGTCTAAAATTTTAATATTGAAATGGCATGGCAACTAACAGTTTGTTTATTTATTTGAATGAATTATTAATTAAATGTTATAAAGCTTCAAATGGCTATGTTATTTTTAATGTCTGTTATGCACCAAACCATAGAAAGGTAATAAAAATATTAACTTTGAACCTTTTTTGTTTTAAAAAGGTATTACTGATGTTGACCTCTGACCTTGATAGTGAAGAAGAAAAGGATAAAGCAGCTCTAGACACTTTGTTGACAGCTTTGATAAAGGAACTAGACTTGTTTGGACAGGTTTGTTTCATATTGTGTTTATGTACCAATTTAACATTTGTCAACCAATAGTTTCTTAGAGACCATACTGCAAATGTTTCAATCGTGCTATTTTAAACAATTTTGATGTGTAAAAAAAAATCTCAAGACTACGTAGGTCAGTGAGATTAAAATATTGTTTTTGTTGAAAAGGCTAAAATTGGCAGTGTAATTTAAATTGATTTTTTTTTTAATTTTGTATAGTTGTAGTTAAAATGAAATGTGTGGTGAATTTGTAATAATTGAAGTAGTATTTAATTTTTGCACCCCTGCAATTTCACCCAAAACCACCGAACAAAACCAAAGAAAATTTAAACAAAAAACTAAATTCATATTTTATATACCAGTATTTACTGTAGAATAACAAAACTTGAATGGTAGGAAATCTCATTTGCCCTTTGTATTTGTATGTTATTGAAAGAGACCATCTTGCTACAGCCATTTGAATGATAAAAATGTTACTATATATAAAAAAGAAGATGTGGTATGATTATTTTCAGGAGAAAGAAAATGTTGCATGTAGAAACCAGAGCTATGAGTTCAAATTGGTACTTCTACGACTTCTGAGTGTGCTGTTATCTCGTACTAAGGCAGGAACTAAAGCATCAGGAGAGGTATTTATTTAACTTGTTATTGCTAGTACACCGGCCAGTTTAATGACAGCTTTTTAAGCAAGCTAAACTTGGGTATTATATGAAACCAAAAACTTTTTTAATTAAATATATGTGGCAATGTATCATGTTCACCATGATTGACTAGGCTTACATGTATATAAACAAAAAATAATTTTCTATCGCATAGAAGAAATTCACATTATTAATTTTTTTTTAACATTCTTACTTTGGTTACTCTGTTGCTGAGTAGAAGATTTTAAGTAAAAATGCTGATTAAATTATTTGTTTATTTCAAGAATAACAGAGAATGTCATTCAATCATTATCATTGAAAATATTACATGTATGTAAAGTATATTATGTTGCCTTTATTTTTTCAGTCTTCCTCATTCATAAGTAACAGCACAGCATCAGCCCTTATTTCCAGTGGTGCTATAACATACTGCCTAAACATACTGAAAAGTCTTCTGCCATACTGGAAACAGTACTCTCTTCAAGAGGTTAGTATGAAAAAAATCATAGTACAGAAATTGATGTTGACCTATTTACTGTAAACCTGGAAATTTTTCTTGTGGGATTATTTGAGCTTTTTCGCCTTCATTTGGGCAAAAATGTTCCCTTTCATGAATTGTTTTAGGAAAGCAAAAAAATTGATATGAATTGGGAATTTGCCATTAATTTGATACCTGCACAAAAAGTTCATGCATACATTTCATGAAATATTCATTTTTACACTATTATAACTCAGAATGATATTTATTTACAGAGTGATGGAAGTCCTGTAACTGGATGTCTGCTGAAGCCACATCCATCACACCCACCACCAGACATGTCACCATTCTTCCTCCGACAGTATGTCAAAGGTCATGCTAGTGATGTGTTTGAAGATTATCCACAACTTTTAACAGAGATGGTCCTTAGACTGCCATATCAGGTAAATTGTCTCTCAGCTACCTATAGAGTCGTAAATAGCTTGTGATAATTTGACTGTTTCACCATATCCTTTTCTTAAAGTGCAGATATCACTATTTTTCTTCAAAAGATATGTCAGATGCTATGGTATTGACTTGTTTTACCAACTTTCCATCTTTGAGATAAAAAAAAAAATGGTGTGGATCTTTCAATAGTACCAGTGTTTCATTACTTACTGTGGATTAATTTATTTTTCGTTGATAACAATTGAGGAAATCTTGCATTTTCGTGACCATTTGATTTCTTACAGATTTGCCAAAATCTGCATACAAGTCTATAGAAAACTTGCAATTCATTGAATTTTGAACATATAAATTATCCCACAAATAATTATGAATCCACAGTACTATCACCAAAACTATGATGTTGTAGATATAATCCTATGAAATTTTCACAATTTTTTCAATCAGTCAGTTATATGAACAAAATGAGTTTGGTAAATGTGTATTTTTTTTTATATTATAAACAGTATATATCATATGCATGTGGTCACTTAAATTTGGCTCAAATAAAGTGAGAGGGTAGTTTTCATACAGTATAAGAGTTAAGCAGCAATCCACAAACTAATTATAGAAAAAGGTTGAATTGAATTTATTGTACAACTGATGTGGAAAAAAAAACATTTGTGTCTGATTTTTACCATTGAGTCTCAGTTATTTTAAAATTTGTTTTCAGTTGAAGAAAATTTCTGAGAGTAACAACAATGTGATGCAGACTAACTTTGACAGCACCTGGAATAACATTCTGTCTGAGGTATACATATACTTTATGTAACTTTTATCATATATTTTAAAGAGGTCGATCTTTGGTAAGGAGACAACTCTAAAAAAATCACTGGTATGTTTGTGTCAACCATTTCCATATTTAAAGTCAAAGCGCCTGAGTTACACAGATTATTTTACTTCAGTTTCACACAAGTGCTTAAAAAGCATTGTTGAAACGGGCTATTACAAACACAATATTGAATTTGAAGCCTGATCTGCCTTAATTCAAGTTTTTCCTTTACTGATGTTCATGATACATTATTTTTAGTGTTTCAACATGCGAAATGTAAATTAACAACCATTGAAAAATAATAGGTGTTTTTTTATACATCAGAATAAATTGGAGATTAGTACAGACATGGGCATGATCATTATATTTGTTTCTAATTTATTTATTGTAAGAAAAGATTATGATTTGATTAAAGAATGAATATAGAAAAAAAATTATATTTATATATTATTTGTGTATGAAAGTTTTTTCCTATTTACCATTTAAAAATTCATTTTAAACACCCTTTCTTCATATTGCTTCTTTTAATCACAGAGCAAACTTTCCAATGTTCTCTTGTCATATTGTACTTGAAATATGATTTTAAACATTTTTTTTTATTTTACAGTATATGATGACACAGCAGACTCCATTTGTAAAGAGACAAGTCAGAAAGGTATATTTTTTTCTTGTGATAATATTTATTTATGTGTGTAAGTCAGTGACTGTAAAAATAAATCCCTACAGATTACTATGAGTGTTTACTGGACCATATAAAATTTTGTTCTTTTTCATCAATTTGTATTGTTTAAATTTTATTTAGTATTCACTTACGCTTTACTAGACAAAACACTAGGTTTCACAAACTACCTAGTGAACCACATTGTTAACAGCAGCTAAAGGGTAAGCCAATATTTATATTGTCCTGAACCTACATGAAATAATTGCCACTGGACATGTAGTAAGCAACAATCATCAGTCATATTTATAGTGGGATAGTTTTCATTTACCTAACAGATTTATAATTTGAGATAATTGTCTAATTAAAACATATTCAATATTCTTCCTTTTTATTTTTCATGTTTGAATTAATACTTTAAACAGTTTCAGTCTAAAATATCAAATATTGTAGTCTCTGATTTTGTGTTTATAGTTGCTGATGTTTATCTGTGGAACCAAGGAGAAATACAGAGAACTAAGAGACTTGCATGCTGTAGAGATGCACCTAAACAGTGTAATGAAGCTGTGTAAAGAAGGTGGACTCCCTCTGGAACAAGTGGTATCACCTGGAATCATACTGCCTTATGATACACTTCTTAGTATTGTAAGTATTCCATTAAGGGGTTACAGGTACATGTAGTTTATAGAAAAAAGTATCAGTATTTATTGATATCAGAAGACCTTTCTTTTAATAATGGGCATCTAGATATTGACTTTTTTTCACTTTACAACTGACATAAGAGAAACTCGTAGGAAAATCTAAACTATACAAAATTACTGTAGGGAAAATTAAGTTAAATTCATATTAAGATTTTTATTTAAACAATTTTAGCCTGGTACCTTTGATTACTTTTGGATTCTATTTGATAATCTCTATCTAAATTTTATTAACTAACAACATTATTGTAAGAAACATTATTTGTTGGGTTGATGCATGACTGAATAATTAAATGATTGGAAATTTTGTTTGTACATTAGTTTGAAAAATGCATATAAAAAAGTGTGCTAATTTTATGTAGACTTTCATTTATTTCTGCCTTTGAAATTTGTTAACAAGTTTTTTTTACGACCGCAAAAATTAAAAAATTTTTGGACGTATATTGGTATGACGTTGGCGTCGTCGTCGTCGTCGTCGTCGTCCGAAGACACATTAGTTTTCGCACTCTAACTTTAGTTTAAGTGAATGGATCTCCATGAAATTTTACCATAAGGTTCAATACCACGAAAGGAAGGCTGGGATTAATTTTGGGGGTTATGGTACCAACAGTTAAGGAATAAGGGGCCAAAAAGGGGCCAAAAATAAGCATTTTTGTAACTTCCAGACAATAACTTGTGTGTAAGTGTATGGATCTCTCTGACATTGTACCACAAGGTTCCATATCACAAAAGGAAGGCTGTAATTGATTTTGGGGGTAATTGCCTCAAAATTTTAGGAATAAGGGGCCAAAAAAGGGACAAAAAACAAGCATTTTTCTAGTTTCATGACAATAACTTGTGTGTAAGTGTTTGGATATTTCTGAAATTGTACTACAAGGTTCCATATCACATAGGGAAAGCTGGAATTGAGTTTGGGGGTAATTGTCCGAAACGTTTAGGAATTGGGGGCCAAAAAGGGGCCAAAAATAAGCATTTTTCTAGTTTCCAGACAATAACTTGTGTTCAAGTGTATGGATCTCTCTGAAATTGTACTGCAAGGTACCATTCCACAAAGGGAAGGCTGGGATTGAGGTTGGGTGTGATGAATCATAAGGGGGTTCAAAAAATTTGGGGGGGGGGATTTTTTTTCTTTTCTTTTTTTCCTTTTTTTTTTCTTTTAAAATTTTCCATTTTAAGTTGGTTATTTCTGATTTATATTTAAAAGCAAATAATAATGATATGGTAGGAGATACACACCAAACAGGATGTGTAAATTATTATATAATAAGTATTGTGCAATAGCAAGAAATTTTCAATAGCACAGTATTGCACAATAGCAAGAAATCTTCAATTGCACAGTATTGCGCAATAGCAAGAAATCTTCAATTGCACAGTATTGCACATAGCAAGAAATATATGAATAGCACAATATTGCGCAATAGCAAGAAATTGTCAATTGTACAGTATTGCGCAATAGCAAGAAATATTCAATTGCACAGTATTGTGCAAAAGAAGATACTTCGTATAAATTGCTTATTTCTTGATCAATTTCAATGGGGTTTTATTCTTGACTTCTTGGGGTTCTTTAATATGCTGAATCTAACTGTGTATTAAGTTTTTGGATTTTGGGACCCGTTTTTTAATTGGTCCACATTGAGGTCCAAAGGGTCCAAAATTTAACTTTGTTTGATTTCATCAAAAATTGAATTATTGGGGTTGTTTGATATGCCGAATCTAACCGTGTATTTAGATTCTTAATTTTTGGTTCCGTTTTCAAATTGGTCTACATTAAGGTCCAAAGGGTCCAAAATTAAACTTAGTTTGATTTTAACAAAAATTGAATTTTTAGGGTTCTTTGATATGCTGAATCTAAACATGTATTTAAATTTTTGATTATGGGCCCAGTTTTCAAGTTGGTCCAAATCGGGGTCCAAAATTAAACTTTGTTTGATTTCAACAAAAATTGAATATATGGGGTTCTTTGATATGCTGAATCTAACCATGTATTTAGATTTTTGATTTTTGGGCCCCGTAATCAACTTTGTCCACATTGAGGTCAAAAGGGTCCAAAATTAAACTTTGTTTGATTTCATCAAAAATTGAATTCTTGGGGTTCTTTGATATGCTGAATCTAACCATGTATTTAGATTTTGGATATTGGACCATAATAGGTGAATGTCAAATTTAAAATTTTTAAGTTCTTAGACCACATTCATTCTGTCTCAGAAACCTATGCTGTGTCAAATATTTAATCACAATCCAAATTCAGAGCTGTATCAAGCTTGAATGTTGTGTCCATACTTGCCCCAACTGTTCAGGGTTCGACCTCTGCGGTCGTATCAAGCTGCGCCCTGCGGAGCATTTTATTAATTTATCATTTGCTTCAGTATATCAAGCTGTATTCTTGATATGTTAGATTTGATTTAAAATTTATTGCCAATGAAATAAAACCTTGCTCTAGAATCAGCTGGTGTTTATCAGGCCTTTTAAATTTTTGCAAGGTGAACTGTCTCATTGTATAAATACAATCACTATTGTTCTTCTTGAGAAACCAGTCATTCATTGATTGATTTGGCTGCATAAGAATTTGATTCATGATTAAGTCTGAATGGTATTGAATATTCTAACAAACAATACGTTTTGTAGATTGAGCATCTGAAAGCATGTTCAGAAGTAGCCACATCAAGGCCAGTCAACTGGCAGCTGTATTGTAAAGATAATCAAAGTAAGTACTGGACCATTCTACAGCTGAATATACCATGAATAAGGGCGCTAAGTAAGTAATGAAGTAGCTAGATCTTCCACAAAGAATGTTTGTCTTATGCAAGTCCATGTATAGTAGGGTTCAAGACACCCTCCAACTTATAAACAAAATGACTGTGTTTAATTTTCCAGTTTGTAATTAAGAAGGTCAGTGGTTCTGTCAAGGCAGAAGGCTTCTTCCATGAATTGAAAGTGGCGTTAAACACCAACAATCAATCAATCAATAATGGTAACAGTTAACCATCAAAGTTTCTGTGATAGCATTGATTTGAAAGAAATATATATTTACAGTGTTATATATTTTTTTTTTTTTAAGATTGCTATTTTTTTCATTCTTAAATTAAGATTGCAAATGCATATTTCACTGTGTGCCATTTTCTGATTGCTTTTGGGCTAATTATATTGTACTAATTCTTATATACATGTTTATCTAACCTATAGATTTCTGGGGATATGATTGGTTAAAGGACTACACATGGTGACTTCATATATTTGATATAGGGTGCCCTAAAAATATGTGGTTAGTAAGGAGTTACTTCCCTTTCAAAACAAAAAAAGAAATCTGAAAGGTTTCAACAGACGAAGAAATTAATAATGAACAAATGAAATAAATTCATAAAACAAATTTAAAGCTAACATGTTGTTATTGTTGCCATTTGTTTTTTGTATAGACAAATGGAAGTAGGTTCTTAATACTAAGTATTGAAGACTTAATCACTTTGATAGGCCACTAGACTAAATACCACATGTGAAGATAGTCGGTAAGATAAATTCGTTACAAGGTGTGTTAGTGACCTAATATGATATAGATAGGGTCAGTAAATTTCTATATGGGGATTCAAGCTTCTCTCTCACTCCATATGGAATTTACTGACCCCATATATATCGTATTATGTCACTAACACACCATGTGACTAATAATATCCATTGATTGTAGATGTTCTGTCATTCTTGATAAGAGCCAGTATAATGTTGGATGAAGGTGTAGCCCCTACCCTGCTACAATTATTACAGTGTGCCCTCTGTGGGAGTAAGATGGCTGCAGCTGTTGCTGAAGGAGGAGGAGCCACAAGTTCTCCTTCTAAACAGAAAAAAGACAAAGACAAGGATAAAGACAAAAATGAAGGTAAAACAGTTTAAAGGATTTTCGTTGTTATGGAAAATTTCAAAATAAACATATATATTTTTGTAGTGGGGAAACTTTTTTAACCTCTAGTCTTTTTCAGTTACTACATTTTCTCTCTCTATATATATATAACATGATGGATCATTCGATATTTACAAGGGGCCTCGGTGGCCGAGTGGTCTAAGTAGTTACTACTGTAATCACTAGCCAGTCAACACTGAGGTTGTGAGTTCGAACGCCACTTGTGCGGGTGCACTCGACTCCAATCTTAATTGACTAGGATTGTCAGTTTTCCTATTGAAGGTCTGTGGTTTTCTCCGGGCACTGGGGCTTCCTCCACCAATAAAAACTGGCCGCCACGAAATAGCCCAAAAGCAGTGCTTAAAAGTGGTGTTAAAACACCAAAAATCAAAATCAAAATCGATATTTACAGATTGTTAGGTTGTGAAAGTCATAATATGTTGATGTTAACATTTCTGATTTTTTCCAAAATAAAGTATTGTATCTTATCAACAATTAATAGAATTATTGTAAACACAATGAAGTTTTAAAGTGCCGCGGGATTTCTGCTGGAGAAAAGATATGAATGAATGGGAGAGTTGGAGTATAGGTCATTGAGACCGTAACCCGAAGACACCAAAAAAATCTTGAGATAACATAGTCTTAAATAATAGACATATGTCTATACAAATTGTCGAGTTTAAACAAAAGTTGTAAATAAATTTAATAGACATTTACAAATATGTGTGTTGCTGCTTCATGGAACTTTTAACTTGGTCTGCCTAATTTTGACCTTTTGTACTTTAGATTCTGATGATGGACAGAAAGTTGATGAGACTCTGTGTGTAAGTCTGATACAATTACTGAACAAAGTTGTGGATCCAGATTTAATGATAAACTTTATCAGGACTTTCTTACTGGAATCCAACTCTACAAGCATCAGATGGCAGGCCCACAGTCTTGTCTTCTACATCTACAAGTAAGTCTTAATAAATTTAAGTTAGTTTATATTTGAAACTACAGAGTTAGGGAAGCTGACTATGATATCAGAACTATGATAAGCATCAGCAATTTTCAACAGATCCTGTCATTAGTTGAAAAAAAAAAATTGTTTAAATTCTGCTTTAAATTGTCTGCTAATATTAAATTTATTTTCATATTGAAAATAACAATACAACTGGACTTAGACTTTACAATGATAAATTGAAAAAAAAAGAAATTAAAAAAAGAATAGAGTGGAAACATTACAAACTGATACATAATTTTATGCAACTGGTCAGATTTTTTTTTATTTCAACAACACATATTTATATTTATAAAATTGATAGTTGTTTAAATCAAAATTGATCTATATAATAGCATAGATATGAATTATGCTTGAGCTCATTTACAGTTTTGATTTCAGCATGTACCAGTCTTTTTAAAAAGCTCTTGTACAAACAGAAATACATGTGACCCATTGCAAAAAAATGCTGTAAACCAACTTATTTTCCCAGAAATGTTTTTTTTTCCCCCTTGAAGTTGCCTTTTTCAGCCTATTTGTTTCAACAAGTTTCTACAACTCCATTAAGGTTTTGATATAATAAAAAAAATCAAGTTTGACCTTTGTGTCCATTTATATTCATGTTACTTTTCTATATGAGAAAGTCAGGAAAATAAGTTGTTTTACATTATGTATATGACTTTAGGATTTCTATTTGAATTTAAATGCCTTCTACTCTGGTCTTTCTAATGAGGAAGTGAGTTGTTCTGTTTAAGAAAGTTTTATTGAACTTTTGTGGTTTTCTGGATGCATTAAACATAGCAATTCTTGAGTTAACTGTTCTTTGATCCATTCCAGAAACTGTACTTTGACTGAACAAGAGAATATGATGGAGATGATGTGGAGTTTATGGAAAGAACTTGCTCTGTACGGTAGAAAAGCTGCCCAGTTTGTGGATTTACTGGGATATTTTGTACTCAAAACACCTCAAACATCAGAGAAGAAAACAAAAGAATACTTGGAGAAAGCTATAGCTGTCTTACGAGATGAGAACAATCTATTGACTAACCACCCCAATGCACAGATTTATAAGTATGATAAATGTTTCATGATTAATTACAGATGTGGTGTATATATTTGAAATTGCTCCTATAGATCATTCTGTATGCAGGCATTATTTTAAGCATTTCCCATATTGAGTCATATAAAGATAATTCAAGCTTTTCTAGTAACTAACAAAATAAGAAAAACTTTTATTCATATGGCTTATGTGTTTTCCATAAAAAGCTCCTAAGAGCTTATGTTTGTATTGATATATGCACTTAATCAAAATAAAACTTTTGTATTCATGCTCATAATTCAAATTAATAAAAGAATGATTGATTGAAAAATAAACATTTGAGTTTTTTTGACATTATAAAAAATACTTGAAGGAATTATCTATGTAATAACGGAGCATATTAAACACTATTATTTTTAGCATGTTACAAGGCCTGGTAGATTTTGATGGCTATTACCTGGAGAGTGATCCCTGCCTTGTCTGTAATAATCCTGAAGTTCCTTATACGGTAAGTTTGCAATTGTGAGAATGTAAAATGTCTATATTGCATGTAAGAATAGGAAAAAATCATGTCTAAAAACAATTGCAGACCAAATGGTGCTATCAAATTGGATAGATATTTTTGACTTGATATAGTTTAAAGTTGTATGCATCAATATCATTTCAAACATAAAATCATATAAACATCATTTTAATGCAATTATTTTGTATTAATGGTTCTGATTGGATGACATCAACAATAAAATTCTCTATCTTCATGTCTGTAGCTTAGGGAAGCTGACATTTTGAATTCTGGAATGTATTTACATGTTATTTCTTCAATTATGAATTTAAAAAATCACAATTTTCACATAGAAAAGTTCTTTTTATCTAATTTTATTACATTCTGAGGTGTACAGGAATCCAGAAAAGGCCTGCTGTTTACATTTGACGCCAGAAGCATACTTATGACGTCACCTTGTTTAGTTGCCAAAGACTATAACATTTTTCATTTCATTTAATGAAGTTTTATACAGAAAGAATGACTGAAATGAACTGATTTTTTTATTTTGCATTAGAATAGAGATAACTGTATTGTATTGTAGCTTTGCCTACGTAAAACTGCTTTGCATTGCTAGGTAAACTCAATTAGTGACAGTAAAATCCACGTTTTAATGCCAAGCTTCAAATACAATACAGTTATCTTTTAAATGTAAATTTAAAGTCTAAATTATGATAACTGTGAGGAAGGCTGATGATTCAAAGCATAATAACATCAGGAAAATACTAGAACATGTTTTAAGAAAAAAAGATGACAATGAATTTATGTTCTAGGTACAAATTATATCAGAAATTATGTGTTAACAAAATATTACACGCACACAATTCTATTTGCATTTTTTCAAGAATTGTTTTAAAAATTGTGGCGAAATATACATGAATGTGAACTTTAGATACCTTTTACATTGATTCTTACAGAGCCTGAAGTTGTCTGCTATAAAAGTAGATTCAAAGTTCACCACTACCACACAGATCATAAAACTAGTAGGAAGTCACAACATTTCTAAGATAAGCTTGAGAATCAGTGACCTGAAAAGAACTAAAATGGTAAGTTTTTACTTATTAAATATTTTAAAGATTTTATTCGAATACTGTTATGATATTCAATAATATTATTTATAACAATGTCCACATGTTTGTAGATATGCTAAGTTCATTTGCACTTAATGGCCAGTTTACATTATCTTAGTCAATGACCTTTACACCCTTGAATATTTTGTAGTTGAACATGTTTACAAGTCAATGCCTTATAACATTATGTATGCATAATTCTTTATCTGAAAGCATTTATAAGCTGGAAACAAGATTTTTAGTAGATGTGGGGTATATGCCAATGAGACGCCAACCCAATGAAACAAATAACCAAAAGACATCTTAGTCTACCTGATTTGAATTCTAATAAGAACTTTGATTTAAATTATTAACTGGATATATATACACAACTTTAATTTAATTATTGAGACATAATTAGCACACACAAATGGCATTTCATTGAAAATTGAAATACATATGTTTTTTTTTACCTTGAAAATATAGATATTTAAATTATCTGTCATTTGGGAAAAAGGAATATATTAGACAAAAGGTATCAATTGGTTAATGATAGGAGTATGCAAGAAAGACGGCAAAGTAATGTAAAGGGAACATTTTATATACTGTAAATTTGGAAATTGTTGCAATGTTTTTGTAATTTCGGAAATTGTGGCAATGTCTTTATAAATGTGAAAAATGTGAAAGTATCAGGTTTGCAATAATAAAAACTCATTTATAATTACAGTAGTGATTTTCTTTTATTAAAGTTTTGCAATCGCATTAATTAGATTTTGCATTTTTGCCAGAGGTCAAGGATTTTTAAAATAATGAATGCACACATTAATTTCTGATTTTACAGTACCCATGACCATTTGTAATGTGAACCAGTATCTACATTTTACCTTTTTAGCTCACCTGGCCCAAAGGGCCAAGTGAGCTTTTCTCATCACTTGGCGTCTGTCGTCTGTCGTCGTCCGTCGTCGTTAACTTTTACAAAAATCTTCTCCTCTGAAACCACTGGGCCAAATTTGCCCAAACTTGGCCACAATCATCATTGGGGTATCTAGTTTAATAAATGTGTCCGGTGACCCGGCCAACCAACCAAGATGGCCGCCATGGCTAAAAATAGAACATAGGGGTAAAATGTAGATTTTGGCTTATATCTCTGAAACCAAAGCATTTAGAGCAAATCTGACAAAGGGTAAAATTGTTTATCAGGTCAAGATCTATCTGCCCTGAAATTTTCAGATGAATGGGACAACCTGTTGTTGGGTTGCTGCCCCTGAATTGGTAATTTTAAGGAAATTTTGCCGTTTTTGGTTATTATCTTGAATATTATTATAGATAGAGAGAAACTGTACACAGCAATAATGTTCAGCAAAGTAAGATCTACAAATAAGTCAACATGACCAAAATGGTCAGTTGACCCCTTAAGGAGTTATTGCCCTTTATAGTCAATTTTTAACCATTTTTCGTAAATTTTTGTAATCTTTTACAAAAATCTTCTCCTCCGAAACTACTAAGACAAATTTAACCAAACTTGTCCACAATCATCATTAGGGTGTCTAGTTTAAAAAATGTGTCCGATGACCCCGCCCGCGAACCAAGATGGCCGACATGGCTAAAAAATAGTACATAGGGTAAAATGCAGTTTTTGGCTCATATCTCTGAAACCAAAGCATTTAGAGCAAATCTGATGAGGATAAAATTGTTCATTAGGTCAAGATCTACCTGCCCTGAAATTTTAGACCAATCAGGCATTACGTTGTTGGGTTGCTGCCCCTGAATTGGTAATTTTAAGAAAATTTTGCAGCTTTTGGTTATTATCTTGAATATTATTATAGATAGAGATAAACTGTAAACAGCAATAATGTACAGCAAAGTTAGATCTACAAATAAGTCAACATGACCAAAATTGTCAATTGACCCCTTAAGGAGTTATAGTCAGTTTTTTACAATTTTCATAAATTTTGTAAATTTTTGTAAATTTTTACAAAATATTTTCCACTGTAACTACCGGGCCAAGTTCATTATAGATAGAGATAATAGTAAGGAGCAAGAATGTTCAGTAAAGTAAGATCTACAAACACATCACCATCACCAAAACACAATTTTGTCATGAATCCATCTGTGTCCTTTGTTTAATATGCACATAGACCAAGTTGAGCGACACAGGCTCTTTAGAGCCTCTAGTTTTTCAGATAAGATTTATTTGTTAGAACTAATGATTGTATAATTAATTGTAGGTTAGAGTGATCAACTTTTACTACAACAACAGGACTGTACAAGCTGTAGTAGAACTTAAAAACAAGTAGGCATCTGTAGTTACTACCTCTGTATCTCTAGGATAAAAAAACTGCTTGTTTTGTTTTGTAGTAGAATACTTGACATGAGTTGTTATAAAGCTGATCAAACCAAAGACTTTAAAAATGATATAAATGGCTTTTCCACACAGCATTTAAGAATTAATGCGAAGACTGATTGGCTTGGAGACCATATAATTTGTTCATTTGGGGGTGGCATACTTTTTTTTTTTTAATCTTACCTTTTGATGTAGCAAGGCGTGGAGTCAACATAATTTGTCTATTTTGGGGGTGGTTGAATCTTTTTTGGGGATTCTAACCTTTTTTAAAAGGTATTTTGGATTCATTACTATTCTTGGGATACTAATTCTCGTGGATTTCATGAGTATAGGCAAACCACAAATATAAATGTTCAATGACATACAAATTTTCTATTGGCTTGTATACACACTGTGACAAAATACGACATCAAATACATGTGTCCACGAAAATAAATAAATCCACAGTAGAATATTGAAAATGTGGCTCAGCCTGTCATTAGAGTATAAAATAAGGGTTCATATTCATTTTACAAACTTTTTCTCATCTTAAAATCCATTTAAGAATTTGATGGAGTTTATTCATGCATCCTTTGGATTTACCATTTTTTCTAGGAGATCTATAAAAATACAAGGAATGCATAGGATTTGGCAAATTAAAAAAAAATTGTAAGGTATTATTTAGTCCACCTTTTGGTTCCTGGATTTGAAAATAACAATTTTTCTTTCTTTTTTTAATATCATCAGACCTGGAATATGGCACAAAGCTAAAACAGTGGTTCTGACTTCAGGACAGACAGATGTCAAGGTAAGGAACATTTTCTTCAATTATTTTTAATCTGTATTTTGCTTCTGAATATCATTTTATTTAACAGCAGTGAGGTAAGAAATAAATATAAAATTTCAGAACACACAACACCATTCATCTATTAACCAATTATCCTGTTATTTGTCAATTTTCACCTGAACTTTTTTCAATTGAGTCTACCTTATATTTATTTGAGTTTATTCTGAGCACTGAGCTTAAAGTTTAAACACAACATTTTTTGTAATCTTTTTTTCCAATCAATCTTATAAAAATCTGAATAGAAAATTACCCCTTGTAAAATAATTATTAATTGATGGGTAGTGATCAGATGTTTTCAGATGAATAAAATCTTGTTAAATCTATAAAATAAACTAGAGTTGAAGAAACATGGGTAAAGTAGTAACTAAATTTGTATTTCTCAGGTTGAATTCCCTATTCCGATTGTTGCCTGTAACTTGATGATAGAGTATGCAGACTTCTATGACAACCTCCAGGCAACAGCAGAGACATTACAATGTCCCCGGTGTAGTGCCTCAGTACCAGCATCTCCTGGTGTGTGTGGTAATTGTGGAGAAAATGTGTTTCAATGCCACAAATGCAGGTTTGTACATTTAATTTTGACACCTTTCTGTAAAGATAAAAGATATTTATTATTATAACAATCAGATTGCTACTATATAACACAAGTAACCCTATTTTTATACGCCCGTTTACAGGACGTATTATGGTATACCGTTGTCTGTCTGTCCGTCCGTCCGTCCGTCCGTCTGTCCGTCCGTCTGTCCGTCGTCAACATGTCAGACATTAACTCAAAAATGCTTTAACCAATGTGCATAAAACTTTGGTGAATTGTTTATATCTATTGACGTAAGCTCACTTTCGTTTTTTATAAAATTTAGATTTTACGTTTCCGAGTTATGGGGTTTTATTCTTTAAAAAAAGGGGGATTTTCCAGTTTTCGGACAATAAGTCAAGAATGCTTTCACCAACTTGCAAGAAATTGTGTTGAATTGTTTATATCTATTGACATGAGCTCCCTTTCGATTTTTATAAATTTTAGATTTTACATTTCCGAGTTACAGGGTTTTATTCATTAAAAAAGGGGGGATTTTTCAGTTTTCGGACAAAAACTCAAAAATGCTTTCAGCAATTCTTATGAAACTTTGGTGAATTTTGTTTTGTATGTACTGATGTAAGCTCCCTTTAGAATTTTATAAATTTTACCTTTTACATTTCTGAGTTATAGGGTTTTATTGTCGAGCCTGCGACTTTTGTCGCAGAAAGCTCGACATAGGGATAGTGATCCGGCGGCGGCGGCGGCGGCGGCGGCGTTAGCTAACTTCTTAAAAGCTTTATATTTTAGAAGGTGGAAGAGCTGGATGCTTCATACTTTGTATATGGATGCCTCATGTTACGAAGTTTCCGTCAGTCACATGTCCAATGTCCTTGACCTCATTTTCATGGTTCAGTGACTACTTGAAAAAAAAGTTCAGATTTTTTGTAATGTTAAATTCTCTCTTATTATAAGTAATAGGATAACTATATTTGGTATGTGCGTACCTTGCAAGGTCCTCATGCCTGTCAGACAGTTTTCACTTGACCTCGACCTCATTTCATGGATCAGTGAACAAGGTTAAGTTTTTGTGGTCAAGTCCATATCTCAGATACTATAAGCAATAGGTCTAGTATATTCGGTGTATGGAAGGACTGTAAGGTGTACATGTCCAACTGGCAGGTGTCATCTGACCTTGACCTCATTTTCATGGTTCAGTGGTTATAGTTAAGTTTTTGTGTTTTGGTCTGTTTTTCTTATACTGTATGCAATAGGTCTACTATATTTGGTGTATGGAATGATTGTAAGGTGTACATGTCTAGCTGGCAGGTGTCATCTGACCTTGACCTCATTTTCATGGTTCAGTGGTTATAGTTAAGTTTTTGTGTTTTGGTCTGTTTTTCTTATTCTGTATGCAATAGGTCTACTATATTTGGTGTATGGAATGATTGTAAGGTGTACATGTCTAGCTGGCAGGTGTCATCTGACCTTGACCTCATTTTCATGGTTCAGTGGTTATAGTTAAGTTTTTGTGTTTTGGTCTGTTTTTCTTATTCTGTATGCAATAGGTCTACTATATTTGGTGTATGGAATGATTGTAAGGTGTACATGTCTAGCTGGCAGGTGTCATCTGACCTTGACCTCATTTTCATGGTTCAGTGGTCAAAGTTAAGTTTTTGAGTTTTGGTCTTTTTTTCTAATACTGCATGCAATAGGTCAGCTATATTTGGTGTATGGAATGATTGTAAGGTGTACATGTCTAGCTGGCAAGTGTCATCTTACCTTGACCTCATTTTCATGGTTCAGTGGTCAAAGTTATGTTTTTGAGTTTTGGTCTTTTTTTCTAATACTATATGCAATAGTTCAACTATATTTGGTGTATGGAAATATTTTATGATCTATATGTCAGTCACGCAGGTTTTATTTGACCTTGACCTCATTTTCAAGGTTCATTGCTCAGTGTTAAGTTTTTGTGTTTTCGTCTGTTTTTCTTAAACTATAAGCAATAGGTCAACTATATTTGTTGTATGGAAGAATTGTTAGCTGTACATGCCTGCCTAGCATGGTTCATCTGACCTTGACCTCATTTTCATGGTTCATTGGTCAATGTTTAGTTCACTTGGTTAATGTTAAGTTTATGTGACAGTTGTAATAAAGCTTTATATTTAGGACTATCAACATAATATCAATGATTAGTAAAGAAGGCGAGACATTTCAGCGTGTGCACTCTTGTTCATTAAAAAAAGGGGTGATTTTCCAGTTTTTGGACAATAACTCAAAAATGCTGTCACCAATTCTCATGAAACTTTGGTGAATTGTTTATATCTATTGATGTAAGCTCCCTTTTTATTTTCATAAATTTCTAATTTGACATTGAGAATTGATTGAACTTAATTTGTTTATAGTCTGACAACAGATTTACTAAGTATTGCACAACAGCAAGAAATCTTTAATTGAATATAAATTCAATTCATATAATCAATTTCAAGATCTTTGACTACATTTATTCAGAAACCTATAATATGTCAAATATTTAATTACAATCCAAATTCAGACTTGAATCAAGCTTGAATATTGTGTCCATTTTTGCCCCAACTGTTCAGGGTTGGACCTCTGCGGGCGTATCTAGCTGCGCTCAACGAAGCAGTTTATTTATGCCCCTGCCGTAGCGGAGTGGGCATTAAGTTTTACCCTTCTCCGTCTGTACGTCCGTCCATACGTCCCGAAATTGGTTTCCATTCTCTAACTTTAGTTTGCCTCAACCAAGTGTTATGAAACTTATCCACAATGCTTATTACCACAAAACACAGATCAAGTTTGAATTTTGGTGGCATCACTTTTACCGTTCGAGAGTTATGCCCCTTTACAAATGGAAAAATTGCGTTTCCCTTCTCTAACTTTAGTTTGCCTCCACCAAATGTTATGAAACTTATCCACAATATTCATTACTACAAAACACAGATCAAGTTTGAATTTTGGTGGCATCACTTTTACCATTCTAGAGTTATGTCCCTTTACAAAAGAAAAAAATTGCTGATTTTTTTGTTTCCGTTCTCTAACTTTAGTTTGCCTCAACCAAATGTTATGAAACTTATCCACAATGTTTATTACCACAAAACACAGATAAAGTTTGAATTTTGGTGGTGTTACTTTCACTGTTCTAAAGTTATGCCCCTTTACAAATGGAAAAATTGCTGAAATATTATTTTTTGTTCTCTCACTTTAGTTTGCCTCAACCAAATTTTTATGAAACTTATGCACAATGTTTATTACCACAAAACACAGATAAAGATTGAATTTTGGTGGCGTCACTTCTACTGTTCTAGAGTTATGCCCCTTTAAAAATTGAAAAATTGCTGAATTTTTCGTTTCTGTTCTCTAATTTAAGTTTACATCAGCTAAATGTTATGAAACTTATACACAATGCTTATTACCACAAAACTCAGATCAAGTTCAAATTTGGGTTTGTCATTTTTACAGTTCTTGAGTTATGGCCCTTTATGACGTTATATGCAAGCGGGGGCATCATCTGTGTCCCATGGAAACATTCCCCATTTATATGTTTTTATATCATTTAATCAGAAATTTATGTACCAAAAACATATATTTTTTAAGAAAAATCTATGGATTAAAAATTGCAGATTTGATGATTTAAAACTTGAGAACTTTTTTTGCTGATTTCATGTGCTTTCTATACAAATGTTCACCTATTTTGAAAGAATTGAATCAGTAATATTACAGATACTTCAAGAGATAAACGCATTATTATTTCGATTTTGAGTTATAGATCAACTAGCCAAAGTTGTATGCCAAATTTTACGAAAATCTGAGACATAGTCAGTTTACTGTTACTCGACCTTAAACAATGGTTAAAAATGCAAAATGTATTATTTCAGTAAATACTGCTTACAAACAATGCTATCAAAATTTGAAATGATAGTGTTTATTTTTGCTAAACCTATCCCAAAGCAATTTCTGAAATAATAAAAACATTGCCAAGTTTTCGAAATTTACTGTATTTTTTTTTTATATCCAGAGCTAAAGCACCCTGTTGAAATAAGCCATTGTTTCTTTATAAAGTTTAAATTATGACTGTATTTTATTATAGAGCCATTAACTATGATGAGAAAGATCCTTTCCTATGTAATGCCTGTGGTTTCTGTAAATATGCCAAGTTTGATTACACACTGACGGCCAGACAGTGTTGTGCTGTAGATCCTATAGAAAATGAAGAAGATAGAAAGAAGGTATGTTATCTTAAGTTTGATTACACACTGATGGCCAGACAGTGTTGTGCTGTAGATCCTATAGAAAATGAAGAAGATAGAAAGAAGGTATGTTATCAAAGTTTGATTACACACTGACGGCCAGACAGTGTTGTGCTGTAGATCCTATAGAAAATGAAGAGGACAGAAAGAAGGTATGTTATCTAAGTTTGATTACACACTGACGGCCAGACAGTGTTGTGCTGTAGATCCTATAGAAAATGAAGAAGACAGAAAGGAGGTATGTTATCTAAGTTTGATTACACACTGACGGCCAGACAGTGTTGTGCTGTAGATCCTATAGAAAATGAAGAAGATAGAAAGAAGGTATGTTATCTAAGTTTGATTACACACTGATGGCCAGACAGTGTTGTGCTGTAGATCCTATAGAAAATGAAGAAGATAGAAAGAAGGTATGTTATCTAAGTTTGATTACACACTGACGGCCAGACAGTGTTGTGCTGTAGATCCTATAGAAAATGAAGAAGATAGAAAGAAGGTATGTTATCTAAGTTTGATTACACACTGACGGCCAGACAGTGTTGTGCTGTAGATCCTATAGAAAATGAAGAGGATAGAAAGAAGGTATGTTATCTAAGTTTGATTACACACTGACGGCCAGACAGTGTTGTGCTGTAGATCCTATAGAAAATGAAGAGGACAGAAAGGAGGTATGTTATCTAAGTTTGATTACACACTGATGGCCAGACAGTGTTGTGCTGTAGATCCTATAGAAAATGAAGAAGATAGAAAGAAGGTATGTTATCTAAGTTTGATTACACACTGACGGCCAGACAGTGTTGTGCTGTAGATCCTATAGAAAATGAAGAAGATAGAAAGAAGGTATGTTATCTAAGTTTGATTACACACTGACGGCCAGACAGTGTTGTGCTGTAGATCCTATAGAAAATGAAGAGGATAGAAAGAAGGTATGTTATCTAAGTTTGATTACACACTGATGGCCAGACGATCTAGGAGTATGGTCTATATTGCACTCACCTTGTCCATTTGTCTGTTCGTCCAACAAATATTTATGTCACACTTTTCTCACATTCTACTGTCTAAACAGAATGCCTTCAAAATTTAGTCAGTAGATCAACATGGGTGAGGTGTAATGTGTAAGGACCTTTTCAGATTTGTCAGACATCTGCTTCATGTTTGCTGAAACTTTGAATCTTCCAATATGTTAAATGAACTTTATATTATCTTCACACATTTCGATTCTCCAGTACTACTGAACAGAATGACTTCATACTCGGTCAGTAGCATGACAGTGATGAGTAGTAACTTGTGAGCTTGATGAATTATGAATGCTTGTATACTTAGGACCATAATAGATGCAATTTCTTGTTTAACTTGCTGATTTACTTAGATTGTATTAAATAATAGTTGATTATTTCTGAAGAATGATATTATACAATATAATTCCAGGCAATTACCACCATCAATACACTGCTAGAAAAAGCTGACAGAATCTATAAACAGCTTCAGCAACACAGACCAGTACTGGAAAAACTTCTTATTCAAGTCACAGAGCATGGGTCAGAAAGATTGGTAAGTTTTAATGAGAGGGATGAGATGCTTTTGAGATGTTGGCTAAAAAAGTGGGGATATGGCATCTAGGGGTAAAAAAAAAGTGGGGATGTGAGATATTGAAGGTAAAAAAATGCGATCTGGGAAAAAGAAGGGGAAAAACTTGGAAGTGATAAAAAATTACAAAAAAAGCAGGATTTGTGAATAAAGTGTATGATTTGCAAGTTGATTATGCATGATACATAATTATTCTGTTTATTTTTGTATATTTCCTTCTTTTATGATATTAAATTATTTATAACATTTTTATCCTTTTTTTAATTCAATCTTATTTTGAAAATATTATTAAATTAGACCTTTGGGAAAGTTCATAACAAATAAGAATCCTATCACACACACTAATTTCATATGAGATTTAGATGGTAAGAATTTAAAGCCAAATACAGTTTAATTTTGTTGCTCATTGATGTACACTTTTTGTCCATTACTGTATGAAAATATAGGGGGAAGTACCTTTATGTAGAAAATATATATTTCATAAGAACAAATACTTTTCATTGTGTGGATATCTTAGTAAGTATGCAATTCAGAAACTTTAATAAGGAATCTCGGGTTATTTAAATAAACTTCAATCATTTTTCAGGACGATGCTCTGCCACAGTCTGGTGGTGGTTCAGCTAATGTACCATCTAGCAATGTCAACAAAGCTATACAGTCCCTGGCACTCAAGTACTGTAGTGAATGTAAATCTTCATTTGATGAACTCAGTAAAATCATACAGGTAACTTTCAAAATAATCAATGTTATATTGTCAAACCTGAACATAAAGGTTACCCCTGATATCAGGGAAAACTGACATGCTAATAGAGATGACCTTTAAATTGAAGGTCAAAATGCAAAGTAGTTACTTAATTGAGACAAGAAGATTGTGACTTGACTTAAGGGTCAAAATGCATAGTAGTTATGTAAGCAAGATAAGAAGAGTGTGACCTGACAAGACTGATTTTGCTTACTAAGAGGTGACCTTTATAACAGGTTTGACTGTACTGTCATTATACAGACATTTTACATTTGATGACACCTATTGGTAGACATTGCTTGTACTTGATTTCAGATCAAGCCATTCATACAATTATAGAAAAAGACATATGGCTATGATTGCCAATGTGTCAACTCTCTACCAGAGACAAAAATGACATAGAAGTTAACAACTATAGGTCACTGTATGGCCTTCAACAACGAGCAAAACCCATGCCTCATAGTCCGAGGAATGGATGTTTATTTCAGTCAGTGTTTTACTTTGATCAGACTATGTGTGTTCAAGGCTTTTGTAGCCAATATGCTTTCAACTTTCTTTCATGTAATTTGCACCACAGTAATGAGATTTGAATGTAAATAAGTTTCACTGTAAATATTTCACATAAGGAAATGCCAAAAAATAGACTTTGATAATATAGCAGCCACTGTAAGAATCTTCTAATAAAATTGGTATTTACCTGAAATTGAAAATTTTTACAGAAAGTACTAGCGAGTCGTAAAGAACTAGTAGAATATGATTGTCAGCAGAGAGAGGCTGTGTCAGCTGCCTCCCAGGTGTCTCCCGTCACCAGCCCAAGAGATGATCCTATGATAAAGGCCAAACATGTTGCTCCCTGTAAACCCAAAATGGGAAAAGACAGGTATGTAAAATTACTCAACCTATTGTGTAGGCTGTAAGTGTTGAGTAATTTGTTAAACTCTTAAAAACCAAAAATGATGCAGTCTTTTTGAAGGTATTTTTTTTCCTCAAAAAAAAAAAAATTGTATTGACATTTTAACAGAAAATCATATTGTTTTTTTTCAACCATTTCAATTTTTTTGTTTTGGAGAAAGACCAGTAAAACAAGTGAATAGAACAAAATTCATTCATAAATGGTGCCTAGTAATAATTTGATTGTTTATTTATAGTACAACAATGTAAACTGTAACAAAGCCTTGTATTTTTTAGTGTGAAGGCCAGTAACTGTTACGGCTGTGCCAGCTCAGCTGTCGAACATTGTATCACACTTTTAAGAGCTCTAGTTACCAATACAAATCTCAGACAGATCCTCTGTGGACAGGTGAGGATTTCTCCCATTATTTTGAAATAGCTGCAGTTAGATTTTCAAAAGGAATGAATAAATTGTTGTTAAATAAGTAGTTCTACATAAGTTTACAATAATTCTCAATTTAAAATTGAAAATGATCTACAATATATTACTAGAACTGGTATATTTATTAAAATACTATAAAGACTATATCATTCATATTTCCAAATCAACCTCAGTAGATTCCAAAGTTGCATAGACTTGATTATTACAGTTTCCAAAAGTCAAACAGTAAACACACGTGTCCCATGACTCTCCTTACTTTTATCTTTTGATCATTTGTCTCATATCCCACCATAGTCAATGCTTTATGTTTGCATCTGGAAGTTTAATAAGGCACAATCAATCAATATTTTATATTATATTATTATAGGGTATGATAAAAGAACTGATTGACTATAACTTGCGTCATGGATCTTTACAAGTGAGGACAGAAGTACGATCATTATTGTGTCTCCTTACCAAAGATAACAGAAGAGGAACTGAAGAAATGAACAATTTGATAATGACCAGGATAAGCTCTGCTCTGAAAGGATACTTGTCAAATCCAGATTTGGTAAGTTGGAACTGGTGTAGAAAACTGGGAAATAAATACTGTCAATTCATTATTGCGATTTTGACATGATCAACAAAAATTTAATATTGATTATCGATATTTTAGGAAAAGCTGCATACTTACATGTATATATGTATCCTATATCAGAATGCAAGTTCTTATAGTATTGTGATACTCAACTTATCACATTATTTGCAATTCAGTCGACTCCACTTAATTGCATACCGCTTAATAGCATAATTCGGTTAATTGCATAGTTTTCTCCTGCACAAAACCATTTCTCATTCATCTAATGTTAAATTTTCCGGTTATATGCATAGCTCCACAAGTGGCCTTTCGGTTTATTGCATAGAAAATATTTGCCATCTAGATATGCTTAGTTAAAACTGACGAGATTTTTTACCGGAAACGGCAATTTGGTGAGTATATTTTTTTTGATACATCATTATTTTCGTGATTATTTTATATTTACTTTTGTGTTATTTAAATAAAGTTTTAAAACAGTTTCTTTCGTGTTTTTATGATGGAATTTGATTTAAAAATACACCTCGATGTCTATACAGGTAAAGTTTCCCATGTTCTATTTTAAGCCTCGAGGTCATAAAAATGTCAAACAGGTAATTGTTGTAAAATCACTGACCATTTGATCTCAAAAAGGTGTAAATAATTGATTGGATTTCAAACATTGTCCATAGATTACATTTGGGGTGAATTTTAAAAACAATAACGCCTGTTAATTATCGATCATTATCCAATGTGAACTCTCGTAATTGGGCTTGGGGTGAACTGCATTTATGTTAAATATTACAGGGCATTTATATATGGTTAAAGAATTTTATACATCAATCATTTATTTTTAATATTTTATGAAAAGAGCATTTACTTCTAATTATTATATTTTCTCACTTTCAACACTCGTGTCCAGCAAATAACCCGTACAGGGCCCCATTACTGCTTTGCATATACGAAACTAACGAGGTTAAATAAACAGTGTTACATTACTGTGCAAGCTGTAAATACTGCATATCAAAGGCAGTTCATTACACATCTGATTATAAATTGTGTAGTATTGTTAAACAGTTTATTTTAATCAAAGTGTAATAATGTACATTGTACATACGGGTCATAGAAACAAATCTATTTTTAGAACAATTTGTTTTATTTTCGTATCCCAGGTAAAGGAAACTTCGGTATGCAAATAAACTAAAACAAAATGTGTTTACAATCTTTATTGAAAGAATACAAAATAAAATAACATGTATGACACTAGACATATAACTTTTATTAGAATAAATCAACATTCAATATGTTGTAAGAAGATAATAGACGTTCATCTTTCTTCAGGGATTTCCTTTACTGATCTGTTCTATCGATGTTATTTGACTCCGTAATTTGGCATTTCGGATATAAGCATACTCCGCTTTATTGTATAATTTTGTCTGACAAATAGGCTATGCAAATAACCGGAATCGACTGTAATAACAAAGATTTCTGAATTAACAGTACTCTTGTCAGTCTTCTGCATTTTAATCAAGTAACTTGCATATAACATGCCTTTAACTATATCATGTGGCATATTATATTGGAATACTATTATTTGATGTTAATTGCTTTTTGTTAGTGACAATATTTACATTTTCAAAGATCAATTAATTTTGTCCATAGAAAAAAGTAACTATGAATGATGCAGTATATAAAAGTAAACTCTGACAGATTAAAAACTATACAATTTTTTTTTTTTAATCACAAATTAAAAAAAAAACAGTCATCAATTTGGGAAGGATTTCAACAAAAGATTGATACATTGGTAAAATATCCAATTCCAAATTGGTTCCCAGTGTCAAAATTATCTGTCTGCTGCCATAAAAAAATGGCTAAACATAAAATTTTGTAATGTGATCATTTGAACTGGAATGAAATTTGAAAACTTAATATGTTTGCTATGATCACCTGGTCATAATTATACTATACTGTAGAAACATTAATTTTCGTGGGGTTAAAATTTCGTGGTTTTGTCTCTATATAAAATTTCATGGGGATTTAATTTCGTGGTTTCCATTAAATGGAAGTGATATTATATGTAGGTTAAATTTTCGTGGGGGTTTTAATTTCTTGGATATTTTCTTTCCACGAAATAAACGAAATTAAATCCTCCACGAAAATTTCTGCTTTTACAGTATATATATATATGGATATATGCTATGTAGCATATTGCCTATATTGCTTTGTTTGCAATAACATGATTGTTTTTGTGTGTGTGCTTCTTTAAAAAATTTGTAAAGGTATGACCCTTGTTGACATGTCAGTTTCTAGTTTTAATTCATTAAAATTAAATTGTTTTTCAGCAGTATCAATCTAAGATAAGAAAAAGCAGTTACTGAAAATAGATAAAACTAAACCTTTACACATGATCTCTATCTATTTGAATTTTTAAGACAGTCTTTGTTAATTTGAATTTTAGGGATCATCAGTACGACATGAGATACTTCTTCTAGCGACCTCTCTGCAACAAGATGACAGCTGTTGGGAACAAAGGATCAGATGTGGTATGTATTATAAACCATGCGGAAAGGAAAATGTTCCAATGGGATTTTAGAATTTTATATTCAAACTAAAGATATATACAGTCAAACCTGAGTAAACCGGACCCTGAATAAACCGGTTTCCTGTCCATTCCGGCCGAAAATTGAAGTCCCGTTTGTTTCCCTTCAAAGTCTTTGTAAAAATACCCTTTGTAAACCGGACCCTGTGTATTCCGAATTCCGGTCTAATTATTCAGTCCCAATACTCTTAATTACATCAATTATTACCTGTCAAAACCGGTTTGTTTAATTAATTTAAAATGATAACTGTATTGATCGATATGCAATCAAAACATAATTGTTTATACAAGATGGTTTTTAGGATAATCAATTTTTATGAACAAGGTGTTAAACTGTGAACTTACAGTAGTGAGTGAGCTGTATTATTGAAACACTATAAAAGTTTTAATTAAAATAAACTAAAAGAAACGCCGAATATATCTCTGATAGAACTTACATTGTAACTTTGATAATTTTTTTAAATCTCGGAGTAAGAAATTTACATTGTGTTTTCAAAATGCTGGGTTCCTTGTTGTGAACCCCGAAACCAATGACCCTGATAATGAAGAAGACCCGGATGACGACAATCCATGTGTATCGTACACTGTACAACAATGTTTCGATCGTGATGAAATTTCATTTGATAAAACTCTGGCTTTTTAATTGGCTATACCAACGTAGGAAATGAACGATGAAAGTAAAATGAAACTCTCGTGTAACAATTCAAACAACGCGAGGATTCTGATGCAAATGAAAACAATGAACTCAAAGTAAAAGTGAGACTGACAAGTCTGAGATGATGCTACCGAGGTCGATTTGACATACGAGGGTATGTAAAAGAAAAATGAAAACATTAATTTTTTGAATTCAGGGAACAACCAATTTCTTAAATTTCTAAAGCCCATGAATACGAAGACGCAAAACAACGGTCGTGCGTAGTTACATGTATAACGGTATTGTATTTATCAGTTTATAATTTACAGTCAGACAGAACTTTTACATGCAAAATATCTGACGTCACAAGTCATTCACTTCCGTTCAAAACGGAAACCTGAATAAAGCAGCCTACTGTCCTTTTTCATAGTCCCATAGCAGGCCGGTTTATACAGGTTTTACTGTATAACTTTTCTTTGAATGTCTGAATTGTTTGATGGCTTTATGTAATTTGATGGCATTGGTTCATGGCTTCAATCCCAGACTAGTTCAATCAAAAGACTTGAACATTGGTACTTGCTGATTACTAAGGAAGCCCTTTATGTCAAAACAATTTGTCAAGGTCAGATGACATGTCTTGTCCCTGACCGCTGTGCTTATCCAACAGGCTTTGCCCCTTAACAATTTCAAAAAAAATAGTTATAGAGCTTTGTTATACTGGAAGTTTTTCTTATCCAAGTCATACTTTTATGGATAAAAAGGTGCAAGATTTTTCCAAACTTCACAGAAGTCGACCATTGGCTTTGGGAGGTAAGAATGTTTTCTTTACATTGCACTTTCTAAATCCATTGTATATTGACAACCTTTCTCTAGTAATTAGCTGGATTTTTCATTGTGTAATGGCAAAACCTCTTTTATGAGAAAAGTGACAACATTTCTCTAGCAATGGGCTTGAAATTATTCATCAGTTGATTAGTTTGAAGGAATTAATTAATGTGAAAGGACCAAGCATGTTGGGTTTAAATCCAGCTCAGTGAAAAGTGACAAATTACATCAATCCTGAATTTAACTTGTATTTACCGGCTTTAATATTTTGACAGTGATGAGATTGTTCCTGATGGGTATGCAGATGAAGAACCCAGTAATTACAGACTGTGTGACTCTCCCATGTTTGAGGATACTGCAGCATCTCATTAAATCAGATAATAAAAAGGTGTGTTATATTATCAAGGATACAGGACCCTGTTTAAAAACATAAATCTTAGAAAAAACTCATATAAATGATGCTACACAATAACATGCTTGTGTATGTACTGAATTGTGAAAAATGTAATTTGCAGTATACCAAATAACATATAGAAAGTGGATTTAGTGTTTTCATTATTGAGGTGTGTACTTCTAAAGTAATTTAAAAAATGGCAAATATGAAAGAGTATTTTTAAGATACATTTTAATGATTTTCAAGTTTTTAAAAGGCTCAGTACTCAATTAAAAATATTAAATTGACTTTAAAGCATTTTATGCTTTTTCTCATGTTTAATCTTATTTTCAAAGGAAATTGGTATCTTCATGTAATATAACATAATACATGTATATTTACAGCTGAACTATTTCAGTGGGTTCTTCTTGCATACAATTTAAATTTACTTGTTTGTTAGGTGAACCTTGAATTCTATATAAAAAAACTAGTCGAATAAGTTTTGCAACCATTCTTTAGTAACCTGTCCTATGATTTGATTGGCTAGTAATAAGTATTATCACCCTTTCCATGAATAGTAAACAATGGTAATATAGATTTTATAGTTAACTTAGCAACAGGTAAACTAAACTTCATTGTTCTATGTACAAAGTTAAGTGTATCTGCTGTAATAATGAACAATCTGGAGATATTGAAAAAATCATGTACCGGTATTTGTAATGTAACATTATTTATTTATTGAGGAAAATGTGACTGGATGAATCTTTGAATAATGAAAAAGATTACAGTTTAATTTTTGTAGCAATATTATAATTCAAACATATACATAAGCATATACATAAACGCAAGGTTCCTAATTAAGTGTGACTGTATGGTATAATCTATTTTTAGGAGAAACAGGCTACAGAAGCAGAACTGTTAAGACATCTCTCTGCTGATCTACATGTTAATAGTAAACATTGGCTAACAGGAGATCCTAAGCATTCCTTCCAAAACTGGAGGAAAATATTACCCAAGAGAGGTAAGATACTAAACATTCATATCAAAACTGGAGGAAAATACTTCCCAAGAGAGGTAAGGTACTAAACATTCATGTCAAAACTGGAGGAAAATAATTCCCAAAAGAGGTAAGATCCTAAACAATCCTTCAAATACTTGGAAAAATACTTCCCAAGAGAGGTAAGATCCTAAACATTCCTTCCAAACCTTGGGGAAAATACTTTGCTAAAGAGGTAAGATCCTAAACTTTCCTTTCAAAACTGTAGGAAAATACTTCCCTAAAGAGGTAAGATCATAAACATTCCTTCCAAACCTCCTAAAGAGGTAAGATTCTAAACATTCCTTCCAAACCTTGGGGAAATTACTTCCCAAGAGAGGTAAGATCATAAACATTCCTTCCAAACCTTGGGGAAATTACTACCCAAAAGAGGTAAGATCCTAGACATTCCTTCCAAAACTGAAGGAAATTACTATTAAACTATCCATTTAAGGTAAGATTTTAATCATTCTGTCTAAAACTGAAGGAAAATGCTATCCAAAAGGGTATAATTATATATGTTTATTGTGAATTATTTATGGGGACTTGCAAATATGCCTCAAATAAGTCACGAAAAGTATATAAGTCAACATAATTACATATATGCCTGAATGGAGACATTAAATTCTTCACTAAAATAAATTAAAAAAAATCCCAAAATAGATGACTCCATAATCTACTGTTTTATTTTTATTAGGAAATGTTGAACTAACTAAATTGAATTATTGACCTTGTTAAGGAAACTATTGACACATAAAAATTTCTTCATTGTTGCTGAATTACCCTAAGTGCAATGTTTTATTTTGATTGTTCTTTTCCAGTGACTCAAGAGAAACTTGAGGGAGAAAAGACTGAGACAAAGCCAGACCAGGAAGATACTAAAAAAGTCGCCAGAGCTCTTTATTTAACTGAGAAATATGTGGATAAATGGAGACAGAAAATGAGTAAGACACCAGCTGTACACCTGAAACTGACACAAACAACATGGCTTCAACAAGCCATGTTTTCTCAGTCATCTCGTTCCGCTAGACAGACTGCCTGTAACATTATCGAGTCCATTGCTCAGATTCCCAGTAGGAAGAAGGAGATCGTTGATATGTTAACTAAGTAAGTTTAGATTTTGTTTTTCAATAAATGGATTTTTACATTGAAAATATTCCACACAATCTTAGATTTGTTAACCTGTTTGAATCAGCAATAAGTATGAACTATATCAAATAGTGAATAATACATTGAATAGGGTAACAGGAATTACCCAAGCATTGTACATTTCAACCAACCACACAAACAGTAACGAACAATAAATGATTTTGATATACTGTATTGGTTAAGATTAACCAGTTGTATGTATATATGAATCTCCCTTTTGCCTGTCTATACCATATATGTAATACACATGTTAATCAAACAAAAAAGCCAGAACAGTTCCACAAACAGCATGACTACTAACTTAAACAAGGATATAAAAAGATGGCACATAATTTGGAAAGCAATGTCAAAATGTGTTCACTACTCTGGGAATTTTTGCCACAGCTATTATTTGGATATTGCTGCACAAAAAAAAAAAAAAAAAGATAAGATACAATATTAACAGGTTTTATTAAACTTGTAGAATTAAATTAAAATTGTCGGTTTTTGTGAGAGGCCAGTTTAGAAAAGAATTTAATGTTTATTTTATTGTTACAGGGGTTTTCTAAAATAAAGTTCATGTTTTTTTCTGTTAATTTATTAACACTAATATATGAATACATATAAATAAGAAGATGTGGTATGAGTGCCAATGAGACAACTCTCCATCCAAGTCACCATGTGTAAAAAGTAAACAATTATAGGTCAAAGTACGGCCTTCAACACGGAGCCCTGACTCACACCGAACAGCAAGCTATAAAGGGCCCCAAAAAGACTAGTGTAAAACAATTCAAACAGGAAAACCAACGGTCTAATCTATATAAAAAACACGAAACGAGAAACACTTATGAACCACACCAACAAACGACAACCACTGAACAACAGGCTCCTGACTTAGGACAGGTGCATAAAAATGCAGCCACCGTGCAATGGCTGTATAGCTAGTCAAGGTCGTTAAAAACTTCCATTTGTTGTTGTGTTTAAACGTTTTAACAGGCGCCAACCTTCACAGTTTGTATATGTGATTTATAACAATAATAATTTGAAAGTAATTTACATTATTTATGATTATACATTAAGTAACATTTGTCAACAGGTGTCTGGATGGAATTGGTAAAAGTGGTGAGAGCAGTTCAGAATTCTTGGCTTTATACAAAAAGTTAATCCAACCAGCTCACTGGAAATATTACCTGGCTATCAAAGGTGTCATGTTACACCTGGGTGACTTGATTACAAAGGTATGTTATATTACCTGGTTATCAAAGGTGTCATGTTACACCTGGGTGACTTGATTTCAAAGGTATGTTATATTACCTGGCTATCAAAGGTGTCATGTTACACCTGGGTGACTTGATTACAAAGGTATGTTATATTACCTGGCTATCAAAGGTGTCATGTTACACCTGGGTGACTTGATTACAAAGGAATGTTATATTACCTGGCTATCAAAGGTGTCATGTTACACCTGGGTGACCTTATTACGAAGGTATGTAAAGTTACACCTGAATTACCCTATTACCAACCGTGCGAGACCCCAAAATAGTACCTTATTACACACTGAACATGCATGGAAATGTATAGGTTCAAGTTTTGGTTTAACGTTGTTAACCATGAAGTTGTGGTCTCATCAATTTTAAACTTAGTACACTTGTTCATTATGAGAAGGGCTTTTAACACAAATAGCCAAATTTGGGTTTTGACCCAGAATTCACAGTTATCTGAACAAGGAATTAATTAGGGCCCCCCCGAATGGCGGACACCCTATAATGATCAGTCTATCCGTCCGTCCGTCCGTCCGTAACAAATTGTGTCTGCCCTATATCTAGAGAACCGTTATGATTTCAAAGTTTATACTTGACATGTATATTAACCAACACAAGAGGGTGTGTCATAATGTATGTACAACTTCCTAGGTCAAAGGTCAAGGTCAAAAACTTTGGTTTCAGTTGACAACCCCATGTCCAATGATAAAGAAACAAATTTTTTACCACACATTATTCACAGCGGGGCCCACAGAGATGGCTCCCATCTCAATGATATCTAGTTAGGTTAAAGTTTTTGTTTAAAGTAGTTAACCATGAAATTGTGATCAGATCAACTTGAAACTTAGTACACATGTTTATTATGGTAGGTTTTTTAAAAGAATATTACAAATAAAGAATTTGACCCCGATTTCACAGTTATCTCTGTGGACGTTGGTGGTCTAAGTAGTCGAACTACTGTATAACTAGCCTGTCAACACTGAGGTTGTGTGTTCGAATCCCACATGTGGCAGGTGCGCTCGACTTCAATCTTAATTGACTAGGATTGTATTACCGAAGGTTGGTGGTTCTCTCTGAGCACCAATAAAAACTGACTTCTACCAAATGGCACAATAGTGCTGAAAGTGGGGTTAAAACATCAATCAATCACAGTTATCTAAACATCGAATTTTGTCAGGTTAAAGTTTTGATTTTACGATGGCTAACCATGAAATTGTGGCCACGTGAACTTGAAACTTAGTACACATGTTCATTATGATGTGAACTTCTAAAATTTTGCTTAATTAGAGTTTTGACCCAGATTTCAGTTTCACTGAACACGGAAATGTGATATTGGGAGCAGGGTTTGGTGTATGTCAAAAAAGACTTTCCTGTTTAAATATGACCAGACATGCTAGTCATTTATCAATAAAGTCTGATGACATGATTTTAAAAGCTCTGAAAAATTTACTTTTATTTTAATTGTAGTGGCCTAACAACGGTCCTTATCATGCGTAGTCCTTTATTTATTTTTCTGCATCTTAATTTTTTAACCCATATTAGTGATTCATTATAAGATAGAAATTGAATTTCTGTATATTTTTTTATGACATGATACAGATTGTCTTGGGTTTCAGGAAGTAGAGTTATTACAACATTTAGAAGAAACAACCCTAAGTTCTGACCTTGCACAAGGATTTGCTCTAAAGTCACTTACTGGTGAGTAATTTTTTTTATATTTAAAGGTTTATTATGTAGATAGAGTAACCGAGTACTGATTTATACTAACTTTTAGTAGCAAAAATTTTCATTTATTGAGAAAAAAAACGTATTTTTGTGGATACTTGATTTCATGGTTTTACTAGTATTAAAGAATTCTTTCCTATGATGACACTTTATGTTATTTAAAAAGGCTATTTCTTTAAACAAATGAAATATTTTACATCTATATAATTTTCCTTTTCAAAATTTTGTCGAGCCTGCGACTTTTGTCGCAAAAAGCTTGACATAGGGATAGTGATTAGGCGGCGGCGGCATTAGCTAACTTCTTAAAAGCTTTATATTTAAGAAGGTTCAAGACCTGGATGCTTCATACTTTGTATATAGATGCCTCATGTTACGAAGTTTCCGTCAGTCACATGTCCAATGTCCTTGACCTCATTTTCATGGTTCAGTGATTACTTGAAAAAAAAATTCAGATTTTTTGGAATGCTAAATTCTCTCTTATTATAAGTAATAGGATAACTATATTTGGTATGTGCGTACCTTGCAAGGTCCTCATGCCCGTCAGACAGTTTTCACTTGACCTCGACCTCATTTCATGGATCAGTGAACAAGGTTAAGTTTTCGTGGTCAAGTCCATATCTGAGATACTATAAGCAATAGGTCTAGTATATTTGGTGTATGTAATGATAGTAAGGTGTACATGTCCAACTGGCAGGTGTCATCTGACCTTGACCTCATTTTCATGGTTCAGTGGTCATAGTTTAGTTTTTGTGTTTTGGTCTGTTTTTCTAATACTGTATGCAATAGGTCAACTGTATTTGGTGTATGGAAATATTTAATGATGTACATGTCAGTCTGGCAGGTTTTATTTGACCTTGACCTCATTTTCATGGTTCATTGCTTATGTTAAGTTTTTGTGTTTTGGTCTGTTTTTCTTACACTTTAAGCAATAGGTCAACTATATTTGGTGTATGGAATGATTGTAAGGTGTATATGTCTGTCTGGCAGGTATCATCTGACATTGACCTCATTTTCATGGTTGATTGGTCAATGTTCAGTTTTCCTGTTTAACTTTTTTTCTTAGATACCTTAAGCAATAGGTCAACTATATTTGGAATGATTTTAATGTGTACATGTCTGTCTGGCAGGGTTCAAATGACCTTGACTTCATTTTCATGGTTCATTGGTCGATATAGAATTTCCATGGTTTGGTCTGTTTCTTTTATACTATAAGCAATAGGTCATCTATATTCTGTGTATGGAGGGATTGTATTAAAGGTGTACATGTATTTCCGGCTTGGTTTATCTGACCTTGACCTCATTTTCTTGGATCATAAATGTTAATGTGATACTTGTAGTAAAACTTTATATGTAGGACTATCAACATAAAATCAATGGTCAGTATAGTAGGCGAGACATTTCAGCGTGTGCACTCTTGTTATTTTTTGACAAGTTTTAAAGTCTAATGAATTACCCTTGTCCTTTATTACATAATTACATTATGTCGGTAGTGAAATAGCATCTTTCAATCATATCAAAATTCAGCATTTTTATTTCATTTTGCAACTAAATATTCAACAGGTTTGTATTTCAAACAGGTCATTCCTATTAGAACTGTACAAGTCACATATTGGAGTTACTAAATATTTGCTTTTTGTATTTCAGAGTTGTTAGCTCAGATTGTAGAACAAGATGTACTGAAACAACACTACAAGAACAAACTGGTGGGATATGTTCTGAATGGCTACCTGTCTCTGAGAAAACTTGTGGTACAGAGAACAAAACTGATAGATGACACGCAGGATAAACTGCTAGAGTTACTGGAGGAACTTACAAGTGGTTAGTATACCATGTATTCTATAAAAGCATAAAAGCAATGGACTGCAAAATTTCTGAAATTTAACGTCTTTTTGTGCTACATTATTATGTTCTTTTTCAAAAGGTCATATTGTTTATGCATTTTTAATTTTTTTTTTTTTTTAAATAGATGCTGTAATAAAAGAAATAAAAAATGACTATTCTACTCTCTATTTAAACATTTTGTTACTGTCACATGTATGTTTACTGGCAGTTTGGAACAGAGCTAGAAAAAGCAATATGTGTGACCATCAAATGCCCAATTAAATGTACCTGACCAATTTAATGTGGATAAAATTTGTAACAAACACATGTCATAAAGTTGTTGAAGTTGTGAAGTCATAATGTGGATGTAGTTATTCTGTGTGTGTCTAACTGCTGTCATTATGTTAAACAGGTACAGAGTCAGAGACTAAGGAGTTTATGCAGGTCTGTGTGAAGACAGTGAAGAAATATCCTGGTGATGATTACAGATCTCCAGTCTTCATCTTTGAGAGGCTTTGTAGTATTATTTTCCCTGTGAGTTAAAACATATAAAAGATGAGAACCATCCTTTCAAACATTAATGCTCCTCTTTTAATCTTACAACGCGTACTAGGAGCAACATAATGAAAATAATTGGTTTCAGCAATCATATTTTTATGACCCTGCTGTAGGCGACAGGGGCATTTAGTGTTATCCTTGACCGTCCGTCTTTCCATCCGTCCCATTTTTGTTGCAAAGCTTGATCCGGGGCATTCATGTCCTTAAGTGTAACCAACAGACAACAACAGCTAATTAAAAACACATAACATTAATGTATTGCAAGTCTACCTGCATCATTGAAATTGTTGTGTACCTGTGATTTAAACACCTCTTTCTGAACAAAAATTTCTTATTTATTTTGTTTTGTTGGAAAATTCATATTCTCTCTGCTTACTTTTCAAAGTCAATTTAAATTTTAATGCTCATTGCCTTAAAAGATTGGAAATTCATGGCAAATGTTGGTTCAATTTAGTTTAGCATCATATTGACTAAGAATTTAATATTCCGAAGTGAACTAATTTTAAAGTTAAAGAAATGAAGTTTGCTACCATCCATTGATATGAAATTAAGATATTTATGTTTGTAGTGGATTAATTTTTATTTATTCTGATCCTTTTTACAGGAGGAAAACGATGTAGAAGAATTTCTTCTTATACTTGAAAAGGACCCACAACAAGAAGACTTCCTGCAGGGAAGGATGCTGGGTAATCCATACAGCTGTAACGAGCCAGGTCTAGGGCCTCTGATGAGGGATGTCAAGAACAAAATTTGCCAAGGTAAGTTGTCAGAGTAAAATCTTGAATATTTTCAGTTATTTTAAGTTGAAAGGATATTTCAACTGAATATTTCAGTTTAGAAGATAAAGCTTTGAAAAGAAAAAAGGTATGATTTTATTACACATATGCTGAATTAATAATGTTAAAAGGAAACAATTCAAATTGAAATAAAGTTGTAATTATTTTATTACTGTACGCTTTTTTACAGATTGTGAACTGGTTGCTCTCCTTGAAGATGATAATGGAATGGAGGTTAGTAACCAAATATTCCCACACCCCTCCCCCACCTTAAATGTGTTATTGTTACTTACATTAAGCTAGATCATTTATAAGATTAAAGCAAATATTACTATTTCATAAATTAAATGTTTTATATTGTAGTATTTTTAAACTTACATAAAAAAGTAGAAAGTTAGTTTTAACTAATTCATTAATTGATTTAATCTCAGTCCTTTTATATAAAAATTAAATTTTATTTGAATTCATAAATTTACCAATAATTTCATGAAAATTTACTTACAGTTGTTGGTGAACAAGAAAATCATCAGCCTTGACTTACCAGTGAAAGAGGTGTATAAGAAAGTCTGGGCTCCAGAACATGGAGAGGTAAGTGTATACACAAAATTACACCTGCTACCTTATAATATACTGTAGATTCATTGTTAATTGAGGGCTATTCCATTAAAATGTATGTGGGAGGGTAGGAAGGGACTTTCAAAATATCCCTACAACCAAGAATCATATTTTAGATAATTTTGCATAATGGTAATAGACGCATACTGAAAAAAGACCCATGACCCACATTCAATAATTAAACTTCCCTTCCTACCCTCCCACATACATTTTAATGGAATAGCCCTGAGGGATACCAATTTTCGCTGATTTCAAGGGTACAGATAAACCAGGAATTTACATTTTCAATCAAGTACATATATTCTATAGGTTTGTATACAGATTTTGACAAAACCATGAAATCAAATATCCACGAAAATATAAGTTTTCCTCTATCCACAAAAATTGTTATCCAAGAAAATAAATGAACCTGCAGTATTTGATTATCAATGTATATAAAATAAGGAGATGTGTTATGATTGCCAACTGTCCACCAAAGTTCAAATGAAGTGGATGTAAGCAATTATAGGCAACCGTACGGCCTTCAACAATGAGAAAAACCCATACCGTATAGTCAGCTATAAAAGGCCCTGACATGAAAAATATGAAACAATTCAATTGAGAATAATTACATTGCATGTATGTTTCACTATGATACGTTATTTTGATTGGCTAACAGCAATCTCGCATCCTTCTGAAATTAACATTCATTACACAATGAAATGTAACATTCATGATGACAAGAAGTCCCACAATAAAGTGCACAGGTAAATTAAAGAAAAACTTGATAGAAATCGTGTTTTCATGATCCTAGCTATAAAATGTAATTATAAGTATTGAATGCTTCTTTTTGTAATTTCATAGGGTTGTAAAAGCGTTGACCGTGCCCACATTTTTAGAATGAAGTGCTTCCGCACTTCATACAAAATGTACTTCGGTCAACGCTTTTACACCCCAATGAATTTACAAAAAGAAGCATTCAATTCTTAAAAACTAACGGCCTAATTTATAACATAACAATTTACGAATAACAAATATGACAGAAATGAACCAACGACAACCACTGAACTACAGGCTCCTGACTTGGGACAGGCACATACAGAATATGGCCGGGCTAAACATGTTTGTGTGCATGTCTCTTCATACGCAAATGTATATCTAATAAAAAAAAATAACATTTACATATATTTTTAAGCAAAATATGATTGCTTATTATAAGTTTTCCTGTGAAATGGAACATATGGAAACAAGGGATACCTATGGTATTGTGAAAAAAACAAACTTTTAATGTCTCAGTATTTTTAGTTACATGTATTGAAATGTCTTCATATTATATTTGTAGGGAGAACCAATGCCCATAATCTACAGAATGAGAGGTCTACTAGGGGATGCTACCGAGGACATGGTTAACTCCCTTGATTCAAAAACTGGTAAGTTCTTTGCCATGACTTTTAGTTAGTGATAATTGATCATAAATAAAGGAGTGTGTACCACAACTGAACACATGATCACTTACAAAACACAGAATGTAAGTCCAAATTGCTTTAAAGGATCTTGGTAAAAATAAAGTTATCAAACTTAAACCCCATATGAGAGGTATGCATATGTACATGTAGAATACACTGTAAATTCAGAAATTATTGTGAGGTGTTTATTCTAGCAAATAATTGGGCTGTGTGAGTATCACAATAACAAAAACTCACATTCTAAATTCTTTACATACATCTGTATTTAGATTTTCCTGAAATTGCAATTTTTATGTTGCATTTTTGTCTATTCTTCAAATATGGCCATAATGAATGCACGCAATAGTTTCTGAATTTACATTAAATGCATCTGACTTCTTATGTTTTAGTTTTATCCTTGAAAAAAAAAGAACTGAAAAAGTAGATGATAAATCGGTCAGCGTTAAGTAGGAGTACTATTATTTGCAATAAAAACATAAAAACAAAGTTGTAAAATATAACCTAATTAATTTTCCAGAGGAAGATGTCGACAAAGAGGAGGTGTACAAGATGGCAAGTGTATTGAGCGAGGGTGATGGTCTCAGGGTTATGTTGGAGAGGTATATTTCATACTTATATTTGACTTGCATTCTATGACAAAATTTGTAATGTCTCAGAATTAACTATTTCTGAGATGTTAAAGTTGCATATACTATTCATTTTGGTTACGTTAGTATCAATTTTTGTAGCCATAGAAAAATTTACTATTTCGAGGGTACTTAGATAAATTTCATGGTTCATCATTTGTTCCAATCAAAATAACTAAAGATTTGTATTTCCTCAAGTATTAAATTTTTTTTTAATTTATTTTTACATACAAATCCTATTAAACCTGGTAACCAATAAAAGAATCAGACTGTACTGAATAAAACTGCCTGCTATTTTACTTTAAAATTTTGTAAAAGGTTGTCAACAGAAGAAATTTGTTCTCAAATATTTTTTTACCTTTTTTTGTTTTGGGTGAAAAAAAAATATGGAAATTTGACTTTCAAATTGAAAAACCTCAAACCATAAAAATAGACAGAAATTTGTCCCCCATACAAGTACAAAATAAAGAAGTCATTAAGTACTAAAGAATCAACTGTATCAAATATTTGCTATATGGATATTTAAAATAAATTTTAAGTTTCTGGTTTTAAAATTGTGTATATGAACATTTGAAAATATTGGTAAATTTTTTTTTTTTCAGACTTGCTTCCATCAAAGATCTTGTCCTTGGTAAACAATTGATGACTGTTCTGTTGAAGTTGTTCAGTTATGCTGTAAATGTTAAAGCAAATAGACTAGAGCTACTGAAACCTGAGATGAATACACTGACTGTTATGCTGGGTGCACTCAACTTGGTAAGATACCATTAAACTTGATATTTTGAAAAACATTGTTCATGATTATTTATATAAGGAAAAATTGGAAGACTATATTTAGATTTGATTAAGAAAGTTTCCTGTTGAAGTTGTTTTTAAGACATAAGAAGTACTATAACCAGCTGCGGATCCAGAGTTTTGAAAAAGGAGGAGGGGAAAAAGTAAAAAATCTATGCATTGACCATTTATGTAGCTCATAAGCCCCCACCCCCCTAAATCCCCCTTCTTGTGACAAGTTACAAGTCTGACAGAAAAGGGGATAATTGACTTGTTATATTGTTATACAGGAAGAATGTTATGTTTGTTTGTACAAGGATTTCATATTTAGATGTTTCTTTCAGAGAATATATGTAATATATATATATATATATATTTCACAATCAAGTAGGCATTCTTAGTTTATGTCAAAGTTATGTTGAAAACATTGTTATAACAATGAGTAAAAAAACATTTTAATGTGATATAGGATTGATAAGAGTTGTACAGGAGGATATGGGTGAAAGTAAATGTGAAAAAAGGATAATTCAGTCTGTACACATAGTAACTTTTATATTTGTACCCTAGTAATTCCTTTTTGTGGATCAGAAAATCACCACTTTTATAAATATAAAAATAAAGAGATGTGATTTGATTGCCAAAGAAACAACTATTTACCAGTTCAATTGAAGTGGATATAAGCAATTAAAGCCACTGCACAGCCTTCAACAATAAGAAAAACCCTTACAATGAAGTCGGCTATAGAAGGCCACAACTGAAAAATGTGGAAAAATTTGAACAAGAAAACTAATTTATAAAACAATTTAAGAAAAAAAAATATGACTCGCATAAACCAAATGGAATCACTGAACTACAGGCTCCTGACCTGGGACATGCAAATATGGGAATGTGGCGGGGTTAAACATGTTTATGAGAGCTCAAACCTACTTAATTTGACAAATTTAACTATTTTTCTGTAGGCATTGTGGGCAGAACAAGAGAGTGGTACAAGTGCTACTAAAGGACAGACTATAACAGAACAGGTTCTACAGATCATGGAGGTTATACTGTTAGAAGCCAGTAACCAACCTGCTGAAAAGTTTAGGGTAATATATTTTACACTGTAGTTAATGACAGAATTGAATACAGATTTTATAAGGTTTGGATAATATGAAAATAAATGACCTGACATATTTTGAATGATGTATTACATATTTCAACAAGGTTTGTGGTTAACAAGTACATCCAAAGACTGTAAAGCAGATTATTTTTGTGGAGTTTAATTTCATGATTTCTGGGTTTTTTTTCTTGTCCATGGTTAAAGAACAAATTTATAATGATGGAAAATTTCCCATGATTATTGTGTAATTATACATACAATATTTGACAGGAATTTTCCAAGTTGTGTGGAGATAAAGATCAGTTAATGTTACTGTTAGACAGAATAAACAGTCCATTTGTCAGATCTAACAACAGTATTCTCCAGGAACTGATGAGATTGATACCATTCATGGCATTTGGTGATGAGGAAAAGTTGACAGCACTCATCAACCACTTCAAACCTTATCTGGATTTTGCTAAGTATGTATATTTTACTTCATTTTAGATATAGTATATTTCATGTCAGATATAGTGAAACCAGTCTAAACTAAACCCAGGGAAACCAGTCACTTTTCTGTACTGAGCATTTGTATTAGAATGTATAATTAATATTGTATGCTTTGAAACCTGGCTAAACCAGAAGCTTATCTGCTCTTAGTGTTTTTACAAGAATGCACAATACTTATTATTGTGTAATTTAATCTATGTTAAACACCTGTCTGATGTGAACAAAATGTTAATTCTTAATGAAGTTTGATAAAGCAGGTTTCACTGTACTGGACCTACTTCAATTTGTCCAACTCAGGTCAGTCAAGATTGTTGAGTTTACTTGTGTTTCAATCTAACCACCCAAGTTTGACCTTTTGAACCTACCCGAGTTAACTCAACATCAACCCTAGGTTGAGGCAGGTTTAGTAGAGTTACAAAATGGTGACAAACAGCAAAGCAGAGTATGACACAAAATAACTTAAATTTTACAAAATACAACCAAAAAAAGGGGGATGTTAAATGAAATTTATTTTTTGGTTGTATTTTGTCATTAATGTTGGAGATGTTTATCAACAGAACAGAAAGAAATATAATTTTGGTACTTTGAGTTGCTTAGAGTAAAATATGAATTTATTACGAAAATTCAATCACCTTTACTTAGGGGACAACGGGGCAATAGGATTTAAAAAATCAATAAAATGGCCTGGTAATAACTGAAAATAAATATATGATAGAAGTTATTTTATTTAATTATGTTTAAAAATTTGAACATAAAGTTGTTCATTGTCAATGTCCATAAAAAGAAAATTAACAACCACTGCTATATTTATATCTTTCATTTTGAGAGTCAAATCGAGTAGAGTTTTCACTTAGATTCGGGAAGATAGCGCATTAGCACTAATTTCAAAACTCCAGTCAACCTGAGTTGGATGAATCAAAGTAGTCCCTTGTTGATTTGTTATTGTTCTTGGGGTACTAATTTTTGTGGATTTTGTTGGTATAAGTATACCACAAATTTTAGTGTTTAACGAAATACAAATTTCCTATAGATTTGGATGCAGTATTAAGAAAAACCACAAAGTCAAACATCAACAAAAATACAAATTTTCCTCAATCCACAAATATAAATGTATCCACGGTAGATAATTTGTTCCAATGTATTTTAATATTTAAATATTTGATAGTAAAATATTTCTTGAACAACTTGTATTGAAACTATCAAGACAATTATTGTCAAAAGTAGGGGAAGGTAATTCTTGCTAACTGTTTTCCAATACTTTGAATTACAATCATGCATGCAAATTGTTGTTGAAACTTGACTAAAGACAGCTTTGGCTTCTATATTGATGTTATGAGAATTTGTTTTTAATTTGGCATGCAGAAATTTGCCTGTTCCATCAAAACATTCAATAGGTGAAGGATGAATGTGCATTTAAGGATCTCATTTATTGGATTTTGTAGATATGATGTGAAACAGTACATATTGATTATTCCTATGTGATTTATTTTGTAGATATGATGTAGAACATACTCAAGACGAATCAGTCCATATTGATTGTTTCTGTGTCATTGCTGCAGGAATTGAGGTTTGTCATTTTGTTATCACAATTATCTTTATTATCAAAATGTGGTCAAAACAATATACGAAAAACAAAAATGACAGACTTGAACTAATGACAACAATTGTACTTCAGGCTGACTTGGGACAGGCACATACAGAATGCGGGGGGTTAAACATGTTGGTAAGCACTCAACTCTCCACTATCCTTGGACAGTGGTGTAACAGCACAACATAAGAACAAACTGTAAAAAATCAGTTGTAATTGACTTAACTCAAAAGATCATGTCATTATTTCCTTAAGGATATTTATACAAAAGTTTTAAAGAACCCCAATTTTTTGAGAGATTGCCCAATGACAGATAAAATATGTCTATCGGCGGGGAATAAAGGAATGCTGTTCTTTTCTTATACTTTCTTTAATTGTTGTAGAATAATGAAAATGGAAACAAATTGAAAGATATGATACTGGACAATGGAATAGTAAAATTATGTATAGATTACATTTTACAAAACTCACCAGTTATAAAGACATTGTTGCCGTAAGTATAATTCTAGTACAACTTTAATGTAAAAAATTAGAAAAGAAAGACCATCATTCTCTTTAAAAGTATCCTATAACTGTTTTCCACTTATTCAAGCTGTTGATAAATCTATCAACAGTGTTCTTTCTAGTGAGTAAAGACTAACATTTTGAAATTATCCTTGATGTTTAATACATTTGTTGTTTTATGGGTAACGATTGCATGAAATGCAATCAGAACCCTAGGGTAGTGACTTGATTTCTATATCTTCCAAGGTTTATCTCAACCTTTGATATATCAAACAAAATAGTGCAGTGAAGTGATCATTATTTAGATCCTATCCAGTCAATGTCATGCAATTTATTGATGATATGTTATACCTTGATATTTAAGTTTCAATATGATGTGTATTTGAATTACCATACTTGTCATGAACACATTTTTTTATTAAAAATTACAAAAGTAATGTATCAATCTGTTATAAAAATAGGCATAACTACAAATGTACAATCATGAACAAAGGAAGATAACTCCAACTCAAATTTTGAACTTTCCTAGCAAAATACAATTCAATGTTTATTTGAAAATTCACAAAATTGCAAAATAAAAGCAATGTTTACCCTTCAGTGCTTACAAGCACTTTGATTTATTCTTTCAATAGAATAATAGAATTACTAAGGAGAAATTGATGAAAAGTGTTTCTTTCATGGAATTAGAAAAACACTTTTTTTTGTAAAAAATGTTAGCCTTGAAGCCTCCAAATAAGTATTATTTATTTCAGGACTGATGTGGCTAACTGGAAAGATTTCCTTGAGAAACCTTCCCTGAGTTATATCTTGCGGTTACTGACAGGACTGTGTGCTGGACATACTCCTACTCAGGTTAGTTAATTGACCATCACTGGGCATCTTTACTTGTATACATATTGGAAGTTTAGCATAATCATCCCTGACAGTTTATATATTAATGGAAATTAAAAATGTAACAACTTTTCTACACCATTTTGAAGACTAAAGACAGTGTCATTTGATATTTATTATTTGTCATCTTTGAAACTGTTTTTTTTTTTTTTTTGCATTACATTACCATACCCAATGGTTAAACATTTGTAAACAAACTGTTTCATTGTATGTTTTAGTTGGTAGTCGGGTCGGAGTTGATAGCAGTATTGCATAAGTTAGAACAGGCATCTTCTGATCAACATATAGGTACTGTGGCAGAGAACTTGTTAGAAGCACTATCTGGTAATGAAAAAGTTTCAGAAAAGGTTAGTTATTACTTCATTGTAAAGCCCTCTGCTTTGATGAATATGATAGCAGCTAAGAAATTCAAAAACACAAATCACAAACATGTGGCAACGAATGTGTTTTATTACAATTCAATACAAAAACACAAATCACAAACATGTGGCAACTAATGTGTTTTATTACAATTCAATACAAAACCACATATCACAAACATGTGGCAACTAATGTGTTTTATTACAATTCAATACAAAACCACATATCACAAACATGTGGCAACGAATGTGTTTTATTACAATTCAATACAAAACCACATATCACAAACATGTGGCAACGAATGTGTTTTATTACAATTCAATACAAAACCACATATCACAAACATGTGGCAACGAATGTGTTTTATTACAATTCAATACAAAACCACATATCACAAACATGTGGCAACGAATGTGTTTTATAACAATTCAATACAAAACCAATACCAATGCAATCCAATGTTTTGTTTAACCAATTAAGGGTCCATTTATTGTATAATTACAAAACATGACAGTTTTATGGATTTTAATTGTACATGCAGCAGATATTAGATATTAAGCTTGGAGAGAAAGAGAGAAAATCAATTAAATGTTCATCTCGCAAAAGTTGTGATAAACAGTTAAGATCTTAGTAAAAATGTTGGTTATCTCCCTTTGTACAGCAACTTGAGCAAGTTTTGAAAATGAGTTTGATGTATTTTGATAATTTGATCTCACTTTATAGATTTTGTATGAATATTAAGGATACATAATGACATCCACTATGACCAAAAAATAGTTTAAAAAATTCTTTATAACCAAATAAAAGGAATTTTACATAAGTAGATAAAGTAGTACGTAACATGAAAAAGAATTAGAAAAAAAAGACTATGATAAATAACAACTTTATCCCTTTAGTACTGTAATTTCTGGTTTTCATAGATTGAGGAGGTTCGTCAACAAACAAAGGCAGAGAAAAAGAAAAGAGCTATGGCCAAGAGAGAGAAACAGCTTGGAGCTTTAGGCATGATGGTAAGTTACATTTAGATTTTTTGATTTTTAGGGAGATTTTAGGATGAGAAAAAATTTTAAGATGTGTACCTGTCCCCCAAAAAGAAGTGTCAAATTTTATATAAAGAAATAATTACGACTTAGAATTCCTTTTGAATGCCTCCCGTAAAAAATATCCAATGTTTGCTCTTTAAAATTATTTCTTGGTACAGTTTGGTTTCCTCTGCCAACAAAATGAAAGATTGATGTTTTATTTCATGACATTTAGCATTTACAGAAATAACTGTTAATTCTGAAGAATCATCATATTTTTTTTTTGCAAAAGAGTTGTGGAAATTAATATTACAGTATTTATTTTTAAAAAATCTCCGGAATATATGACCGTTTTGGATATAAATCTAGTTTATTTGTTAACTTTGATTAATTAAATGTGAAATGAAACCTGTATTAAGGAACAAAAGAGGATTTGGGTATACATCAGTGAGACAGTTACCCAAAAATACACAGCAAACATTTTCATGAATACCAATTTTTCGTGGATTGGGAACAGTTGTAATTTCATGGATATTTGATTTTGTGGTTTTGCAAAAAATTGCTTACAAATCTCAAGACATTTATACTTTGTTAAAAATCTAAATTTGTGGTTGACCTAAAACCAGGAAATCCATGAAAATTTGTATCCCACAAATAATAATGAATCCACAGAATACCTTGTTCATCTTATAAGGCTTAGTGAATATGTATACCTTGTTCATCTTATAAGGCTTAGTGAATATGTATACCTTGTTCATCTTAAAAGGCTTAGTGAATATGTATACCTTGTTCATCTTATAAGGCTTAGTGAATATGTATACCTTGTTCATCTTATAAGGCTTAGTGAATATGAACTCACAAAACAGCTTTGGTTATTTATTGCTTGTATATATGTACATAAATAATGTTATCATCCGTTATCCACTTTATTGTAGACTAATGAGAAGGGTCAGGTTACAGTCAAGAGTTCAGTGTTAAAACAGATGGATGATATAAAGGAAGAGACAGGGTTAACGTGCTGTATCTGTAGAGAAGGTTACAGATGTCAGCCTCAAAAGGTATGTTGTATTCCTCATCTTATGTGAGTACCTCTCAAGGAAAGGAAGAGACAGGGTTAACATGCTGTATCTGTAGAGAAGGTTACAGATGTCAGCCTCAAAAGGTATGTTGTATTCCTCATCTTATGTGAGTACCTCTCAAGGAAAGGAAGAGACAGGGTTAACATGCTGTATCTGTAGAGAAGGTTACAGATGTCAGCCTCAAAAGGTATGTTGTATTCCTCATCTTATGTGAGTACCTCTCAAGGAAAGGAAGAGACAGGGTTAACATGCTGTATCTGTAGAGAAGGTTACAGATGTCAGCCTCAAAAGGTATGTTGTATTCTTCATCTTATGTGGGTACCTTTCAAAGAAATCAACACCTTGTATACAGGGTCGCCACTCACGCGATAAAACAGGAAAAGTATAATACATAGAAGCATTTGGGGTTGGAGTGGGGATACTTATATCCCTCACCATGGACATATTTTCCCCTGATGAGAGGAAATATTAGGCTACTATAAGTTGGGTTTTTATACTTTAGTCCAACTTTTGAGTCTGTTACATCATAAACAAATCATGTGATATGTAATTTTCTCACAACTGGCCTGTTTTGTTTAAATTTTTTCATGAACTGTGGTTTTAAAATCATTGTTTCTCAGGTGAAACATTATTTTGCAAGTGAGTTTACTTTGAGTTAACCTGTGTTCCACCACAGAAATTTTGGTTCCTAAAAATTATCTCTGATAAAATTCAAAACAATTAAGCACTTGCAAGAAAATTTACTAGCACATGCATAGTTCAAGCTGTAATCCAGACAGTGGCCACACGATACTGTGGATTCATTATTATTTCTAGGGACCAAAATGAGATGTTCGTTTGGTGCGGGATGTAAAAGTTTGCAGCCACGTCTGGTTAGAATGGGGATGTTAAATCTGAAGCCTTGTGTAAAGAGAGTGCCATGCTCTGCACGTTAAGAACCCTTTCAGTAACACTTTGAGGGGTCCGTTGGTGGCCTGTTGCGAGGCTAAATTTCTGTCCCTATCCAATTTACCCTCATTTTCCCATGGCAGTCCAAATTTCCCCGACCTTCATCCCAGACGGCCTCTATTACAGGACCTATCTATTGTATTTATTGTTAATTTGTTCTCGTCCTGAACATGCATGAAATATTTGCCACTGGATGTTAAGCTACCAACAATCAATTAATCGTGGGGTACTAATTTTCATTGATTTTATGGATAAAGATAAACCTCAAATTTAAAGTTCAACAAAGTACAAATTTTCTATAGACTTGTATGCTGACTTTTTCAAAACAATAAATTAAATATCCAGTAAAATACATGTACAATTTTTCCTCAATCCTCAAAAACTTGTACCCACAAAAATAAATGAATCCACAGTACTTGTTTTTTACTTGTGAGGGTGACCTGTCTCTGTGATATGTAAGATTTAAAATTTTATGATGAAGAAATAAGAAAAATGTCATCAGATTTGTTTCGTATTACTTTTAAAAAATATATTGAAATTGTAAATTGTGCTGTATTGTTACAAGTTCTAGGATAAGGTCAACTGGAATCATTTTCAGATCATTTAAAGGTTAATTTTTCATTCATGTGCCAAGTTTGTTTATATTTTATACATATTAGTTATGAATTATAAAACAATAATCAAAGAGATTTTCTGGTCTAAAAAGAAATTTAAAAGAATGATTTATTAATTTTTGTAATTTTACAGGTTTTAGCCATTTATACTTTTACCAAGAGAGTAAACCTTGATGATTTTGATAACAAGCCACGTAAAGCCATAGGATATTCTACAGTGTCACATTTTAATGTCATCCATGTAGACTGTCATACAGCTGCTGTAAGGTGAGGATTGGAAGTTTTCATGATTTAATGAAAAAAAAAATGTTATAAGATTTGTATTGTGTCCCTTTTAAAATTATAATATCTTTAAATTGTTGACAGAATATTGAGGATTTCAAACCTTATTGCTTATGACGGTGATTGTTTGTTGGATAATAGCATGATATGAATTTTGTTCATGGTAATTCCTGACAAGTTGAAAAATATGATTGTGTAAAGTTTGATAAATGATAACTTAAACATAACCTGAGACAACTGTTACTATGTGACCAGAATGTAAGCTTTAATATCTGTACATGTTTTTAAAAGACAAACCAAAATAGAATAATGTCTTGTAATGATATGTATTTTTCGTTACAGACATGCCAGAGGAAGAGAAGAATGGGAAAGTGCAGCCTTACAAAATGCCAACACTAAATGTAATGGATTATTGCCCCTTTGGGGACCTCAAGTCCAAGAATCAGCATTTGCCACTTGTCTTGCAAGGTAGGTTAGAAGATCTTCTTCGTCATTAAATGTTTCCCTTGTCCATCTGAACGTCCATCTGTACGTACGTCTTAAAATACATCCTGAAATTGGATTCAGTTCTCCAACTTTAGTTTGCCTCAACTGAATTTTTGTTCCTTTATAACATTAGGGGCATCATCTGTGTACCATGGACACATTCTCCATTTAATTATATAAAAGATTTGAAGTGAAGTATGTGCATTTCACTTGAGAGTTAATCCACTGTTTATTTGCCTCTAAAAATGAAATGCATCCATTATGGCCATTTAGGTACTTTCTATATAAAAATATGGAGATGTGGTATGATTGCCAATGAGACAACTAATCAAAGTTGAATTGAAGTGGATGTAAGCAATTAAAGGCAACCATACTATGATACAGCCTTCAACAATGAGAAATACCAATACCATATAGTCGGCTATAAAAGGCCCAGACATGAAAAATATGAAACAATTCAATTTAGATGCGGCCTAATTTATGACAAAACAGTTTACGAAAAACATATATGACAGACATGAACCAACGAAAACCACTCAACTACAGGCTGCTGACTTGGGACAGGCACATAAAGAATGTGGCGGGGATACACATGTTTGTGAGTGCTCAACCCTCCCCTAACCTGGGACAGTGATGTTACAAAAAGTTTTTTAAGGTCTCCCAGCAAGATTATTAGGAAGGCCTTCAGTATATTAGTTTTCTCTTTTTGCAGATATATACTGATGTTCAGGACTTAATTCTCAACTTTGTTACTGCAGTTACCTAATTTCTCTTTGTACTTTTAATATTTGAATTCATTTTAGACACAACACATATATCCAAGACTGTACAGGAATCAGAGATCCTAGTTATCCTTACAACATACACGATGTTAAACATCTTTTATTCATTTCAAACATAACACATATATCCAAGACTGTACAGGAATCAGAGATCCTAGTTATCCTTACAACATACACGATGTTAAACATCTTTTATTCATTTCAAACATAACACATATATCCAAGACTGTACAGGAATCAGAGATCCTAGTTATCCTTACAACATACACGATGTTAACATCTTTTATTTATTTCAGACACAACACATATATCTAAGATTGTACAGGAATCAGAGATCCTAGTTACCCTTACAACATACACGATGTTAACATCTTTTATTTATTTCAGACACAACACATATATCCAAGACTGTACAGGAATCAGAGATCCTAGTTACCCTTACAACATACACAATGTTAACATCTTTTATTCATTTCAGACACAACACATATATCCAAGATTGTACAGGAATCAGAGATCCTAGTTACCCTTACAACATACACGATGTTAACATCTTTTATTCATTTCAGACACAACACATATATCCAAGACTGTACAGGAATCAGAGATCCTAGTTATCCTTACAACATACACGATGTTAAACATCTCATTCTTAAGTTTGCCCAGGAGAAGTCATTTAGTCAAGAAAGTGGTGGTGGTGGTCGACAGAGTAATATGCATGTACTGCCAGCCATGATACATATGGCTTTATATGTTATCAATACGTAAGTTTATAAGGAGTTCAAATTTTTAAGGTTCTTACATGGGTAGTTTTGACGTCGAATAAGTATTTACATTTATTATTTCTTTATATGTTATCAATATAAGTTTAAAAAGGGCTTGAATTTTTAAGGTTCTTACATTGGAAGTTTTGACGTCGAATAATTGATGACATTTTATTAATTTATTAATTGGAAAAGATAGGACCAAGTTGTGCAACTTGTGTCTGATCTATTTGAAAATAAGTAGATGTGACATGATTGCCAATGAGAATATTCACAAAAGAACTAAGAAATCTATAGGTCATGTACTGACTTCAAAAATGACCAAAACCCATAACATATTCTGACTACAATGTAATCAAAAAAATTGTATGGTTAAAGATATTTTACCCTGCACGGTAACTGTTTGCTACCCTTTCCTCTTGGGGCTATCATATACTAAAAACAAATCTTTATGAGAGCTTATGGTTCTATTGATAAAGTTAAAAGATGTCTAAACATTTACATAACATTCAGAAATGTATCGGAACAAAATTGCCTGATCTAAAGAAGTTTACTTGGGACAGGTTTACTGTTACTATCTGTATTGTGTACTTAAAGTGAGTGCCCTGTGTATCATTTGAATTATGATTTTTAAATTTTACTGTGCTTTATAGAACAAGATCTGTCGGAAGAGAAGAGAAGAACTTCAACAATTTTATTACTCTACCAAAAGAAAAATGGTTAGAAAATAGTTATGAGGTAAATAGAGTTATCTTTCTTTGGATAAAATCTATCATTTTACTGTTTGTGTTTGTTGTGGCATTCGTTTTTATTGATGATGAAAAAGAAAGTTTATCTTGTACTGATAATGAGAAAAATGTAGAAATTAATATTTGAATAATTGCAACACATTTTTAGTAAAATAATATTCATTGAACCATGTGAATCAGTTTGAGTGGTTTTAAAGATAAATTTTGAATGTGTATTTAATTTTGTTTTCATGTCCAACACTTTTTCATGGAAAGTAGTGCATACAATAATGTCAATTAGAAATAATTACCTTTTTCGATAAGTAGATATAAGAAGATGTGGTATGAGTGCCAATGAGACAACTCTCCATCCAAGTCACAATTTATAAAAGTAAACCATTATAGGCCAAAGTAGGGCCTTCAACAAGGTAGTACTGTAGAAGAATTCATTTGTTAAGTGCAAAATTTTCAAAAATTTTTGGTAAAATCATTGGTCCATAGAGCCTTAAGAATCCATAGTTTGGAAGATGGAATGGCAAGCTTGTTTCATTAGACATTCAATTTTTGTTGGCGATGGAATTCAAGACTTTTTTTTATGCCCCTGACGTAGGCAATGGGGGAATAAGTGTTACCCTTGATCGTCCTTCCTTCAGTCTATCCGTCCTTCCATCTTTCCGTCTCATTATACCCCCGCTTTAAAAAAGTGGGGTATAATGTTTTACCTGTCTGTCCATCCGTTTCATGAATATTTTTCGTCGCATCTTTCTCAGGAACTACATCATGAGGATTTCTGAAATTTGGTTTCAGGGTTTATATAAGTCAGCTATATCGTGTGATGCTTTTTCAGTTTCATCACTCAACAACTTCCTGGGCTGGCGGTGTATCATCAGTGAGCAGTAGCTCGCAGTTTCACTTGTTTACATTACAAAGCTTATGCAGAGGCATTCGTGTCCTTAGACACATTCTTCTTTTTATGCCCCTGCAAAAGCGGAGGGGGCATTAAGTTTTACCCTTGCATACCTGTCAACCTATGGCAATGAAAATGCAGGTGATGACCTGCAAAGAAGAATGAAATCTCAGGTCATAACGCGTACAAACTTTTTCGAGCTGAATTTCAGTATTTAAGGGACATTTTTCTTATAATTTATATCAAAGTTTCCAAAACATGTCCACATGGTTAAGTAATTTGAAATTGTACAAATTATTATTTCATTGCACCTGGAGGCCATTGATAGATTTGTGTTACATTGCCTTAATTCCAGTTCATATTCATTCCATGGCATACAATGTGCCAATTTGTGTTTCCTTTTCATATATTTGTGCAGCTTTTAAACAGTTGAAAATATCATATGTCGATATTAGAGTATAATACAATAAAGTTAAACAATTAAAGGAGGTATAGATGAAAAAAGTAATTTTCAAAACTTTTATTTTTAATTGTTCTAAAGTAGAACAATAAGTTAAAGTATTATTCTGATACGTTTGTGCATTCAATTCATTTTAGATTTAATCTTTTTACAAAAAAAAACATAAGTTTAAGGAGTATATTGTGAATTGACAAAAAAGGGGAAGTAACTCAAATTGTTTTTAAAACAACTTTGAAATACACAAATTATTTACGACCTAAAGCTAAGGTAACTGGTGTTAATTAACAGTGTGTTCGACACCAAAGCTGTCAAGTGAAGCCATGCACTGAAATGGGTCAATTGAGCTGAGTTTACACAGCTAGTTGAACTTCTTGTCCAGGAAGAATTACGAATTTGCCAGTATTTCATTGAAATCACTTTATATCTAATCAGTCTGAAGGCTAAGGAATCCGGGTGAAAACGGGTTTTTTTCCAAATTCCCTGGTTATTTGGTCACCCGGCGGGTGTTCCGGGTGACCCCTCAGAATTGTGAAAATGTCGGGCCACACCCGCAGGATCCGGGTCAGTTGACAGGTATGCCCTTGTCTGTCCAGACGTACGTCCCATATTTATTTTTTTTTAAAATATACTGTAATCTTGATTACATTGTACATATACATTGGTTTAGATTAAGAAATCATGAAAAAAACAATGGATTCAAAATACAATTACCAGTAGTGGGTGACAGTTTTAATGTATTTGCAATTCCCTAAAGTCATAATTTCACTATGAAGCTGATTTGAAACCTGGATTTATAGAACCTATTTATCACAAATGGACATCCATGTATGTAAATATCCTTTGGGATTTGATGATCAGTGCAGGAAATTCCATAAAAACTTCATACTTATCCTTCTAGAACACCTGGTATCACTCCAGGTTTTAATAGAGTTTGTTTTTAAAAAGAGAACATAAGTCTAACTAGAAAATGTGATGTTTTGTATATTTTTTCTTTTTTTTTTTTAAATATTCTGTAAACTTCATGTTTGTCACTACAATTGTCTTGTTACATTTGATTTGGGTGTTTTGTGTGATTTCCTCTGGTTTTTAATTTTTCTTTATTTTTCCATTTCTTTAAAATCATGAAAATATCTCCTTGCATTAATTTGATCTTTTAAGAAGATCTGAATCATAGACAAGAAAAACATAAATATAAAACCTCAAACAGTTTTGCCCTTGAATTCATGAAATTTAAACTCCGTAAAAAAAAAACCCCACTTTCCAATATTATCAAACTGTGGATTCATTTATTTTTGTGGAGAGAGGAAAAATTGTATTTTTGTGGATATTTAATTTTGTGGTTTTACCAAAGTTTGCATACTAGCCTATAGAAAATTTGTACTTTGGTGAACATTTAATTTTGAAATTTGTGGTCATCCTTTACCCATGATATCCACAAAAATTGGTCTATATTCACAAAAATTGGTATATATTCACAAAAATTAGTATCCTACGAATAATAAAGAATTCCATTTTGCACTCGATAAGGTCAGCGGATTTATACACAGTAAAGCATTCTTAAAAGCACACACAGAAACTTCCATGACATTACTTTGGATGACCTCCTCAAGGTCATCCGAGTAATAATAATTCCATGTTAGTTAAGTGTTGTTGATGTAATGTTGTTACAGACTGAAGGAGCATTATATTGGACTGTGATGACACTACATATACATCCCTATAGTATGTGGAAAGATACTAAAGTAGAATTACTCAAGAGATTACTGGTACTGGCCCAAGCTAGACATCAATCTGCCACTGGATCGCCAAGGTTAGTTTTAAACTCGTCATAAATTCCAGGCTTATATTTTTTATGTGAGACTTGCGTTTTGTTTACAAAAGACTCATCAGCGACGCTTGAATGAAAAAAGTAATATATTAATAGATTGTAACCTTGGATTCTTGCTCACTGCTCATTTATAGGGGCAGTTGGGCCACAGAACTTTTTAATTTATTGGAATTAGGAATGCAAAATGGAATAGCATCAGTTTCTGACATGTTGTGGAAAATATTTAGTTTGCCATGAAATTGTTGAAATGGACAAAAAAATTCAGACAAAATGCTATTAGATTATTTATTTTGCAAATTAAGCTTATTGTTAATTTATTGTTATTTTTTAACTGATTAATTTATGTATTTGTTTCCTTGGAAAAGAAGTAAAATGGGATATCTCATCAATTTATATCAGAGTTACAGCTCTTCTATAAAAGCATGCAAGGCAAACCTTTGATCAACTTGCTTGCTAGGTTTGCTTGGATGTTTGCAAACAATAGGTAGGCGGGGTTTCAGTCTTGTTTTGTATATACTGAAATTTGATAAGACAATAAAAATTGACATGTAATGAAGTTAATGTTTATTGTCCAATCAAATTCCATTATATAGTAAACAGACTGAAACAGACTACCTACATTTTGTTTACAAACATCCAAACAAACATAGAAAGCAAGTTGATCAAAGGTTTGCTTTGCATGCTTTTATAGAAGAGCTGTAATTTTGATGAAAAGTTATGAAATACTATGAAATAACAATAATTAAATTCAGAAATGCTGTGTTAATTTTTTATTGTATATACACTATATCCTGCACTATCAAATTGTAAATGATTTTATTTGTATTTTCCACAGTTTATCCAATAAAACAGTGTTGGAGTACAGTGTATACAAACCATATTTTGTATTCTTTGGTATAGTAGACATGGTGTATGATAAACTTTTCAAGGTAAGTTCTCGTTTATTATGGGGCAAATTTTACTACTATAAGGACTACTTAATCAGGTCAAACATTATTATGCCCCCGCCTTAGCGGAGGGGGCATTAAGTGTTACCCTTGTCCGTCCTGTACGTCCATCATGTTTGTTCTCAAAATTGGTTTCAATTCTTTAACTTTAGTTTGCCTCAACCAAATGTTATAAAACTTATACACAATGCTTATTACCATAAAACACAGATCAAGTTTGAAATTGGGTGGCGTCACTTTTTCCGTTCATGAGTTATGCCCCTTTATAAACATAAAAATTACTGAATTTTTCGTTTCCTTTCTCTAACTTTAGTTTGCCTCAACCAAATGTCATGAAATTTATGCTTATAATCACAAAACGGTCTTAGCTACGTCAATCTTGCATGTGGAAGTTGACTCATGCATATTAACAAGCAGGGGCGGGGCATCTGTGGCCCATAGACACATTCTCCATTTATTTTCTATGTACCTAGAATTATGTTGAAAAGGTGTATATTATTTGAGATATTTATGATAATGATGATTATGGATTGGTTTTTTAAGTCCAGAGGCAAATATTACATGCATATTGGAACTAGAACATGTCAATGTGATATGAATATGAACCCTGATTTGTACTAAATAGACACTCTTAGCTTGGTATTTTTAAAAAATGTGCTAGCTCACAGGGTAACAGTCCAGTAGCAGGCATTTTGCCCTACACTGATATATTATTCTGACTGTTTGCTCATACTCTGTAATGTTGCATGATTACTACAAATTCATTTATTTTCCTGGGTGGTTATTTTTGTGGTTTTGCAAAAGTTTCAATACAAGGTAATTTATATTTCTTTAAACATTTTAATTCATGGTTGTTTCAACCTAAGAAATCCACTTGAATTTGTACTCAAAGAATAATAATGAATCAAAAGTAGTTGAGAAGCAGAAAATATCAATTTTAAAAGTGTTTGGTTTGACCTGGCAGAGGATCACCCTCAACACTCAAAGTGAGATATTGATATATCAAACACTGTAGTCTTATCAATCTAATACTACCGGGTATGATGCCTTGCTTTGATATTTTACTACTACATGTCCTTAACATCATACCCAAAAGGTAGATAGTATATATAAGTACTGCTACCTAAACCAGTCTCCTTTTGAGTCTTATCATACCCCTCAATATGAAGTTGCTTGGATAGATAGGCTTTGATCTGTCAGTCTGTGAGTCATTTTCGCTTCTGGATGCTATTTAACTCGAATACTTTAAATGGGATTACAACCTTACTTGGATATATGATCCCAAACAATGTGAGGAAGATCCTATTGGATTTTGAGGCCAACATATCAAAAATCAAGGCCAAAGTACCAAAAATAGAATGATATTTATGGAAAAAAGGGGTTTCACAATGCTTTATCAAATACATGTACTACATATAGGATTGCAATCTTACTTACATAATGTGAGGCAAGGGTCCTATACACCTTGTAGCTATTTAGTCCAATCCAGAAAAAACAGTCACTTAAACAACTTCCTGTTTGGGTCAAGTGACGCAAGAACAAAGGGCAAAAAACCTGTAGAAAGTGAACATTTTGATATTTGTATAGTTTATGATCCAATTTTTTAAACACAAGTTAGAAAAAGGCTTTGTTTGAAGTGTTTACAATGGTTTAAACAAAACTCTTTGAAAATTTTTATGCACAGTACATTGTTTAAACATGGCCCGAAATAGCTTCAATTGGTTTGAAAGAGTTGTGTAGTTTTAGAACTTTTCGCGATTGGAATAAATAGCGATAAGGTGTATTGATTTTAAGGTCTATAACTAAAAGGTCAAGGTCAAAGTTACTAAAAATAGACAGAAATTTGCGCAGAAAATTTGATTCTGTATGCTTAATTAAATACTATATATATGGAATTGCAAACTTACTTTGGTATAGGTTACATATAATGAGAGGAAGATCCTTATCCATTTTCATGTTACTATGTTGAAGGTCAGGGTCAATTTTTTTTTTAAAAGACCAAAATTTGTGCTGAAAAGTGGTTATAGGATGTAGGATTTTGCAACCTTAATTGGATATGTGGTCACATATAAAAAGGGATAAAGAGGAAGACCCCTTATCGATTTCTATGTTACTATGTCAAGGTCAGGGTTAAAGTTTTTTAAAAAAAAGATGGAAACTTGTGCAGAAAAGTGGTATCAGGATGTTATATACAGGATTGCAACCTTAGTTGGATATGTGGTCACATATAATAAAAGTATGAAGAGAAAGATTTCTATTGATTTTCAAGTCACTTGGTCTCAAGTCAAGATCAAATTTACGAGAAAATGTAAAAATAGATTTGTGTAAGACAATATTACTGTCAAAAATCATAATTTATATGGGGCTAGGGTTATGTGATCTTGAATAAAAGGTTTTTCAATTTTGTCACCCATCGCAAGTAGGTCCCATGCTGAGTGGTATCCTGTTTTTGGTATATGAGGTGTATTATTTAGAAAGAGAGTGCATTTCTCTGTGCTCATTATAGAAGCTGTTTTATGTTTTATAGATATAGAGATTACTTAAAGTTGACCAATGATTTGCTCTATCTAAAGTTATAAAACTTGAATTTTGAAACTTATAAACCACTGCTTCTTTTATATGCTGAATAAGTGAGTTCCAAAGCTTTTAAGTGATGTTTCTTTCACAAAATAGTGTAAATGACATCCAGTGACAACAAAAGTCATATACAGTGGTCATTAATGGACAAGAAATTTGTTAAAATGTTGTGCAGATTGAGTCATATTCATTCATAACTCTAACAGTAAAATATATACCGGGTATTGAAAAATGATTTATTCACCCTCTGAATGTCATATGACATGTATGCAATTATTTTTGACTAAAAATGTTGGATAAATTGATTCATTATAAAGTTTTATCTATTTTTGTCTCCATTCAAATTGTGAAAAGAAAAATTTGTGTATCTAGGCTCCATTGATATGTGTAAATCTTTGAGGTGACAAAAGCTGACAAGGGGAAGGGGTTCTTTGAAGGAAGGAGGATTTCGATGGTGTTTATATTATCTCAATAGATCTGAAAGTGTCAATATCGTGTTGTGATCACAAATACATGTACAAAATTTCTTCTGTAGAACGTTTCCTTAATTTACTTGTTGTCCACAAAATAAAGAAGTTGAATGAAAGAAGAATTTATAAAAATTGAATAGAAAATCTTACGTAGATAGGGAAAGTGTTGTCCTCTTTATAATTTATGGTAAACATGATCAAGCATTTTTGAGCTTAGTGAGTCACTTTGAATGTCATGAAAAATGAGGAAATTTTTGTTTATTTTATCAGTTATAAAGCAAAAGTGGAGATTCATGTTCACAAACACAAGAAATATTCAGTTTTATATTAAAAACTGTTTTGACAACATCATTATCAGATAAATTCTTTGAAGTTTTACCAACTCTTATATAGATTTATAGAAGGTTCATTAAAAAAATGTTACTTTATTTAGTTTAACCACAATTTCTATACAATGACAGGTTATTTCAATAGTTGAGATAATTTTTTTTTGCAACAAAAAAAAAGTGCTTTAAAAAATAAGTTGAAAATAATCTACCTTAAATTTTTTTTATAGTAGATATTTATAGAATACTCACTCTCAATACATGTATTAAGACAGTATTATAGAATATTTAGTTTTTAGTCCACATTTATGAATTTCTGTTGATTTGTTTCATCCACTAAATAACATTTTTTTTAATAGATAAAATAAGCTCATAACAAAAATAAAATAAAGCATATGACATTGACCATGAGATTAAGTTCTTTTTGTTTATTTTAAAATTTTCAAAGTTATTTGTTTTGATTCTTCTTGAAAGCAGTCCTGATATTTGTGAAATTTCTTCAACCATTATTTTATTATTTAAAAAAAAAAGACCTTTCAACTTTTACAATCAGAAATGATTAAAGTATAAAGTTTTGCTACTTCTTCATGTTCTTTATTTTAATCAAACATAGTCTGTTTTTAAACAGATGACATTTTAGACATATAAACTTTTTTAATGGAACACTTTTAATTTTTATATATTATAGTGTTGAAAATATTTAATTTAAAAAACTTTTTTTGTTTTTTTTTGCTTTTGCAAAAACAAGTTAGATTTTAAAGATTTTTTTCCCAAGAGGAGCAAGCCCATTTTATATATATATATGTATTTTTTTACGCCCGTTTACGGGACGTATTATTTTTTAAATCCCCCAAATTTAAGTTTCCAATTAAAATCAAATGTTTTTATATTTTAAGTCAACTTGTCTGTGATCTAGGTTTGTTTTCTTGTAAATACTGTACTTTTAATATAAGAATGGTTGTGACAGCAACATATGTTTTATGATTTGGCGAAAAATTCAATCAATTAAATATAGTTTTAACAATGTAAATGAATAAAAGTTACGTAATGCAATATCCGAGATTCAATTTTAGTCAGTCTTGTTCTATTGTGTTGAGCATGTTTGTTGTTAGATACATTGTCAATTCTGAATGGGTAATATTTAAACAGATTTAACCGTCTGAACAGATTCACACTTTTATAATACAGATAAGCCTTAACATGATCTGTAGGTGTACGAGGGTAGTGTTTGTTTACCTCCCTCCATACCTCATTATCTACGGAAACACAGGTGTATACCATTAGTTTAATTCCCGATTTTTCTTACCAGCACCTCGGAGATTACCAGGGATCTAATTCTGTCAACAAAACCTGTTGTATGCCATACTTTTCTAAATACGACCTGTCGAGTGACGGAATCGGACGTTTCGCTTAAACAAATAGTAAAGATGTTACTTGGATAAATTTATCAAAATATTACGGCAGATAAATATTTTACTCTGTATGTATCTGTCATGAAAGATTACAGATAATCTAGGCTGTATAACTGTCAAGATTAACAGATCAACATTCTTCTGTTTGTCACCAAAAATTTTGTCAAAAGTAATATTGTAAATAAAATGATTTTGGA